GGGTCCACCCCCAAGCACGAGCGCTGCTCCCCCAGCCACAGCAAGTCCCCGGCCTACACCCCCCAGAACATCGACAGCGAGAGCGAGTCGGGCTCCTCCATCGCCGAGAAGTCCTACCAGAACAGCCCCAGCTCCGACGACGGCGTCCGGCCCCTGCCCGAGTACAGCGCCGAGAAGCACAAGAAGCACAAAAAGGAGAAGAAGAAAGTGAAGGACAAAGACCGGGACAGGGAGCGGGAGAGGGACAAGGACAGGGACAAGAAGAAGTCCCACGGGATGAAGCCGGAGAGCTGGTCCAAGTCCCCGATCTCGGCGGAGCAGCCGCTCTCCATGGCCGGCAGTGCCATCCTGGCGGCCGAGAGGCCGTCCCGGGCCAGCCCCGAGTTCCTCATCGGGGAGGAGGACGATGATCTCATGGACGTGGCTCTAATTGGCAATTAGTTCTCGGAGAGGAGCTGTCTGCAGGGTCCTGTGGGGAAGGAAGGAGGGATCCATCCCAAACCCACCACGGGTGTGTGTTTGGGGAGGGGGGAAAGAAAAGTATTTCCGAGATTTTCAGATCTCCGGGATCTGAGCAGAAGGTGTGAGTGCCAGCACCTGCAGGCACTTCGGCTCATCCTGAATTTACAAGTGTTAGCATCCCACTGGCAGAGTCCCCCCCGAGTGTGGGAATGTGGGAGCAGCCCCCAAATGGGGGGGACAACACAGACATAGGCTGGTCTGGGACATCCCAGTCCCCCTGCCCTCTTCCCATTCAGGAGAAGTTCCTTTTGGATGTAGGAAGTTTTAAAGCAATTATTTTAGGAAACGTTTTTAGGGGGTCAAGTTTTATTCTTTGGAAGAAGGAAAACCGTTAAGGGTTTTAATTTATTTTATTTCCATTTCTTCATCCAGTGCCTGGCTCAGGGCAGGCTCTGTGTCCTCCTGGAGATCAGGATTTTATCCCAGGTCACAGCACTGAAGGATTTCTGCCTTGGCTTTGACTTCCCTTTCCTTTTAGCTATTTATTCAGCTCCACGCAGGGAACGCCCTGTGCTCCTTGTTTTTCCCCAAAGGGAATTTGGGCAGCCCTGGTGATGGTGGTGACGTCCTGGCACGGTGGAATTCCAGCAGATCTCGGTTGAAAGGGACTCCTGTCTCCATCGAGTGCCGCTTCCCTGAGAGCTTCCCTGGAATCCTCTTGTGCTGCTCAGCTGGGAATTGTGGTCACACACACAGGAATTGGTGTGGTGTCCTGGAGAGCAGTCCCTGAGCGGCTCAGCTGGGATAGGAGCTGCAGGAGAAGCACCAATTTCCTTCAAAGATGGATTTTCCCTTCTGGCTGGAATGAGGAGCGTGACTCAGGCGTCCTCTGCGGGCTTGTCTTGTGGTCCCCTGGAAGGAAAGGAGGCTCAGGGGAGTGGTTTTATTTTTAAAAGCAGTTCCATCTGATTCACTGGAGAGGAATGTGGGAAATCAGGAGTTCTGCAAACACATCTCCTTCGGGATCGTGGACTGAGCGGGGTCCTGCTCCTGTTGGAATTTGCTGTCCTGTCCCTGGAGACCGGGATTTCCCTGTGGGAACGAGGTTCTGCTTCACCTTCGGGGCCGCAGCGAGAAAAGGTGTCGAGGATTTGAGTTCCCTTTAAACCCCTGAGATTTCCCATCCTGGGCTCACCCCAGGGATACCCCAGGAAAGCTGTTCCTTTTCCAGCTCTTTGGAATGGTCTTTGTCCCGTTAATTGTAGGGATTTTTCACCTCTTCCTCCTGCCTCCAGCTGATTTCCAGGCCTGAATTTATCCCAAGCCCCGCCAGCTCTGGAGAACTTGCCCTTCCTGTGTTATCCAATATTGATCCTTCGTCCTGGGCACTGCAGCCTCCCCTTCCCCAGCGCTCCAGGGGCTGGAACGATAGGAAAATGGGAAACAAATCCCGACCTGGAGCAAATCCCATTATCCCACACAGCATTGGAATCATGTGAGTGCCACGAGGAGGATGTTGAGGAATACAATCCCAGAGGAATTTACCTGGAGACCGTGCATTGGGAATGATGCCGGGAGGGGTCCTGGCCCCTCTCCCGTGTTTATTTATCCTGTTTTTATGACAAAACCCCCTTTGATCCCTTCCCAGCCTTCCCAAAGAAGAGCTCTCAAGTGGAATCCGGGCTGGGAATCCCCCAGGAGTCATGTTTTCCTGCTTGGAAACACTCTAAAATTTGGAAGGAAATCCCGTCCAGCGGCAAAACGGACACAAAAAATGTCTTTTAAAGGAACAAACTGCGCACGTTTCCTTTCCCCTCACCCAGACCAAAGCTCAGTATCCAAAATTCCCCCCTGTGGAAGGTGGGAACAGAGGGAACAACGTCTCCTCTGGCCACTGCCAGAGGCACAAATCCCAAATTTAAAGCTTTTTCCCCCGTTTTGGTGCCCTGTCCCCTCCCAGTGACAAGTCCTGTGAGGTAACTGAGGTGGGAGGCCACACAGAGGCTCTCTGGGCTCTGAGAAACGGTTTATTTTTGAGCTATTTTTGCTTGTTCTCGATGATTTTACATCTTTCAGTATTTTGGAAAGATTGAAGTGACAATGAAAAAAACGTGAGCCAAATCTTTTAATCTCAGGTGGTGAAGCCAACGGGGAGATTAAAAGGAACTGGTTCTTTCCTCGCTGATCATAATGTACATAAACCCCTGGGCTGGAAAAAGCGCTGGAATTGTAAATAATCCCGGCTCCCGCGGCGGCTTTTTGGGGTGGAAAGTGGAATTTCGACTTTTTTTGGAAATATTGCAGAGATCACATTTATTTACATGCGAATAAACCCCTTTGGTACAAAGAGCTCTCGCGGGGTTTTTTTGGGTGTTTGGGGCGGGGCGGGGAGGTGGGGGGCCGATCCCCGCCACGCTTGATTTTCCCGCGGGAATGACATCATCGTGACGTCACGCCGGCGCGCGGCGCTGATTGGCGGAGCTCCGCGGTCCCGGAAGGGAGGGGCGGGGGACGCCCCCCCAACCCGGGACCCCCGATCCCCGCAACCCCCGGGACCTGGGGGACGATCCTGGAGGTCCCGAAGCCCCCAGGAAAGGAGGGGGCAGCGCCCTGGCCCCCAGCTCCCCAGCCGGGGGAGGGCGGCAGGACCCCGGCGGCGGCGCGATGGGGGCGGCGGCCTGCGGGGTAGGTGGGGGCAGCCTTGGGGTGTCCCCTGAGCCCCTCCCTCTGAGCCCCCCGGCATAGCCCTGGCCTCTTCCCCCGGAGCAGCCGCGGGCCCGAACCACCTCATTTTTTTCTCCCAACCTCGCCCCCAACCCGGGCCAGTTCCTTTCCCCGTCCCTCCCTCCCTCCCCTCGCCCCCTCAGGGCAGCCGCTGTCCGGGACCCCCCGCCCGCTCGGATCCCTCTCTCCTTCCCCTCGCTCCCCCTCTTTCCACGGGGCACCTGGCCCCCGGCCATCCTCCCCTTTCCCTCTCCCGCCTCCCTTTTCCCTCTCCCCCTAATTCCTATTCCCTCTTCTCCCCCCCTTTCCCCCCTATTCCCATTCCCTGTCCCCCTCCTTTTCCCCCATTCCCATTCCCTGTCCCCCCTTCTCCCCCTCCATTCCCCCTCTTTCACCCCCATTCCCTCGTGCCCCCCTCGCCATTCCCAGTCTCCCCATTCCCGGTGTCCCCCCCGCTGCCATTCCCATTCCCATTCCCGCTCCTCTCCCTCTCCGTGCCCCCTCGCCGGGGCCGCTTCCTCCCCGCCGCTCCCGCCGTCCAATGGTGGTTCCTGCTGCTGGCGGGTGCGCCGTGTTTTGTTTTGGGTCGAAGTTGAGGCCCGAGCGGACGCGGCGGCGGCGCCGGGCCCAGGCCGGACCGCCAGGACCCCCGGGACCCCCTGCCCCCTCCGCACCCCCTCCCCACCCCGCCATGCGCAGGGACATGAACGGGGTCACCAAGAGCCGCTTTGAGGTGAGGCCCGACCGGCCCTGCGGTGGGGAGCCCCGGCCTGGCCCGGACCGGGGGCGAGCAGAGGGGGTGGGGATGGGGTGAGACTCCTGAGCCCCCCAGGACCCCTGACCCGGACAGCGCGGCCCTGAGGGGGGCACGGCCTGGGGGGCGCGGAGAGGGGGGCTGTTTGAATAAGGAGGGGGTCGTGTCCGGGGGTGGTTTTGGGGAGTCTCAAAGTTGTGCCCCAACCCCCGGTTTGGGGGTGTTGGTGTGAAACGGCCCTGATTTTGGGGAGGGGTGTTTATGGGGGCCTGTTTGAATGGGGAAGGGGGTGGCTGGAGGTGTTTTTGGCGTGGGGAGGGTCTTAGGGCTGCGACCCCCGGTTTGGGTGTTGGCCCCCAACATCCGCATTTCGGTGGGGGTGGTGATTTTGGGGGCTCTGTGTGAATGGGGCTGGGGGGCGTCGTATCCGGGGGTGTCTTTGGGTGCTCAGGGTGGGCTCAGCTCTTGCGACCCCCCCCAGTTTGGGGGGGGGCGTTGTTGATGTGAAACTCCCCCCCGGTTTTGGGGCTCTTTGTGTTCCCCTTTCTGATTTAAACTCCCTTTGAGGGGTGGGCCCTGCAGACCAGAGGGGGGTCTCAGGATGCTCGGGGGGCGTCTCAGCCCTGGTCGTGTCCCCCCGGCTTTTTGGGGTGGGGGTGTGTCGGTGTGAAACTTCCCCGCCGCATTTTGGGGGTGTCCCCGTGTGTTCCAGCCCCCCCAACCCGCTTTTTTTTTGGGGGGGGGGCGCGGGCTCTGCCAACGTGTTGCTGCGGGGTCAGCGAAGTTGAGGATGGAGCAGCAGAGGTGGGAATTGCGCCTGGAAAACACCACAGCCTTTGGAAGGGAAGGGAATGGGGGGGGGGATCGGTGGTCCCAACGCTGCTGTTTTTTTTTTGGGGGGGGTGGGGAGCAGTAACCGGGAAAAATTTAATTAGAGGGAGAGGGGAGTTGGGGAGGGGAGGGGAAACAATGGGATCTATTGAAAGGCCGCGGCACAAAGCGCAGCGCCCGAGCCAGGGCGATTCCAGCCCGCATTGTTGTCCCAGCTGTCTTCCCGGGGGAGGAGGAGGGACAGAGGAGGAAGGGCAGCACCAGGATTTGCTTCCCAGCGCCGGGGGAGAGGCTGCGGAGATGGAATTCCCTCCTGCCCGCTCCTCCGGACTGCCCGGCCCGTGGGGAGGGACTGAAAAGCGGCAGGAAAAGAGCCTGGAACGGTAAAAAAGATGCGGCTGTTCCCCCGCCGTGGAGAGGGACGGGATGGAGAGCCGGGGAAAAAAACGCTGGTTTATGGGAATCCGGAGAGTGTCTGGCGTGGAATTCCCCGGGAGAGCGGCCCTGGAGCTGAGCAAGGTGCAGGAAGTGCTGGGGGGGGAGGTGGTGGTGGTGATACCGCACCTGGAATTGTTTTCTTTCCTCTCCCAAACCCGTAGCGGGGGCTGTGTTTGGGCTGGGGGGGTTAATTTTATTTTTAGTGTTACAATATTTCTGTAGCATCCAGCGCTAAAAGCTTTGGAACAACCCCGGGAACTCCGGAGAGGAGCCCTCACGTGAGCCCTGGATTGTCGGGGGTTTATTGTTTTTACTGTTCTGGGCTGTTCTTGGCTGCACAGACTTTTTTTTTTTAATTTATTCTTTCCACCCCCCAGAGCTTTTTTTTGTTTTGGTTTTTTTTTCCCCCCACTCCTGCAGAGTGGCTGATTACAGAGCAAAAGAGTAAAACCAGGTTGGTAACAGACTTTTTTTTTGGGGGGGGGGTGGGAGCATCGACCTGCTTTGCTTCCTTATCCTTCCTCTTCAGTGCTGGAGTTCCTTCCAGTTCTGGGAGATGGTTTCATCAGGGTTGGAGCAGGACACGATGAACCCAATTCACTGGGGAAAAGGAGTTGGGGAAGAGCTTTGTTTGCCTTGTTTTGGGTGGGGTGGGGTGTTGGATTTTTTGCTGGAATGTTGTGTTCTTCTTGTAGCAAGAAAACCCTGCAAGTTGGGAGATGAGCAAAACGCTCAGAGAGTTACTGAGGCCTAAATTCTTTTTTTTTTTTTTTTTTTTGGAGCTATATTTGTGCAGGAAGAGTCGGTGTGTTGTGGAAAGGCCTTGTTTGGGGCTGCAAGAAGTGCCTTTAAACATCACCCTGGTTTTTGGCCAGCGTGGTCACTGTGTTTTGCCCAGGGAAGCTGTGGCTGCCCCTGGAAGTGTCCAAGGCCAGGTTGGACGGGGCTTGGAGCGACCTGGAATAGTGGGAGGTGTCCCTGCCCACAGCAGGGGGTGGCACTGGATCATCTTTTAAGGTGCCTTCCCACCCAGAGCATCCCATGATTCCAAATCCAAGGCATGGCTTTGGTTATCCCTGCCCCACTCACCTGGAAAGGATGAGGTCTGGAGCTGTTTTCCTTTAAATCCACGGATTTCCAGTGAGGTTGTGCTGGTCTGAAGAGCTGCCAGAACTGTGAGTGGTGCCCACACCTGGAAATAGGTTTATTTTCTGGAGGGGCAGGACAGGTGGAAGTTCCTGGAAACCAGTCTGTAAAGGTTCTGCTTGGAAGGGAAAATTCGAATTTCACGGTATTTTCCTTGGCCTGAGGAGGGGGAAACAGAGCCTTTGGAGTTTTATCTTGGGGTAAAAATAGCCTGATCCGGGGCTGTGATAAATATATTGTGTCTGATTCAGCCTTTAAATACCAAGTGAGTGGTTGAGGGGGAGGTGGGGTTGGGTTTTTCACTCGGTTTATTGTCTTTTGTGAGGCCACGTAAACAGATTCCTGAGCCATTGTTGGCGGGTAATTCCCAAATCCAGCCGGGATGGGCTTTAATAACCATTTCCTACCCTGTGGAATATGGGCTGAGCTCCTGAAATCGGGCCTGCCTGGGTGGGTTTCTGGCTCCAGGAAGAGTGGGATTCTCTCCTTTAGCCGGGAGAATGAGCCATGCCCGGCTCTGGGAGCACGGTTGGAATTAGCCCCTTTTTCCAGGAGGTGTGGCCACCACAGAGAAAATCACCACTTACTGCAGCAAAGCAAACAAAAAGGGAAAACATTACCCAGATTGACTCCTAATTCTCTGTGGTGTCGGTTTAGTGTGGAACATGCCCTGACACATCCCGAGCCTGGCTTGGATTTGGGATTTCTCTGCTTCCAGCCCGGTGAGGTCCAGCCAAATTCCAGCAGTGAGGAAGGGAAGGCACCTCCTGGAGCTTTGGAGTGACTCCTGGAGGGCTCCCTGACCTCCCAAAGGCCTCAGCTTTCCTCACTTCCTTAACCCATCTTGTCCCTGCTCCCCTGCCCTGGGATGGCATCAGGAGAGATGCTCTCCCAAAGTCATCATCCCAAATAAACGACACCTTTTGGGGCAGGGAATTCTCAGAGCCCTCTGGTCAGCAGGGGGGTGGGTGGGATGATCCAGCCCCAAAGCACCTGCCCGTGGCCAGGAGCAGTTTTAGGTGGATTTATAGAACAGATTTATCTGGAATATGAGCTGTTGGATGACCACGGGGCAAGTCATGGACTGGCTCCAGGCCTGGATTCCCCCCCATGCAGGATCTCCTGCTCCTCAGAGTCCCCCCCTGAGCCAGGATTGAATAATTACAGGCCCTTTTCCTCCCCCCCAGACTATGAGCCATGTGTGTAGTCTCCCCTGCATCCTTACAAACACCACCACACAAAAAGCTCCATCCTCTCCAGCTTCCTCTGGGAGCCTCCAGAGCCTCTACTGAGCAGGAGCTGCTCCTGGCTCTGAGCTGGGGGTTTGTGGGGCAGTTTGGCCTCAAAATAAACCCCTGTGAACTGCAGGGTGAGGAACCAGAGCCCGTGTGAGCCCGAGAAAGGCACCAATCCAGGGGGTTCCAGAGCATTTCCCTCCTGGATCCAGGATGCTCAGTGTGGGAGGGAATTCTGACCCTCTGTAGTTCCCAGGGGTTTATTTTGTTTTGTTTTGTTTTGTTTTGTTTTGTTTTTAGAGCCCCGAAATGAGCTCAGCTCAGAGGGAAAAATGGGAAATGTCAGATGCTCCAAAATCGAGTTGCCTTCTAATAATTAATCCTGTCTGTGTTCAGAGAGCTGAATTGAATAATCCCACTGACCCTAATCCCATTTTGGAATCTGCCCCTGAAATGCTGTCCCTGTGTTTCAGGTTTTTTTGGTGGTTTTTTTTTTGGGGGGGGGGGCTTTAGAGCTGATCTTTTTAGGGTTGTGCCTGTCCCCTTTCCCAGGGTTCTTCCTGCTGTCCTGGCTGGGGCTTTGCTGTTCCAAAGGAATGAAGGTTGTGTAAACAGAGGGGGGGGGGCAGGGAAAACTTTGGAAAAAGTGGTGTTATTTACCAAGGGATTTCATTGTGCATGGGGAGAGAAACCTTTTGGCATCTGGGGTGGCACAGTTGAAACCTTTCTGTCATCAAATAATGTGGTTCATAAATAACGAGAAACACTGTTCAAAATACAGATTTTTATTTTATTTTATTTTGGGGGGGGTGTTTTGTTCACTCCCCCACTCCCATTTATTCTTCATTTGGGTGCCATCCCACATTCCAGGTGATGCTTTTGTAGCCAGCACTTCACTGGGGCAGATGGATAATGAATTGTTAACTTGGCTGTGGCCACAGTGGTTGTTTGAAGGTTGAGGGGTGTGAAGCACACACTGGGGTTTCACACCCCCAGGAGAGGAGGGGGGAATTTCGGGGGCATTTGGGAGCAAAAGTCCAGTGGGTTGTGCAGAAGGGATTTGACCCAGGGGCAAGGGGGAGAGGGGTCAGCAGGAAAATGGCTTTTGGCCTCAGCTCAGAGACAGAGCTGGGGTTGAACTTTTTTTGTTGTTATTTTTTGCCCCCAGTGGGATTCTGTTCTTCCTGTGCCAGGGATGGGAAAGGGGGGAAAGGTGGGCCCTGGGACACAGCAATTCCCTGGGATTGTGGGGTGGAGGGGACCTTAAAGCCCATCCAGTGCCACCCCCTGCCCCAGGCAGGGACACCTTCCACTGGCCCAGGATGCTCCAAGCCCCATCCAGGGATCCAGGGGCAGCCACAGCTTCTCTGCCCACCTCTCTGTCCTCCCTTCTCCCCACCCCTCCCAGGGAGGAACTTCCTCACACCCAACCTAAACCCCCTGTCTTGCAGTGTGAATCCACTCCTTGTCCTGCCTCTCCGTGCTCTTGGAAAATTCCCTTTATTGAGAGACCAAACCTGAGCTTTCCAAGCCTTGGGATTCAGGTACAGGCACAGGTTGCCCAGAGAAGCTGTGGCTGCCCCTGGATCCCTGGAAGTGTCCAAGGCCAGGTTGGACAGGGCTTGGAGCGACCTGGGACAGCGGGAGGTGTCCCTGGATTGGACCTGGATCATCTTTTAGGTCCCTTCCAACCCAAACCGTTCCCTGATCCCACACACAGCTCCCAGGGGGGTTTTCCTGGGTGAGCATGGAATGGTTTTCCCGGGAGCTGCTGCTCAGAGCAGCCCCCACGAGGGGCATTTTGGGATCCTGGGTGTCCCCAGGGAGAGGCTGGGCCGTGTCCACCTGGGATCACCACTTGTGTAAGAGGGAGGGGAGTGAGAGCCACGGGCACAGCTCCCTCCTGCTGGACCCCATCATTAATTGGGGCCTGGGCACAGCCACTAATTACTGTTTTCATTGGGATGCCTGGCTGGGAGCTTCCTTTGACTCACCCCGTTGGGAAAGTCGGCCCTGGGAGGGTTTTACCCTCCCTGCTGGGGCGTGGAGGCCGTGCCTGTGAGGAGGGGCCAGTCCCTGGGTGGATCCTGGGTGGATCCAGCGCTTTTCCAAACTCCCCCAGTGCCCCCTCGCAGCTCAGCTCGGGTGGGTTTTTAATGAAGGCGCCATCACTGGGCTTCATTTCCAAATAAAACACTCCAGTAATCCCCACACCTCTTACGTAAGAGCCGAATAAAAACCCGGGAGTGAATGAAAACACCTTATTACCAATCCTAATAATATTACCAGTAATAACAACATTACCAGCAGTAACAACAGAGCTGCAGGTGCCGGGGAGGGGCAGAATAGAAGACTTTTGTCAGAGCAGCTTATTTGGCTTGTGATGAGCCTTGGAGAGCTGGGTAAGTCTTGGCTTCAGCCTGAAAATACTGAATCATGCCTTCAGTTCCTGGGTTTGCTAGGGGGGGTGGGGGGATGTTGTTTTAATCCATTCCAAGTGTGTTTGTAGTAAAACCACTGCCCTGCTAAAAGGAGTTTCTCGAAAGGTAAAAATAAAGAGTGGTAAGTGGGTGTTGCAGGCCGTGTCTTGGGCAGGTCAGGAAGTCTTTGTCTTATTTATACTCTTCCTTCTTGCTTGGGGGTGTTGTGTTTTTTTTTTTTTTTTTTATGGGCAACAATCTATATTTAAAACCTGGAGAGGCTGAGGAAGCAGCAGCATTTTAAATCAGATACCTGTGCTGGGCTGCAAAACACAACCCGTGGCGTGCTGAGGGTTTTTAGAGGCACTAAAAAAGCAGGAGCTGGAGCAGCTTTGGGAGCACAAACAGAGTTTTTGGGGGCTCAATCCATGGGATCCCAGCCCTGGAGCTGTCACTGGCGCTCCCCAGGAGTGGGGTGGGTGTTTCATTCAGCCCCAGCCACAACTCCTGGGCCCTCAAAAGCTGCTTATCTGGGAGCTGCTGCCTCCCTGAGCTGTGCCCAGGCTGCCCCAGGTCCTGCCAGGGCTGTGCAGGGGCAGCTCCTCGGCTGTGTGTCCTCCCCAGCCGCCGTCCCTCGGGTAACTCGGGGCTGGGGGGTGGAATTGGGGTTGGAAGGGAGCACAGGGAGCTCCCAGTGGGGTGGTTTGGGGTGCTTGGTTTGGAAGGAGCTGCGTGGGGCAGGAGAACAAACCAGATGAACAAACAGCACCCCCTTTGGGGTCTGGCAGCGGGTTCTGGGGGGGGGTGTTGGGGTTAAGGGGGTGTAGCCACGTGGTGGCTGCAGCTGGAGTGGGGTTTGTGGGATCAGTGGGTTTTTTAGTGTCTCACCTGCACGTCCTGGCTGTGGAGTTTCCCCCCCCACCCTTGAGAGCAGCAACGTGACCTGATCCATCTGCCCATCCTGAGGGATTTCCCCTCCCTGGCAGTGCCACCGTGTCCGAGGGGTGTGGAATGGGAAGGGCTTCGTCACAGCCTGCTCAGTCACTTCTGTAGGGCTTGGAATCATTCCTGATTTAAAAAAAAAAAAAAAATCCCCCCAGACAGGCTCTTAATTTAACTTTGCCCCCTGTGCAGGCTGGGCTGGGGCAGCTCATCCCACCCCATCCCCCAGCAGGAATTCCAGCTTTCCCAGCCGGGCAGAGCTGAGGAAGCAGGGGATGTGACAGTGTCCATCCAGCCATTGGCCCTGGGAGCTATTTTTAGGGATATTAAGCTTGTAATCAGCCCTTTTGGCCGGGGTTTGTCCTGCTTAGTCAGGATTTTGCCCGGGCAGGGTTGGGAGCAGCGGGGCAGGAGGGCAGTGGCTGCATTCCCACCCTTCCTTATCCCAGCACAGCATCCCCACAGCCAAGGAGGGAGCCTGGCCCAGCCCTGCCTCGCTCCCAGCCAGCCATTTCCTGGGAGACTTTAACTCAGATTGGACTGGATGGGCTTTAAACAAATTCCCTGTGTAACTCCAGGGAAATTCCCTCGCTCTGAGCGGCTTGGGGCTGTAAACAACTCTGTGCCTTGGATCCTCTGGAGAGCCTTGGGTTTCACTGGCATTTCAGTGGCTGATCCCTGCAGTGTGTGAGTCTTCTTTGCCTCCAGGAGGGCGGCTCAGGCTGCTCCAGCTGCTGCTTCCCGAAATCCTGTGCTGGGAAGGGAATCGGTGCCGCTCCGGTCTCGGTTGTTGGAGCCCTGGAACAGTGGGGATTATTTAGTTTTCTTTTTCCCCAAAATGAGCAGAACTGGAGGCAAGATGTCAGTTCATATTGAGAGTGTTTGTTAGGAGTGAATTCAAAGCTTCACTGAGAGCTTTCCCAAAGGAAACACGGGGTGAATTCCACGTTTTTCCTGTCGTTCCGTGCTTTATGCTCAGTGGTTTTTTTCCACCGGGTTGCTGTGTCTTGCCTTGTCTCACTGACTCTGCACTGGGCTTCTTCATCTCCATATGGACCATAACAGGTAAAATTGATATAAATTCTACCAGAAATGCTGGAATTCTTTTTAGCTGGATGAACCTCCCGGTGCATCTCCCACTCCTCGGGGTGTAAACTTGGAGTGAATTCCAGCAGATGTTCCATCACTGTCGCTTCCCAGCAGCCAAAGGGCTCTGAAAGTCCCTCTCCAAAGTGTCTGACACCACCTGGGTGGGAGGAGAACCCCCAAATATTCCAGCTGTGTGCCTGTGATCCCTGAGTTCTGCAGGCAGCAGTTGATTCCCACCTTTCCCAGCTTCAAACCGGTTTCCAGAGCGCGTTGTTTGCTCTCTTAGAATCAGCATTTACAGCCTGTCCTCAGGCTGGCTTTGATTTACTTCCTTTCCTGTGGCTGGGTGCAGTTGAGGAGGGTCTGGCCAGCATTTCCTCAGGGATCAGGGGCTGTGGAATCCTGGAATATCCCGAGCTGGAAGGACCCCACGAAAACAGGGAGCTTTAGGCCCCAGAGCAACTCCAGTTTCACCCTCAGCACGTGGTTCCCTGGTTCTTTTGGATCTGTTGTGAGAAGTCTGTCATGCCCTGTTAGACTTAATTTGGAGTGTTTTGAAGTGAGAATATTTGCTGATGTTCCATGGGTGGTGGGTTTAGGTTCTGCATTGTTTATTTGGCGTGAACTGCGACAACACAGGGACGTGAAACGCTTCCCGGGTTGTGTTTGGGGAAGGTCTGGGGCTTTCCTTCCCCCCTGCCCCCCTCTGTGGGTGTCCCTGCTGGGTGCTTGGGTGTGTTTTGGGCTGAAAACGGGTGTCACTGTCTCCCTTTCCCTCTCTGTGTCTCCCAGTGTGTGCTGTGCTCTGTTGGTGCTTCCAGAGTGCCCAGTCTGAGTTATTTTTCCCTCAGGTGATCATGCAGGTGGGTCAGTTTGTGCCACCCCCCCAGTGCCTCCTCTAACCTTGCAGCCACTAATTCCCTGCAGCTCTGGATAAGCTTCATCCCCTTTTTTCTCCACCCAGCTTTGAATTTGCTGCTCTGGGAGGGGAGTGTTGGAGTTCAGAGCCCGTGTCAGGGTGGGCTTTGGCTCCGGGGCTGCTGCAGCCCCAGCAGGGGCTGCACTGACAGGACCAGGGCAGTGGTTTTAGGATGCCAAAAGGATGGGATATTGGGGAGAAATCCCTCCCTGGGAGGGTGGAGAGGCCCTGGCACAGCTTGCCCAGACACCTTCCACTAGCCCAGGTTGCTCCAACCTGGCCTTGGGCACTCCCAGGGCTGGGGCAGCCACAGCTTCTCCGGGAAATCCATCCCAGCCCCTCACCACCCTCACTGGGGAGAATTCCTTCCCAATATCCAGTTGGACTTCACACACCAGCAAACCTGGTGGCCCATCCTGTGTTTCAGACGTGCTGCAATCCCTGCATCCAAGAAAAATGCCTTTCTCTGTGCCCTGACCAAACTGATTTATTCCATGGACACCACCTGGTGTCGGGGATGATGCAAGAGATGTTGGGAAAAGCAAACTCCAGGTTTTTAGTGTTTTTTTTTTATCCCTAGAAATATTCTGAAAGCCTGGAAGTCCGGAACAGCCTCTTCCATTTTTTTTTTTTTTTTCAGAGCAGTTTTATTTTTGTGAGGACTTGCCAGAGAGTCACCATGTCCACTGATATATTTAGCTGGGAGTGCTGCCGTGACTTAGCAAAAAAATCCCACAGTCCCAGCCTGTTTTTTCACCCAGGCTCGGAGGGGAGGCTGGAGAAAATGGCTCTGGTGATGTCCCCTGGCACTTCCCAGCCTCCCAGGAGAGCGGGAATTCCAGAGGTTCTCCCTTGGAGCACGTCCTGCCTGGTCCCTCCCCCCATCAGGTTTTAAGTCCAAGGACTATTTTTAGCCAGACAAAAAAATCCCAGAAAACCAAACATTGCTTTAGATCAGTGCTGGTCAAAGGGAAACTCCTGCAGGAAGGAGTGTGAGGCTGGGATTTGTGCTGGGATCGAGGTGGGATGTTCCTGCTGAGGGGTTCCCTGGGATGAGTGAGGCGGGGGGGGCTGTGGCTGCTTTGGAATCTCTGCTTTAATCTCTTCTCTCCTGCTCTGGATCCCCTTTGGGAATCTCCTCCAGCTTCTTTAACTCCTTTAACTTCTCCTACCCTATTTTTAGGGAGGAGGGTGCTGGCCTGGACAACAGTGGGAAAGGGGATGGATGTGTTGGTGTTACTGTGGGAAGAGAAGAATCCCTGTGCCTTTCCCCCTCCCTGGAGCTCCCCGTGGTTTCCTGGATTTCCCAGCTGAGCAGCTCAGCCATTCCATGAGCTGGGAATGAGCCTTGGGAATGTCTGTCCCTCCTGCTGGGGCTCTGCAGAGTCACCTGCCAGGAGCCGGCTGGTGGCTCCAGGAGGTGCCCCCGTCCCCTGCCGGAGCTCTGGGAGCTGGGAATGGCACAACTCCACTCTAATTAGGAGCAAATTGCCTGTCTGGTTCCTGTTCAGGACCTGCCAGCTTGTGATGTCCCTGGTGGGAGGTGATAAAAGTGTCTGTGGGGGGAAGACAACACTCGTGCTGGGTGAGATTTTTGGGAAAGGAGCGCGGGAGAGTTCGTGTCCCGCTCCGGTGTCTTGGGATAACTCAAAGCAAGCTGTGGTTCAGGAACACAGCTTTTGGACTGGGCTCCCAAGGCCTTGGCTTTGGTGTTCTCTGGTGCTGATGGTGTTATCCAGTGCCCAGCTTTTAATCCCTGGTTGGAGCTTTTAAAAGGCAGCACGTTGGCATTTTCGGGTTGGATTCCAAGCTGAGCTTTGGTGGGTGATGGGATTGGATCCCTGCTCAGGAGCGGGATATTTGGAAGGGGATGGATCCACGTTCAGGTACAGGACAGTTATGAGGTGATGGGATTACATCCCTGCTCAGGGATGGGATATTTGGAAGGGGATGGGATTGGATCCCTGCTCAGGTACAGTTTGAAAGCTGGAGCACAAGATTTATCTGTTCAGAACTTACCAGAGCAGATGTCTGGGAACAGCCTTGTCATCCAGCCACCTTTTCCCTGGGATTTCTTCCCTGGGAAGTGTTGGCTGACCTGTGGGACCTGTGCTTGTTTTGCAGATGTTCTCAAACAACGATGAGGCCGTGATCAACAAAAAACTGCCCAAGGAGCTGCTGCTGAGGTGAGTCCCTGCCACGGGGGGGGTTTTGTCAACACTCAGTGGCTGCAGAGTCTGGGGAGAGGAGTGTGAGGCAGGAACTGCTGCTGGAATGGAGGGAATAGGGGAAAAGGTCTCGCTGTCTGTTGTTTTCACTGCACTGCCAGCTCTGGGGTGTTACTTCCAGTCTGATTCAGGTTCTCTCATCCCAAATCTCCTCACCCGAAAAGCACACGGGGTGTGTCTTGTGGAGCCCTCCCCACTGACAGTGTGTGGATGTTGGGGTTTGGAGCCTGGCACAGGGGGGAGTGACACAGTCCAGCAGCAAGAGGGATAACAGAAATGGTCTTTTCTGGGTTTTCTGGGAGCGGATTGTTGATGTGGTGGGAGCAGGTACAACAAAGTGCAGCTTCCACTCCTCAGCCGCGCACGGGAGGCACCGAATCCATCTGAGGGGAGACAGAGAAGGAGCCCTTTCCCCAGCAGCACTGCCCAGACACACCAGCCTTTGTCCTGCAGACACTGACACCCATTTACAGGAGATTCCTGCAGGGAAACCAGTCCAAGTTTCCCTTTCAAAGGCCGCACTGTCAATCCGCGCTCATTAATGTTCGCAGTCTGCTGGCAGTGAATTCCAGCTCTCCAAACCGTCACTTATGAACTTCAAACATTTATCAACTGCTGGTTTCTCCCTGGTTTTCCCCCTTCCCCCCCCCAGATCCCAGACATCTGCTGGGATGGCATGGCCAGTGACACCAAGGCACCGGCTTTGGTGCCATCCTGGGGGGATGTGGGGCTGTCCAACACCCCCACCTTGGCAGGAGCAGGGAGCAGGCAAGTGGGAATGGGGCTTTTCCTGCCTGGTTCATGGGCAGGTCAAGCAGTTTGCAGCTCTCTCCTGGCCTAAGCAGCTTTGATCCGTGCTCTCTGCCTGCTCCCCCTTCCCAGCACTGCCTCTGCCATCCACCATTCCAGCCCCACCTTGGTTTATCCCCCGGGGAGCCGGAGTTGTTGGGAATTGATGAGGAGGTGGGAGCAGAGCTGTGGTTTTTCTCTCCCCCCTGCCCAGCCCATGGGAGCAGGATCCACCTGGAATGGTGCCTCACTGGCAGGAACTGCTGGGGATAATTTTAGAAGGCTGAAGGTCTAAGCTGGCTCACCTCAGAGCCCTCAGCATCCAGGGATTTCAACAGGGCCTGACCCTAATCCAGTTAGGGACAGTGGGAAAGTGAGGAGTCCTAGAGACCCTGAGTGGATTAAGAGGGTGAAACCTGAAAATTGCTCTGAGTGGGTGTGTTTTCCCCAAACTGCCCAGGGCTGAGCTGTTCAGCTGCACGTGGGGAGTTACTTTGCAGTGAAACAGTTCAATCTGCTGCAATTCCAGCCTTAATTCCTGTTGGGAAAGCTCAGCCTGCCTTCAGCCCTGGTCACTGCTCGGTGATAAAGTTAATTTTGTGGATTATTTCCTCGCTGTCGACTCTGGAGAGAGAAAGGACCGGTGTAAAAGAGTCGGGAGCAGAGCAGGAATCCTGCCTGGATGGAAAAAGGAACATCCCAGCTCGGTGCCTTTGGGTCTGTTAAGGCAGAACTGGGAAAAATCATCCAAGGAGTGCCTGTCTGGGCACCCCATACCACTTCCATACTGGAAGGCCACAATTAGGTCACCCTGGAGCCTTCCCTTCTGCAGGCTGAGCAATCCCAGCTCTGCCAGCCTTTCCTCACCCCTCTAATCACGGGGGTGACACCCGGGACTAATCCGGGCACCGAAACCGGGCTGGCCCTGCGTCGATCCCGGGGCTGGGAACGCTGGCACTGCCCACTCCTGGGAGCTCCTGCTGGAGGTGTCGGTGCCCTGGGCTCGCTCCCAGGTGGAATCAGAGCCAGCCATCCCCAGAATCCCCGTGGGTGCTCCCTGTGCTGCCCATCGTGGGGCTCGGGGGCTCTTTGGGGCCGTGACCGCCGCGTTCCCTCCGTGGAGCTGCTCCAAGGTGTGAGATTCCCGCTTCCCCAGCTGCTCCAAGGTGTGAGATTCCCGCTTCCCCAGCTGCTCCAAGGTGTGAGATTCCCATTTTCCCGTGGCCTCCAGAGCTGTGTTTCGCTTTTCCTTTGGGAGCTGCTGCCTCTGCACTTCTTTTCAGGGCCCAGCTTTCAGCTGAATCACAAAGGAGTTTTGCTGCCCCCGATTTTTTTTTCCCCCCCTCTTTGTTTTCCACTTCGTGGTAAATGCCAGTGACCAATAAGGTGTCTTCTCGTTTCTCTTCCAGAATTTTCTCCTTCCTGGATGTGGTCACTCTGTGTCGCTGTGCTCAAGTTTCCAGGGTAAGGACCTTCCTCCTTTCCTGGTGGATTTTAGCAGGGGGTTGGATCTTGGTAGGGGGCAGGGGGGGCAATCTTCTCTCTCCAGCCCTTCCCAGTCACAGGGGGGGTTGTGGCAGGACCCTTTGTGCCACTCAGCTGTCGTTTGGTGTCCCCTGTTAACACTGGAAAACTCCCAGTGAAGGGGACTCCAGGCTGGAATAGCATTTTCCAGTGTCCCAGGTAGGAAGGGGCTTGACTTTTTACCTGAGTTTTTTACCAGGCTGCTGGAAACCCCAGAGCTGGCAGTCTAAAATGGGTTGGGTGGAAATGCAGGAATTCTGATTCACAAAGGTGCTGCAGAGCCAGTGAAAGTTAATTTCCTTCCTGGATGTAGTTGGAGTAAGCATGGGGTGGGAAAAAATAACCGCACAGTGTTTTGTTTGGGGTGGTTTCTGTCCTTTGTGGTGAAATCCAGCTTGGAATGTTCGCTTGGGAGAGTTCCTCCAACTGCAGGTCAGATTGTCTGGAGCTTCCAGGTTTATTCAGGTGCTTTATCTGGGAAGAGCCAGAGGAGGCACCGCTGCAGGAAAGGGTGGGATGTCCATCCAGGGGAGGTGTTGGAGTGGAGCGTTCCCTGTCCTGGCTGGGTCACTCCTGCACAAAACCGCTCAGTGCTGGTTCAAACCCACACCACAGCTCAGTGCATCAGCCCAGGCTCCTTGGAATCAAAAAACCCCAGTGCTAAAACATTATTTACTGCATTAAAACTGGGCCTGGGCCTTGGCACTTCCCACCTGGGTCACGCAGGTCCGGGAGGGAAAGGCCTTGCCGGTGGAATCCGCGGCTCCAGCAGAACCGTCCTGGCCAGAATGGGATCCTGCCAATGTCAGGGTGCCCTCCTGGACTGTCCCTTGCTCCTGTTTGCCCAGGGAAGCAGGGAACACATCGTTCATCCCCTGGCACAGCACGTGAAGTGCCTGTGGGAGGTGCAGGAAGGCTCTGGAACGTTCCCTGCCCGTGGAATTGTGCGGCCACCGGTGCATTTCCCACCGGAGCTGTCGCTCTTCCCACGGACCTTAAAACAAACAGCAGCAATTCAAAACCCCAGAGAGAAAATGAGTGAATGCCCAGTTCTGTGCCCTGCTCTGACTCTGCACCACTTGTTGCTGGTGTTTTGGGTTGGGGGTGAGCTCAGTGCAGGGGAGGGATGGGGTGGAAAATCCACCTGTATTTATCCCCCGATTTCCCAACGCCCAGCTCCTGGTTGTTACCAGATCTGGCTGTTTGCTTTGGTTGTGCAATGAAAGCTTTACACACACAGCTCTTGTGCTGATTATTCACTGAGGGCAGAACCACCGGCCCTGGGCTCCTGCCCCTCCTCTGTAGCAGGAACCACGGTGAGATTTGGGGTTGTTTGGGCCAAAACCAAAGTGCTGAGGGTCCCCTGGGGGGCACTTTAATTCCAGCCAGCAATATGAAGGTGCCCACCCTCCTCCCACCCTGGGGGCACCAATTCCCTGCTTGGGGGCACTCGGGAATTCCAAGAGGGGACCCCAGGGGGGTTTTCCCAGCGGGCACATCCCAGTTCTGCGTGTTGGAATTCCCCCGTTGCTTTTCCACCTGGGACACTGAGAATGTTGTTTCTCCAAGGAGCAGACTGGGACATGGTCCCCCCCACCACTGACCTTTTTTTTTTTTTCATATTAACCACACATCTACATTTTTTCCCCCTGATAAAGGCATGGAATGTTCTGGCCCTGGATGGCAGTAACTGGCAGCGAATTGACCTGTTTGATTTCCAGAGGGACATTGAGGTATCATTAAGTGACATACAAACCCATTTTTTTTTTCTTATTTTTTTTATTTTTTTTCCCCCTTGTTAAACTGTAATTACAGCCTAGAATGGATTCTTACTCCCAGAGTAACCCTTTTTACCTTCCCTGGAGATAGAGATCATTAATTCCAGTCCTTCAGCTTCGGGGAGCCTTGAAAAAAGCCTTGGCAATCCATTCAGCTTTTGAAAATGGACAGAATTATGTATCTGCATCGAGCCTGGAAGGGGGTAATGGAAGGAAAGTGGTTTTGCCTGTTCTGAAAACAGAAATTAGTAGAAAATGTACGTTTTTGAGGGGAAAAACTGCTGCTTGTGTGGAGCAGAACTGAGGCTGTTTCTCCTTTCCCTGCCAGTCAGCACAGCACTGATGAGACCATGGAGGCTGAATGTCTGCTGAATCCCTCCCTGTCTGTCTTTAAGATGAAAAATTGACATTTCAGTGAGGATGATTTGGGGGGGAACGAGGTCAAAAGTTGTCCCTGAAAAGATGCAGCTTTGGAGCTGCTTCATTGTTGAATCTGCTGGATGTGGGCCCTGCACTGATAGGGGATGGTCTTAAAGGGCATTGAGCAGGAAAAGGGATGAGAAAATAAAACCCAAACACTTTAGTCTTCTATCAGAATGTTTTATATTGTTTAAAAAAAAAATACTAAAAAAACCCAACCCCTTTTAAATGAAAATGCTGGAATTTGTTGTTCCCCACCTCCAGAACCCGCTGGGCTTCCTGATGTGCTCAGGCTCTGCTTTGAGGGAGTTATATCCATCAGCTGGTGTAAATTCTTGATGCAAACATGTTTGGATCCCCTAATCCAAGCAGGATCCCCAGGCTTGCCAGAGGAATTGCAAAACCCGGGAATGTTTCAGCTGCTCCAGCCGTTTTTTGCAGGGATGTGGGGCCAAAACTCACCTGGAGTGAATCTCTTTTCCCATAGGGGTTGAATTCCTGGGCTGGTTCTGCTCCTGAATGGAAGTTTGGGTTTATCCACTCTTGTCCCTTGGAAATCCTGCTGCCCCTTCCCTCCCATTCCTTGTGGAGGAATCTGTGTGGATGTCCAGGAGCTCCAGAGTGGGGGAAACTCCTCAGAATTCCCCCATCCTTAACTGATGGGCCCCAGGGAGCTTCTCTGTCTCTCCATCTTCAGAAGCTGAATAATCCCCCCCTCCCCTTTCCCCGAGATACTTTCCATGGCATTTTTATTTCCTTGTAGCACCCTAAAGCACCAAACTTGTTGTTAATCTGCCAAATGTTGAATTCAGCTGTTTGGGGGGTTGTTTTTTGGTGGGTTTTTTTTTGGGGGGGAATGCTGAGGTGCCCTCTCTGTCTCCCCCAGGGCCGGGTGGTCGAGAACATTTCCAAGAGATGTGGGGGATTCCTGCGGAAGCTGAGCCTGAGGGGCTGCCAGGGAGTGGGGGACAACGCCTTAAGGTAGAGCTGCACCTTCTTCCTGCTTGGAATGGGGCTGGGAAGGGGGATTTGGCTCCTCCATCCACCCAGGGATGGGGATAATCCAGCACCGCTTCGGGCCCAGCCCCTCATCCCATGTGTGTGTGTGAGGGAAACCTGGAGGGCAGGGACAGGCACTGCTCATTTCCCTCTTTAACTGCTCATTTTCTGCCTCAGCCCAGGTTCAAAAGTCTCATTAAAATGCAATTTTTCTCAGTTCTCATTAAAATCCTGTGGGCTGCTGTTACAAACCCGGGAGGGGTTGGCACTGAGGGGCAGCTGAGGCCTTTAGTGGGGCTGGGAAACCCCAGGGCACGGGGTGGGCCAGCAGAAATCACTGGTTTTCTGGATTTTCTTCTGTTTTCTTGGGTTTGCTCTTTATTTTCTTAATTTTGTTCTTTATTTTCCTAATTTTGTTCTTTATTTTCTGGATTTTCTTGATTTTTTTTTTTTTTAAATATTTCCTTGGTTTTCTTCTTTATTTTCTTGGCTTTCTTGAAGAAGAAAGAAAGAAATTTTCTACTTGATTTTCTTCTCGATTTTCTTGCCTTTCTTGATTCTTTTCTTCTTTCTTGATTCTCTTGGTTTTCTTCTTGATCTCCTTGATTTTCTTGATTTCCATTTCTTGATTATTTTTTCATTCCATGATTTTCTTGATTTTCTTCTTTATTGATCTTTATTGATTTTTTTCTTTATTGATTTTCTTCTTTATTGATCTTTATTGATTTCTTCTTTATTGATTTTCTTCTTTATTGATTTTCTTTGTTGATTTTCTTTACTGATTTTCTTCTTTATCGATTTTCTTCTTCATTTCCTTCATTTTCTTCCTTATTTTCTTCCTTATTCTGCTCGAGACCGTTCTGCAGAACCTTAATCTGCTGAGTTACAGCTGCTGGAATTCTATTCCCTGGCCAACCCAGTGTTTTTTTTCCCTCCCTTTCCCAAAGGACCTTCGCCCAGAACTGCAGGAACATCGAAGTGCTGAACCTCAATGGTTGCACCAAGATCACGGACGCGTGAGTAGAGCTCTTCCCTCGGCCCTGGCTGCTCCAGGGAGTGCTCCAGGGCTCCACAGCCCCCCTGGGGGTTCCATCCCAGAGTCCCCACCCCCCTGCTCCCCCCCAGAGTGCCGTGGGATGTGTGGGAGCTGGGATGGATCCATGGCAGGGGTGTCTCCCTGTCTCTCTTCCAGCACCTGCACGAGCCTCAGCAAGTTCTGCTCCAAACTCAGGCACCTGGACTTGGCCTCCTGCACCTCCATCACCAACCTGTCCCTGAAAGCACTGAGGTAGGAGCCAACAGCACCGGCTGTGCAGCTGGAACCGTGGGATTAAGGCCGGAAAAGACCCCCAGGACCACCCCAGTCCGCCCAGCCCCACCTGGGGAACATCCCCCCCACCCCGAGCTGAGCTTTGGGAACTGTCCCCCTTGGGCTGGGGGGGTCTCTGTGCTCAGGTGGCTCCCAGAAATGGGCGTTTCAGGGGCGAAAAGCGGGATTTCCTCCCGAATCAAAGCGGCATTCCCACGTTTTCCCTGTCTCCCCCAGCGAGGGATGCCCGCTGCTGGAACAGCTCATCATCTCCTGGTGCGACCAAGTGACCAAGGACGGGATCCAGGCCCTGGTCAGGGGCTGTGGGGGGCTCAAAGCCCTGTCCCTGAAGGGCTGCACCCAGGTATGGCTCTGGAAAAGGGGGACAGGCACAGCTGGGATGTTCCTGCTGCTCCTCAGGGAGGGTGGGGAGGAAATACTTCTACATTTCTTTTGCTTCCCAAAAAATTCCATCAGCAGAATTCCTCCCGGTCTGCTGGAAGTTTGGGGAAGTTCTTTAATCCTTGGAGCAGTGGGATAAGTCACAGACCGAGCTGGAGAATCCTCCTTTTCCCCCATTTCCTCTTTTCCCACTGAGCAGATCGTTTTCTGGAGGGGCTGTAAATGTTATCCATCCCCAGGGGATTTCGGGGCTCTCCTTTCATCTGCCTGGGGATGGAATTCCCTCCCCGTGCCCTTGGGATTTGTAGCCACTCAAAGAGAATCTCTTTTCCTTGGAAAACACCTCTGGAACCGCAGTTTCCCTGCCAAAGCTCTGGAGTGTATTTGGAGAGGGTCTGACACCTGGATTTTGGGATATATAAAGGCTAAAAGGGTGGGGGTTTTGCCCCATTGTTATATTTTTGTTATTTAAACTGACCTTCTTTTATTTTTCTTTACTCTTACCTTGAAAAGTTTGATGAATTAAATCCCTCCCTACTGTTACAACTTTATATATATAAATACATGTATCGATTATGAACTGGGGCAGGGGGAACATCAACCCCTTATTTTAATGTAGAAAATATAAACCATATCAATACCAAATATATTAAGCAGTGCAATAAATGTGTAACATCAAATAATACTTCTATTAAAGGCAATACTCTTAATAAAGAGTAAAGCCTTTTTATTTTTCAAGCTTTTTAACCCCCTGAGTTAAAAAGGAACTCGCTTGATCAAAGATAGAACCAACCCAGCCTATTTTGGGTATCCAGGTCATGGGAACAGCTTGAGTTTCCAGGAATTTAGGGAGTTGTGAGTAATATCGATGGCAATCCATCCTGGGTTATCCATCCCTTGCCATCTGCTCCTGGAGATTGAGGAATGGCAGGATTTGACCCTCAGGAATCACCCCGGGGTGTTTTTGTGCTCCTCACTCCGGGATGAGGCTCCTCAAGTTCTGTAAAATCAGAATATCCTGAGCTGGAAGGGACCCACAAGGGTCAGAAAGGGCCAACTCCTGGAATTCCAGCACTGTTGGAATAATAAAAAGAAGAAGGAGAAGAGAAGGAGAAAAAAAAGAGAAAAGAAAAGAAAGAAGAAAAAAAGAAAAGAGGAAAGGAAAGGAAAAAGGAAAGGAAAGGAGAACAAGAAGAAGAGAAGGAAAGGAGAACAAGACAAGAAAATAATGAGAAAAGCTTGTTGTTGTTGTTGTTGTTACTGCAGTAATAATTATTGCTGCCACACGAGCCCAGGGTCACTGGCAGGCCCAGGGTGGTGGAACGTTCCCCTGCCCCCTGTGAGGAGGAGGTGATTCCAGCCCGTGCTGGGGGTCTGTCCCTGGGGGATGAGCCCAGCTGTCCTTGTGGCTCTGAGCTCTGTCCTGGGCTGGCACAAACCACCCCCTCCCCGGGCAGGAGCGCCCTCAGCACGGTGGGTCCTGTGCCTGTGGTGCCTTTCCCTGCTCCCCCAGAGGCTCCCAGAGCCCCTTTGGTGCCCCCCCAGCTGCCCTGGGGGGGTTTTAGCAGTGCCAGGTGGTCTCAGTGCCTGTGTTTTCCCCCCCCTCTCTCTCAGCTCGAGGATGAGGCCCTGAAGTTCATCGGTGCTCACTGCCCCGAGCTGGTGACGTTAAACCTTCAAACCTGCTTGGTAAGTGAAGCTTCCCAATGTTCCCCTGGGGAATGTGCTCCGTCCCCAGTGCAGCTGATGAAAAAACCAGCTTTTTGGTGCCATTCAGGAAGGCTGAATAATCCCCAGCCCAGCCTTTGCTGTGTCAGGCTCGTCCCTCCCTTCCCTGCCCGTGGGGCTCCTGAATTCGTTTGCAGGATGAGCTGGAAAAATCTCTTTCCATCAGTCCTGGAGCGGCCTTGCCAGGCCTTTCCTCTGGTCCCTTTCATGGATTTGAACCCAAAAATGCAGTTTTCCTGCACAGGAGGGCCCTGGGCCAGTCCTGCAGTGCCAAAAATGTGCATTTATGCCAAAAAAAATTATTTGGAATGGGCTCTCTGTACATGCCATCACACAGTTAGTCGGGAACAGCAGCTGGGCAACCTCTTCCTTTTCCTTGGAAGTGGGCCCTGTGTCCAGGGATGGAGCTGGATAAACCCCCTGTGCCTGGGAATGGGGCTGGATGGACCCCCAGTGCCCAGGGATGGTCTTTCCATCATTCCAGCAGGAATTGCAAAGGCAGGAATGCCAGCCCCTTCCCCACCCCTCCCCTGGCCCAGCTCCCAAACATCTCCCTGCACATGGAAAATCACTTCCAAGCCACTCCAGCGGGGTTTATCCTGTCCCAACCGCTCCAGCAAAACACCTCAGTGCATTTCTGGGTCGGCAGAGCCAGAACTGGGCCCTGGGGCTGGAATTGTGGGAGAGGGGGAAAAGTGGAATTTCACACCTTGCCGTGGTGTTTGTTCCCGCAGCAAATCACGGACGATGGGCTGATCACCATCTGCAGGGGCTGCCACAAGCTGCAGTCCCTGTGTGCCTCTGGCTGCTCCAACATCACCGACGCCATCCTCAACGCCCTGGGGCAGAACTGCCCTCGCCTCAGGTGGGTGTTCCCTGGAATTCCCAGCTCCAGAGGGTCCGGGGGATGCGCTCCGGGGCCACCGGGGCCGTTTCGACCTCTGAGGGTCTTCCTGGGAAGGGGGGGGTTTAATCCCCTGAGCTTCATCCAGGTGTGGTTTTTTATGGGATGAGTGGAGGAAAACAGATCCCTGGTTAAAATCTGGTTAAAAAAACAGATCCCTGGTTAAAATCTGCTTAAAAATCCGATTAAAATCCAGATTCCTGTTTTTTAAACTCGTGTGAGTAAAACTGGAGCAAACGAGCTCCTGCCCTGGCACCCACTGAGTAACTCTCCTCTCACACCACTGTGGAACAGCTGGGAACAGCTGGAAGATGGTGCCAGGCTCTTCCCATTGACAGGGCATGAAATAAAACTGGGGAATTTCCTCCTCAGCATGAGGAAGAGCTTCATTCCAGGGGGGGCCTGGAGCAGCTGCCCCGGGGTGGTCTCTGGATGTTCCAACCCCACCAGTGTCACCTTCCCCAGGCCTGGGCAGGGGGGGCTGCACTGGGGGATCCCCCAGGGGTCCCTCCCGACCCTCTCCTGGGATTCTGGGACCCCTCCATGGCTCCTGTGGACTCTTTCCATGCAGAATATTGGAGGTGGCGAGGTGTTCCCAGCTGACCGACGTGGGCTTCACCACCCTGGCCAGGGTAAGGGCTCCCTCCTTCCCTCCTTCCATCCTTCCCTCTTCCTTTCTTTTTGGGATAAATAACAAAAAAAACCCCTACATTTTGGGAAAACTTCTTACCTCAGTGTTTGGGTGGAATCTAAGTTACAAAAATCAGGGTTTATGGAATCTTAAGTTACAGAAGTTGAGGTTTATGGAAGCTAAGTTGCCAAAAAAAAAATAAAATAGGGTTTATGGAGTCTGAATTGCAAAAATGAGGGTTTATGGAATCTGGGTTCCAAAAGATAGGGTTTATGGGAGCTGGGGCATGGTCCTGACCCACAGATCTGGGAGGAGTTACATCCAAACCTCATGAAATGTTAAATACTTGGGAGTTACAGACTTTGCTGCTTGATTATTGAGGTTGATCAGTGTTGCCTACACAGGACCCTAAATTTAATTATCTTAATTACCATTAAAACCCTTTAAGTTTCCTTTACTGTCCTCGGTGCTGTCCTTAAAGAAGCAGCAAAATTTCCTTCCAGTCGTGATATTTCATGGAGAAAACTCCCCCTTAATTTTTAAAGAAAACTGTCTTTGTGGTGGTTTACATTTATTTTTATTTTTCTTGTCTGAACCTTACACTGAGTTTGGGGTGTTTGGTTTTCCCTTTATTCCCAGAACTGCCATGAGCTTGAAAAAATGGACCTGGAAGAATGTGTCCAGGTAGGAAACCTTTCCCTTTGGGAACAGCGTGGTGAAAAATCGGTCTCCAAGTCAGAACTTAATTTAGGAAGGTGTGATTTCTGACAGGGCATGAAATCCCAGGGAATGGTCTTTATGCCCAGGTGGTGCTAAAAATAACAGGGTTTTCCTCTGGCAGATTGTTGGGATGGTGATTGTAGAGGGTTGGGATCAAACTGGGCCGTGGCATTTACAGGGAAAAGGGCTGGATTGACTTGAGATCCCATGGAAAAACCTCCAGCCCTAAGGATAGACTGGAAGTGCATCCAGCCCAAGGAGGGAACAGGGCTGTGGTTCCTCTCTGTGGTTCTGCATTCCTGGTGTTCCCAGGGCACAAATCCAGGAGCTCCCCGGAGGAAATGACACCTGTCCAGACGGGAAGGGACGGAGAATGATCCCAAAAAAGGAACAAGGGAAGCAGGGCCGAGCCTTGGCCTGACACAAACCCATCCCAGGCAGCTCCCTGAAGGGTTAGAAACCATTGTGTGAGTCTCCTCCTTCCTGCAGAAAACCAGGAGCAATCCACAGGCCGTGGGAGGGAGCCCGAGCCCTTGGAACACCGGGGAGCTCCTTTGCCTGCCCGAATTCTGAGCTCATTTCAGCTCCCTGGGGAAGCTCAAACCAACCCAGTGGTGCCTCTTGCCTGCAAAGGACAGCAGGACCTGCTTCCATAAGGAGATGGAAGCTCCTGAGGGGTTCAGGAGAGCGGCTGTGGGGAAAACTCAGGGATTAGGGAAAATTCTGCCAGGTTTTTTTTTTAATCGCAGAGAGGAAAAATGAAGTCCCGGTGCACAACAAGTTAAGGGGCTCTTTCCTCTTCTCTTCCAGATAACAGACAGCACCCTAATCCAGCTTTCCATACACTGTCCACGGCTCCAGGTCCTGGTGAGTATTCCAAGGGAGGCTTCCAGCACTTGAAACAGAGGGATCCCAGTCGGGTTGCAGTGACTCGTGTTCCTGCTGGTCCTTGGACCCAACTCCAGGGCCCTTCCCACAGTGGGTGAGGCCCTTCCCAAAGGTGGGTGCTCCCATGGCAGGGGTGTTTGTGGGATTCCTGTGCCACCCTGTGGGTCTCATCCCTCCAGGACTGCCTTTCCCAGTCAGGGGAATCGTGGAATGGTTTGGGTTGGAAGGGACCTTGCAGGTCACCCGGTTCATGGGCAGGGACAACCTCCCACCATCCCGGGTTGTTCCAGCCTGGATTTGGACACTCCCAGGGAGGGGGCAGCCACAGCTTCTCTGGCCAGCCTGTGCCAGGCTCTCCCCACCCTCCCAGGGAAGGATTTTTACCCACTGCAAGTGGAAGTTTTCCCCGTAGATGCACAAATCCCAGTGGCTCCAGTGCCAGGAGGGAGCACAGACCAGTCCTAAAATCCTAAAACGCAAACCAGCCCGGCCCCATCCAGCACAGCCCACGCTCCCTCGTGTCCCCAGGGAGGCTGGGGCTGCATTTTGGGGTGGCAGGAGCCACCTGTGACCCTGAACTGGCTGTGTTTGGGCACAGAGTTTATCCCACTGTGAGCTGATCACGGACGACGGGATCCGGCACCTCGGGAACGGCGCCTGCGCCCACGACCGGCTGGAGGTGATCGAGCTGGACAACTGTCCCCTCATCACTGATGCCTCCCTGGAGCACCTCAAGAGCTGCCACAGCCTGGAGAGGATAGAGCTGTACGACTGCCAGCAGATCACCCGCGCAGGGATCAAGAGACTCAGGGTGAGCCAGGATTGGGGGGGTTTATCCATGGGAGGAGCCCTCACCCCCCGGCTGGGAGAGCATCCTTTGTGGATCTAGGGGTGTGGAATCGTGGTTTGGGTGGGAAGGACCTTAAACCTCATCCAGTTCCACCCCCAGCGCCGCCTCCCGCTAGCCCAGGTTGCTCTAGCCTGGCCTTGGATGCTTCCAGGCATGGGGCAGCCCCAGCTTCTCTGGGAATTCCATCCCAGCCCCTCACCCCCCCTCACAGGGAAGGATTTCTCCCCAGCATCCCTTCCCAAGGCCGTTTCTCCCTCTGGAAAAGAGGAGTCACGATAACATTTCACCTGCAGGGAGGACGTGGCTCTGTCAAGTAACGTCATAAAATCATGGAATGCTTTGGGTTGGAGGGGACCTTGGAGCTCGTCCAAGTTCCTGGGGCAGGGACACCCCCCCACCAGGCCAGGCTGCTCCAGGGGTGCATCCCAGGGCTGGGAAAAGCCTCGTTCCTTCCTCATTCCCTGCAACCCTCCCGGGGAGGGGGGAACCCCACAGGAGATCCCAGCCCGGTCTGACCCCTCTCCCTGGCCGTGTTTGCCGTTCCAGACCCACCTTCCCAACATCAAGGTCCACGCCTACTTCGCCCCGGTGACCCCCCCGCCCTCGGTGGGCGGGAGCCGACAGCGCTTCTGCAGATGCTGCATCATCCTATGACGCTGGAAACGGCTCTTCCCGGCAAAACTGAGGCTGGAATTGCGCCCGTGGCGTTCCAGGAGGGGGGACACTCACACACACACACACCAGGACCTTGGAGCGGGGCTGGGGGTGCCCCGGAGCCCCTTCCCCAGCCCTGCCCGCGATCCCACCCGGGAGCTGCTGCGGCTGGGACGGCTTTTCCGGCTTTTCCGCAGGTGGATCGGGGCGATCCCGGCCCTGAACCCCCCTCCCGACCCAGACTGACTGATGCTGCTGGTGGGGGCTGGAATAGGAACCGGAATCCTTGGAAGAAGTGGGGGCTGGGGGAGAGGAGAGGGACTGGCTTTGATCCCGCAGCCGTCGCCCAGGAGGGGGGAAAAACCAAAACCCAACAAACCTGAAAATCCCGACAAGTTCTAACGTCCCGTTTTTCAGCGAGGGGGATGAAGGAGCAGCAGCTGAGCCGGGATTCCCTCTGGGAGCCAGGGTTTCCTTGGAACCCAGGATTCACCTGGGAGCCAGGAATTCCCCCGTGCTTCCCACGGGAAGGTCCCGTGTCTCTCCCATACCCACGCTGTCCAGCTCAGAGGCTTTCCCAGGTGGTTGTGGTAGACCTTGGAATCTGTGATGTCGGATTTTTGTTGCCCTTCCCCACGTCCTCCTTTTTTCCTCTTTGTTTTTCTTTTTTTTTTTTTTTTCTTTTTTTATCTTTCACCAGGTTTTTAATTCAGTCATTTCTTGACATCTCCCAGCCCAAAGGGACAAATCCCTTAATTTCGGTTTTAAAAAAGAGACTTTTTTTTTTTTTTTTTTTTTCCCCTCAGGAGAAGCCTGAGCCTGTTGGGAAGGTTTTCAAGGAGCAGGTTGAGCTACACCCCAGGCTGGGCTCTCGTGGGATTTCTTGGCCTGTTTGAGCAGGGTTTGGGTGTCCAAATTTTATTCAGATTTCAGGTTTTATCCCAGTGACAAGGATATAATTCCCAATATAGGGAATAATATATATATTTATATATAATTCTCAATACAGGGATTAAGTTCTAGTCTGTGTTCCAGCGACTGTAAGTTCCCTCCTCCTGTCCTTTCCCTCCATCCCTTCATCTTATCCCCAAGGAAAAGCAAAGTAGAACCTCTTTGCTTGTTGCCCTGATGAAGAAATAAGGATTCCCTGCTGGAGCAGGTCTGGGATCCGCCCCAGCTCCAGGGAGCACTGGGGGCTTTCCCGACCTTCCCACCTTCCACAGGTAAGTGTGGAGCCCCCGGGAGGACCCACAGGGATGGGAAAGGGGTTGGGATGAGCCAGGCCCAGCTCTGGGGGGAGGGAAGGAGGTGGAGGGTGGGGGGGTTGGGGGCTGATTTTGGGGCAAAATGAGCACAGGTGCTCCAGGGGAGCACGGACTGATCCGGGCATTCCAGGTGTGCCCGGGGTGGAACTGCTGGGCAGATCCCAAGGGTTTCAGGGGGCAGGGCCTGGGCAGACTCTGGGGGAGCTGAGCTGTGTCAGTCATTCCCGCTGGATGGAAGGAGCACTCGTGTCCGTGGATGTTCCCGCCCGGCCGGGGCAGGAGCAGGGCCGGGGATTTGGGGCTTCCCTCGGTCCTGAGGGATCCTTTGGTGGGGGAAGAGCGGCTGCAGCGCCAGGAACGGCTCTTCCAGGGCCTGGGGGGTTGGTTTTTTCGCCTGGAGTTTGCTCCAGGGACAACAAGGAGCTGCTTCCCAGGCTCTCCAGGCACCAGGAGGGCTCCCCTGGAGCTGCACCCCCCCATCTCCCCCCCAGTCTCCCCAGTCCATGCTGGGAGGAACTCCAGGCTGCTGTGGTTAAAAAGGATACTGTCAATGCCTTCCTGTAGATGCTTTTAATCCCTTCATATTTATTCAAACCACCTTTAGTGCTGTTGGATTGCCCCTCCCTTCCTCGAGGGGCTTCATTTCCAGAACTTCTCTCCAGGTTTCAAGGGTGGCAGAGGATGGTGGTGACGGACTTGGCCGGGCGAGGGGGTCACCCAGCAATCACAGGATTTGCACAGCTCTGGGGAAAAAAAAAAACCACACACAAAAAAGCAAAACACTTTGTTCAGTTCATACTGTGGCAGGGGAGAGCGAAAAGTGGGATTTCGGAGGCGGGGGTGTTGTTGTCTGACCGGATTCCTTTGGAAAAGAGCGGAGTTTTCCAGGGGAAACTCGAGAACACAGAACCCAAAGCATTCTCTTTTCTGTTTGCCAACCAGGGTGGCAGCATTAAGGTAGCTCGAAACTACTTGACAGTGTCCTTTTAAATCAATTATCCGTCTTCAAATGGACTCTTCCTGATGTTTGTATTTATAAGTACCAATAAACACCATTTTCCAAGCCCCGTCTCACGGGAGGGATGAATTCCTGGAAGAGAATCCACCTCCTGCACCTGGACAGGGAGGGTGTTTGGGGGCTCTCCAGGTGTGTGAACCATGGAATGGTTTGGAAGGGTCCTTAAAGCTCAGCCCCTCCTCAGGTGGCTGTGAAGGGTGTTGGGCAACTGGGAGTCAGCTCCCAAAATGTAGGGGAATTGCTCCATCCTGTGATTTCTGAGCCCCACCCCTGTCCCAGCTCCCTCCCTGTCCTCCCCTGGAAACCTCCCGGGTTGTGTCCCCCAGTCCTGGAATGTCCGTTCCCACCTCCCAGCAGAGTTTTCCTGTGACCTGCGACCTGCCTTGCAGCTCCCACAGCCCAATTCCTGCTGGGCCTCCCTGTGCCCTTGGGCTGCAGATGGGGCAGGGACAAAGACACCTCTCCAGGGAATCAGCCCCGGGGCTCCCGGGCTGGGAGATCCTCCAGCACATCCAGTGCAACCAAAAACGAGGCTTTTCTGCTCTTTTAAGGCACTTTTTATCCCAGTTCTTGAGCGCTCCCACAGAGGGGGAGGATGGGGCAGGTGTGATGTGCTTGTTTCAAACAAGGACTTTGACAAATTCCTCTTTTTCTAAACCTCACTGTAATTTCCCTCGTATTTTTATTTGATTTTCCCTGTGTTGCTCAGGGCTGGCCTAAGGTGTGGTGGGTGCTTGGGCTTGATTTTGGGTTGTGTTTTTTTTTTTTTTATGGCAGGGTGAGGGATCTTGGCTACAGCGTCCCGAAAAAATGAGGTTTGAAACATTTTGCCCTCTTCTGGTGAAGGATTGAGTTGTTTGGAGGGGGGTTTATTTTCCATCTCAAGGTTTCTGTCCTCCCTCTGGGCCAAGTCCCAGCAGAGGCTCCTTGTGCTGAAGTGCCAGGAGAGCAAAATAATGGGGAAAATCAAGGAGAAGCCTCTTTCCCTCCTCTGTGCAAATCCCTCCCTCCTTCCCAACTCTGGCTCTGTCCCACTCAAGGTTTTTAACCTGTTTTTAGCTTGGGGGGAGGGAGCTCAGCCCGAGGGACTGGATGCAGGAGCTGAGCCTTGTGCTGTGCTCTGTGGTGCAGAGAGCTGGGAAATACTGTTTTAATGGTGTGATCTGTGCTTGCCTGGGCGCTGGGGGTATAATAATGCATTCACTGAGAGTAAATCCACAGATACAGATGTATAGGGGTAAGATATAGGGGTAAGATATAGGTGGAGCTGAGGTGGGGGGGACCCCAAACCCCCACAGGGATTGAGGCCGCTCTCCATCCTGGTGTTCCTCTCTCCATCCCGGTGTTCCTCTCCCCATCCCAGCACGGCTCCAGCTCCGGGTCCTAGCGCAGCAGCAGCTGGAAGCCCTCAGGGCCGGGGGCTGCCCGGGGGAATGGGGCTCAGCCGGGGCCACCGATCGCCCCCTGCCCGGCCCCGCCTGCCCACGGTACCTTTGGTGATCACCACCACGAAACTGGCCTCGTCCTGGAGGGTCCTGAGCATCTGAGGGACACGGGGAGGTAGGGGGGGTGTGAGAGGGGCCAGGGGGGAGTGTGTCCCGTCCTGGACTGTGTTTTGTCACCCCCTGGGTGTCCCCGCCTGCCCTCACCGCGTCGCTGACGAGGACCTGGATGCCGGAGGGTCCCTGGCGGGAGAGCCGCAGGATCTGGCCCGGGGGGAGCCCCAGGAGCTCCGCGAGCTTCCCGGTGAGCTCGGCCACCGTCAGCTGCTCCAGGTGCAGCTCCTGGTACGGCCCTGGGGTGGGGTGGGATGGGATGGGATGGGATGGGATGGGATGGGATGGGATGGGATGGGATGGGGCGGGGCTGTGAGCGCCCACCCTCCATCCCTGCTCTGCCCTGCACCTGAGCCCTCACCCCACACACCTGAGCCCCCACCCCACACACCTGAGCCCCCATCCTCCGCACCCTCAGCCCCGCCAGGCTCCCGTGCCACGTAGAGGGTCAGCCGGGGCCGCGGGCACCTGAGGGGGCAGAGAAGGGGCTGGCAGGGGGGCTCGGGCCTCCCGGAGCCTCCCGGGGGGTCCCCAGGAGGAGCCCACCTGCCCTCCAGCGCGTGGCACAGGCGGATGCCGTCGGGGGCCCCGCAGATCTGGATCAGGTCCCTGCGGGAGAGCTTCAGCAGGTCGGCGCCTGCGGACAGGGGGGCTCAGGGGGCGGCAGGTGTGTGTGTGGGGGGGTGGGCTCTGCCCCCCACCCCGGCCGGGGGTCTCACCTGTGAAGTTGGCGAACACGCGGGCGCAGGCGGAGAAGCGGCGCCGGAGGAGCCACTGCTGCGTCTCCAGGGGGGACGCGCAGGGACTGAGCACCTGAGTGGGGAATTGGGGGGCTCAGAGGGGGCTCAGCTGGGGTATGAACCGAGCGGGTGCGTCCTCAGCCCACCCAGCCCCTCCTGGGGGGCTCTCGGGGGGCTCCCTCACCTCGCCGGGACTCTCGGCGGGTCCCTCGGCAGCGCAGGCGGGCGATGCACACCCCCTGCGGGAGGGGCCGGGGCTCAGCGGGGACCCCAACAGTGTGGGGGGGGTCCCCGGGGGTCCCCACTCACCTCTCGGGGCTCAGCAGCTTGAGGGGGTGAGGGCTCGGCAGCCCCGGCGTGCCCGGGGGGCTGTGGGGGGCACCCAGCATGTCTGGCCATGGGGGGCACTGAGGGTGGAGGGGGGTCATGGGCAGAGGGGCCCGGGGGGCACGCCCGGCCCGCGGGGAGGGGGCGCAGGGCCGGGTCCCACCTCGGCCAGCACGGTGCTCTCGTAGGACGGCTGGAATTTCTCCCGCTCCGGTGGCGGCTGCTTCTCCACCTTCTCCCGGTCCGTCTTCTGCTTCCTATCGGCCCCCTTGGGCTGTGCCGGGGGGTGAGGGTGGCCCCAGGACCCCCGGTTCCCCGGACCATGGGGTGCTCAGACCCTCCTCCACCCTCCTTCCCATGCACCCACCCCTGGGGCTGCAGCAGGCAGGGATTTCCCAGTGCAGGGGGGCACTGGTCACACTGGGGTCACTGGTGCCCCCTCCCCAATACCTTGAACACCTTGACCAGGCAGCTGGCAGAGTGCAGGTGCTCGGGGGGGTCTCCCTTGCCCCCCGCCCCGAAGGTGTCGATCTGGATGCGGAAGGGGACCCCCTTCTCCCCCCCGTTCTTGCGCAGGGTGAACTCGGTGCTGATGCAGTGAACCTGTGGGGGGCAAGGGGGGAGGACAGCGGGGTCAGGGGTGGCCACTGGGCCCCCCCAGAACCCCCCAACCTGCCTGGCTCCCACCTGCACGAACACCGGAGGTGCGCCTGGAGGGGTCCCACAGGAATTCCACCGTGTTGAGCAGCGTGGGGTGGATTTGGGGCTCGAGGATGCCGACGGAGAGCGGGATGTCTGCGGGAGGGGGGGTGAGTGCAGCCCCCACGGCCCCCCCGGGGCTCCCCCAGCCCCAGCACCCACCGATGTCGAGGATTCGGTCGCCGGGGCGGCTCCACCGCCAGCCCTCGAGCTGCTGCTGCTCCGAGTACTGCAGGCGCCGGTCGTGGAAGGACACGCGGACCACGCTCTGGGGACAGCGGCGGCCACGGGCTGAGCCCACAGCCATGGACCCACGGACACGGCTGGACCCACGGACACGGGCTGAGCCCACAGCCATGGACCCACAGACACAGGCTGAGCCCACAGCCATGGACCCACGGACACGGGCTGAGCCCACAACCGGACCCACGGACACGGCTGGACCCACAGACATGGACCCACAGACACAGGCTGAGCCCACAGCCATGGACCCACAGGACACTGTGCTGGACGGGGCTGAACTGGAGCTGAACCCGATCTGAACTGGAGCCGGAATGGGACTGAGCTGGGACCGGACCAGAGCTGAGGTGGGGTCGGACTGGGGTAGAAATGAGGCAGAACTGGGGCTGGGGTGGGGCTGGACGGGAACAGAACTGGGACTGGACCAGAACCAAGACGGGGCTGGACTGGGGTAGAACCGGGACAGAACTGGGGCTGAGTTGGGGCTGGACTGGGACAGAAGTGAGTCTGGACAGGGGCTCTGGCACAGCTGAACTGGGACTGCAGCCCAGAGCTCTGCCCTGAGGCTCCCCCCGTTCCGGGGGTCCCCACCCCGGCTCACCTTGACCATCCTCCGTCCCTCCGCGGGGTCCCCCCGAGGGGTCCCCACCATGCGGATCTCGTACGACTGCCCTGGGGAGCAGGGAGGGGCAAAGTGGGTGCTGAGCCCCGGGCAGGGGGGGGTCCCTCCCCCAGAGCCCCCCCAGACTCACCCTGGTTGAGGTAGGTGAGGGTCTCCTCGTGGTGCCGCACGGCGGGGGAGGTGGGGGCGCACAGGACGTACTGGAACGCCGGGAATTCGGGCTGGGACGTGGAGATGCCGTTGGGCTCCTCCTGCTTCAGGTAGGGCAGGACGGGGGGGTCCCTGTGGGAAAACAGCCCCCAAAAGGGTGGGCACCCACTCGTGCCTCAAAGCCCCCCAAAGCCATGGGATTTGGGGGGGTGGGGGCAGTACCTGAGCACTCCAGAAGCGGGAAGGGGGTACACGTCCCCCGCGCTGGGCCAGTAGTGGTCGGGTTGGCCGTGCCAGAAGAGCATTTTGGGGGGATCTCAAGGCAGGGGGGGACACCCCACGGACAGGGTGGCAGCAGAGAGGGACAGACAGGTGAGTTCCCACTCCCCCCATGGCTTTATAGGCACGGGGAGGGGTGATGTAAGCAGGGTTGGGCCCAGTTTGGCCCAGTCGGGGCCAGTTTGGGGTGTTGACAGTAAATACTGCAGGGGGGGCCTGGTGTTTGTTGTCACAAAGGGAGGGGGGAACACACGGGGTTGATCCAGGGGGGCTCCCCCAGTCCCTTTGTCCCAGCCAAGGATAACCCCCCCTTTGTGCACCCCTCATTTTAATCCCTTTCATTTCCCTCAGATTTGGCTCATTTTGGGGGGAAAAAGGGTGTTTCACTGAGTTCCCCCCCCACCACGGGTGTTAAGGGAACAGCCCCCTCCCTGGGGTGCAAATTTCGGGGGGGGGGGGTCTATGGGTGCTGTCCCCCCCTCACAGGGTGGCACTGGGATGTGACATGAGGGGGTGTCACACTTTGGGGACACCGTGTGATGAGCTGGGAGGGTCTCAGCTCTATTTCCAGGGGGTGGGTGGGACCCCCTCCCAGGTTATAAATCCTCCCCAGGTGGGCCCAGGGGTGGTGCAGAGCTTTAGGGGAGGCGCTGTCTATCTGTCTGTCTGTCCATCCCCAGGGCCAGGCTGGGTCTGGAAGGAGCTGCTGGGGGAATTTGGGGTGTTCTGGGGGGACCAGACCCATCTCTGGGGGGGTGTTCCCTGGTGTGAGCTCCACACAGCTGGATAAAAAGCCTCCCTGTCCCCTCTCCCAGCCCTGGGTCCTTCCCCTCTGGGGGTGAAGAACTCCCCAAAAAACCTTCCCAACTCCCCCAGAACTTTCCCCTGGCCACCAGCTCTGCCCCGAGCCTTTGGGGGGGGATTTTGGATGGATTCAAGGACCTCCAGGCTCCCTGAGCCCCCTCCCAGTCCCACCTGTAAGCCCCAGGGGTGGATCCAGCCCCCAGCAGCTCCTCCCCATCCCATCCCACCCCATCCCCTCCCAGTTCCAGACACGGAGACTCAGCTGGAGGGGTCCTGGATGTTTTATTGGGTGCTGGAAGCCAGAAAACGCTCCCAGGAAGGGACAGCCTGTGGTCACTTCTTGGCCTCCTCCTCCTTGGAGAGGGTCTTGATGATCTCCTCCTTCTTGGCCTGCAGCCGCTCCTCCCGCCGCTTCCGCGCCTCCTTGGTCTTGGAGCGCCGCGCCTCCGCCTGGTCCCTGCGGGATCGAGGGCTCAGGGTGCACCAGGAGCACCTCAAACGGCCCCAAAACCCACCCCTGACCCCAATCCCCTCCTGCTGGATCCCTTCCCTGCGGCCCAGCAGGGGCTGTGTGAGGTCACAGCCTCTGCTGAAGGACACGGCAGGATTTTGGGATCCCTCCCCTCCCTCCCCCTGGTCAATCATTCACTGAGCTGCTCAGGAATTTCCCAGTTTCCCCCCTCTGAGCACTAAAACCCCCACCAGGATCCCACATCTCTCTGCTTCCAGCCAGCCCTGCCCAGCTGGGGACCGATCCCTCCCAGCAGGGCCGGAATCCGGCCGGAATGACCCACGGCGGGGGGGTCACTGCTGACAAACCCCCCCTTCCCCCTTGCCCAGGGGCAGCACTCACGCCAGGAGCTTCTTGCGGGCCTTGTCGGCCTTCAGCTTGTGGATGTGCTCCATGAGGATCCGCTTGTTCTTGAACACGTTGCCCTTGACCTTCAGGTACAGGCTGTGGTACCTGCGGGGTGGAATAGGGCAGGACATCAACCCCCTGCACTCCTGGGTATTCCAGGGGCATTCCTGGGCACCTCCCCCTTTCCCAGAGGCTGGCATTGCCCAGGGGCAGCCCTCCAGGGAGGGTTTAACTCCATTCCCAAGGAGCTGCTCAGGGTGTCCTATGTGAGCCCCAGCACCCTCCCAGCAGTGCCTGTGGTCTCCCAGCAGCGCCTGTGGTCTCCCAGCAGCGCCTGTGGTCTCCCAGCCCCTGCCCTCCCCCCCCTGGGGGCTGCAGGGCCCCCCCAGCTCCGTGCCCACGCTCACATGTGGCGGTCGATCTTCTTGGACTCGCGGTACCGGCGGAGCAGCCGCCGCAGGATCCGCATCCGCCGCATCCAGGTGACCTTCTCGGGCATGCGGGCGTTGGCCGTGCCCTTCCTCTTACCTGGGGAGGGGGACACGGGGAGGGGAGGAGGATGAGCCCCCAGACCCGCCAGTTAAACCCCACGCTCCTCCCACAGCATTCAATCCCCCTCTACAGCTCCAGTTAAAAACCACCCACCCCGTGCCCAGGGGTCTCTCCCCATGGCAGGGGCACCCCTGGGGGTCTCGGGAGGGGAGAATCTGAATTTTAGGGGTAGCCTAAAATTCTGGAATTCCCCCGACTGGCACATCCCCTCTCCAGGCACTGCCAGCTGGGGGTGGGGGCTGCCCCTGGGGGTCCCTCGTGGGTGTGTGGGGGGGTGTGTGTGGGGTGCAGCCCCCTCACCGATGCCCATGTGCCGGCCCTTCCTGCGGGCCAGCGTGTTCTTCCTGCAGCGGGCGCGGGAGTGCACGGTCACCGGCTTCCTGATGATCAGCCCATCCTTGATCAGCTTCCGGATCTGCTGCCCTGCAAAACACGGCCAGAGCCTCCCCTGGAGCCCTCAGGTGAGCACAGAACACCCCCTCTCCTGCTCTCCATCCCCATCCCACCTGGATGCAGGCTGGGAATGCCATGGAAGGCGGATCTCCCCCCAAAAACCCTCTCCCCGCTCTGCTGGTGGATCTCTTTCCCCCAGGCCCCCCCGGGCAGGGTTGTGCCCAGGACACCCCCCCTCCCAGTGCCCAGGACATGCCCCACTCACGGGAGTTGGCGTTGGCGATCTCGTTGGTCTCATTGGGATCCAGCCACACCTTCTTCTTCCCGCAGCGCAGGACGCTGGAGGCCAACCTCTTCTGGAGCCGGAGCATACTGGGAAAGGGAGGGACAGGGATCAGGGGGGCTCTGCATCCCCCTCAGGGATCCCCCCCCTCATCCCTGTCAGGGCCCTGCCTGAGGGCCGGCGGGATCCAAGAGGCTCATCCAAGGATCGCAGGGCCCGAGACCGCCGAGCCCTCCCCGCACCCCCAGACTCTCCCCATGCCCCCCACCAGCCCCTCAGCGCGGCCCCCGCCGCCATCGCGCCCCCTCCGCCATCTTCCCGCGAGGCCCCAGGAGGCCGCAGCCGCCTCGCAGGGCCCGGGGCCGCCCCGCGGCACGGCCAGGACCCCTCCCCGGTACTCAAACCACCCTGCCCGGTGTTCCCCGGTGCCCGCCGAGCCCCCACGGGCCCCAAAAGCGACCCCGGCCCCGCTCCCACCTCATGGCGGCGGCGCCCGGGCCTGAGGGAGAGGGGAGGGGAAGCGGCGCAGGCCCCGCCCACGGCCCGGGGCACGTACCACTCTGCCCCCCGCACCCTGCGGCGGCCTCGGGGCCGCTCAGAGCGCGGCGAAGGGACAGACTCAGTGGGGTTATGCGTGGTTACATACGGGGAGGACACGCGTGGCGCAGACACCCACGCGGGATGTGCTGGAGGGATGCGAGTCCATCCCGCCCCCCCCCCGTCCCGAGAGGAGGGGTGGTACAGCCCAGCGCGTGCGCGTGGCGGGAAGGGCCGGGCGGGGGCTGCACATGCGCGGTACGGGGGTGTGGGAGGCACGTGGAGGGGAATGGGGGGAACTGGGAGGGACTGGGAGGGACTGGGAGCGCTGGGAGGGACTGGGGTGGGGTCAGGGGGTGTCCCCGCACCGCTGGTGGCGCGGCAAGCGCAGGGCCGCGGGTGCAGGGCTCTGCTGGGCCCGTACTGGGAGTGCTGGCTCTGTGCTGTGCCTGGACTGGTCCGTACTGGGAGTCCTGGATGTGTCCTGGGATCAGCCCTGCCCGTGCTGTGAAAAGTCTGTCCTTATCTTGGCATCAACCTGGCTCATACTGGGAGCACTGGTCCTGTCCCGGCCTCTCACCTGGGGGGATCCCCCCCATCCCACGCTCACCCCCCAGGCAAACATTCCTTAGGGATGAGTTCAACATCCAGCAGGGAATGGCATCCCTTCTGTCTTTCCTTCTTTCCCAAGAATTCACCCCAAAAGCTCAGCAGGGATCTCTGATCCTGCACTGTCCCAGTGGAGCATCCCTGAGGATCCAGTTCCACCTCTTTCCCAGCGATTCTGGCGCTGCTGGGAAAAGGGAATTCGTGTTTTCCCGGGAAATAACCTCCTGATGGGGCAGGTGACAGCTGGCACAGAACATTCCACCTTCCCAGTTTTCTGTGGCTGGACGTGAGTGAGGTCTGGGTGTATCCATGGCACCACTTTGCAGCTGGAAAACTGAGGCAGGGACAGGCTGGGTGATGTTTCCTGCCCCAAAAAACCGCCGTGGTGAGGCTGGAAAGGGGCCCGGTGGCTCCTGGTGTGACCCAGAAAAGAGCTGGAGCCTCCCTGGAAACAGATTGCTGAAGAGTTCCTGGAAAGGGGAAAAGCTTGGGAAATGCTAATGTATGGATTGTGAACGGCCTAAAAACGCAGGGCTGAATTCCTGCCTTAAAAATCCACCTTTAATCCAGCGAAAACGCTGCTTTTTTTCCTCCCTGATGCCAAACAATTCCCAAATCCACCGTTTTTGCAGCGGTTTTTCCCTCCTTCCTTCCAGCTGGGAGTGGCTGGAGAGTGAAAGAACCCAAAATCACCTTGTTGAGCCCCAGGATCACCTCGTTAACCCTCTGGAGACGGGGATGCCGAGACAATTCCCTCGGGATCTGGCGGCCGCCGCGCTCCCAACATATGGTGTGAGGAGAGAGGAGCCTCTGCCGACAGATTTTTGGTTCGTTTTCCGAGGAAAAACACGGATAAACACAGGCTTTTGCTGTTTAAAAACTGACTCATCATTTTCCTTAAACAAACAGCCCCAATCTGGAGGCTCCCGAGGCGGGAGAGGGCTCGGCTTGGCATCGCCAGCCCCCCCCCCGGGGGGTTTTCTCCGCTGGGATCGCTGTCCTGGCGTTGCTCCGGGATGGGGACGGGAAAATGTCCCCCTGCAAGTGTCACCTCGTGCTTTCCAAGCATTCTGGGATGAGGAGAACCCCCCTCCCCGAGCCCGAGTTTGAGGAGTTTCAGGTAGGGATGATGATGATGATGATGATGCTCGTGGTGTTCCAGGGGGGATTCACCATCCCTGCTCTCCTCGTTCCGTTGGGTTCCCGGGAATATCCGTGGCTGGATGCCCACCAAGCTTGCCCCGGGAGCATTGAGGGGGCCCGGGGAGCCCCCCACCCCCTCAGCCCGGGGAGCAGGAGCAGCTCCAGCAGCGGGAAGGAGGTGCCATAATTCCCTCGTGCTCCCACGCCGTGCCAGGGAATGGTACACCCGCCCCCGGGCACGATCCCGGCTGGAAGAGCCCCCCCACCCAAAAAAAAAACACCCTCTGGGACTTTCCCCCCCAGACCCTCCAGGGATTTCAGCTCCAGGCCTGGGAGAGGTGGGGAAAAAGCGGGAGACGAGCAGGATTGGGGTTGGGGGGCAGTGATTTTCCCAAACCTGGAGCTTTTCCAGGCACGGGGAGAGGGGGGGTTGGCTCCAGGATGGTGTCCCGGGATCTCCGGTGTCACCTGGGGCAGCTCCTCCCTCTCCAAACTCCCCTTCCCTATGGAAGCCCCTCGCGGTGCTGGTGATGGATGGGGGCTGAGGGTGGAAAATGTGGTGTCAGCTGTCCCGGGAGCCGGGATAGGAGCAGGAAAAGCCCCCCTGGAGGGGGCCGGGCAAAGGAATTTTTAACTTTCCAACAGCCGGTGCTGTCGAGGGGGGTGGGGGGCTCAGGTGGGTCCTGCTGGAGTCCTTTCCCCCACGTCCACACACAGCCTGGGGGGGTGACGACTCTCTTTTTGGGGGTCCCCCTCCCCCCAAGCCAGGAAATCTAAAGGCCGGTGGGAACTACTGTGCCCCCCCCCCGCAGTTAGGGGAGGGGGGATCGTCATCACCCCCTTTTTCGGGAAGGGGGATCCTCATCAACCCCCCCTTTCGGGAAGGAGCTGTATTGGGGGTCCCCTAGCTGGGAATGGAGCGGGAAGGCCGCATTCCCACCCCCCCAAAACCCCCGGGAATGTGGTGGGAGCGGCCATCCCCCCATCCCCACTCCTCCTTCTTCCTCCTCCTCCTCCTCCTCGTCCTCCTCCTCCCTCTCGCCGTCACCGCGGGGGCCAGGCCTGAGCTTCATCGTCATCGTCATCATCTTCCTCTGTGTGGTTTCCCCCCTCCTCCCTCCCCATCCACCCACCCACCCATCCATCCCAAAATCCCGCCAGGCCCGGCGCTCCATGGTGCGGGAAGGCGGCATGGCCCGGACCCCTTACAGCTCCTCGCAGGACATCCAGATGGACGTCTTGGACAACGCCGCGCTCCAGGTGACACCCCCGGGAATTTCGGGGGGTCGGGGGTGGCAGCACCGCCCACACCCCGCGGGGGGAACGGCGAGGGGGCTCATCCCGTGGAATTCCCACATCGCCTCGGGAGCAATGGATGGGGCTCATCCCACCCCCGCCTCCTCCCTAATCCCTGCACCCCATAATGGTGCTCACCCCCCTCCCGGCATCCAAAATAAAGGATGTCCCCCCAACCCTGGGAGAGACCCCAAATTCTTCCCTCTCCCCACCCCTCCCACCCCCCAGTTTCCCAATTCCCGCGGGTTTGCCCACCGGGATGGGGGGTGGGTTTTGAGAGGGTGTGGGGGGTTGTTGTGCCCACAGGGAAAGTTTTAGGAATTGGGAAAACTCCGTTGGGGTGATGCCCCCCCACACACACACACAGCTTGTCCCCTTGGGTTTTGGGGGGAGGAGGGATGTGCCCCTCGCTGGTGCCAGTGGGCTGGGGGGCACTGGGGGCTGCTGGAGCAGCTCATTCCCATTCCACAGGGACAGACCCCCATCTCTTGGGGAGCATCAACCACTTGGGGTGACAGTTCTGGGGGAGGCACAGAGGACCCCGGGAAATTCCCTCTCTGAGCCCCCCACAATGTGGGGGTCCTGCATCTAAAAATACCCAGTGTGGGGACCCCCTGCCCCCAGGCTGGGTGGCAGCTGGGCCCAGCTGTCCCTTGGGGGACAGTGTGGGGGTGACAAACCCGCTCCCCCCCAGCGTGTCCCCCCACCCGAGTTACCCCACACCCCTGGAGCTGCCCAGGGTGGGCACTGGGGTCTCCCCATCTCCCCCAGTCCATCCCAGTGGGAGGGAGCAGGGGGTTCCCCTTGGGGTGGGGGGTGTGGGTGGGTGTGGGGGTGCCCATGGTGCCCACACTGGCAGGAAGGAGGGGGCTTGTGCACCACGGTGCTGTTGGGGGCTGGTGGGGCAGGGTTTGAGGTGCCCCCCAAAGCTCGACCTGCCCCCCTCGGGGGGTGCTGGTTGGGCTCTGGTTTGACTGGGAGGCTGCAGTTTGAGCCCCCTCATCTCCCTCTCCTGGAGCTGGGGGGGGGAAGGGGGGCAGAGGCGTTTTGGGGTTTTTTTGGGGGGTCCAGCCTCCCCTCATCCCCCCCCCTTTTGCTCCCCCCCAGGGCAAGTACAGCAGGCGCAAGAGCCGCTTCAAGCGCTCGGACGGCAGCACCTCCTCCGACACCACCTCCAACAGCTTCGTCCGCCAGGTGAGGGGGGGCACGGCGCTTTTGGGGGGGTCCCAGGGGCCCTTTCCCCCTGGGCAGTGAGGGGAGGGGTGCCTGGGGGGGTACAGGCTTAGCCAGACCCGGCTGTGCCCCGTCCGACCCCTCAATGCCCTGCTGGGTCCTCCAAAGCAGGAGTGTTTAGGGGGAAGGGGTGGGTTGTAGCCCCTCTGGGGGTGCCAGGGAGGGGGCACAACATTCAATCCGCTCCCCAGCCCCGTGGTTTGGCAGGGCCCCCACCCCCTGCCCGGTGCTGGGCTAAATATACCCGGGGCTGAAACCTGAGCCCCCGGAGCCCCAGCCCTGCGGCCGCCCCGCTCGCCCCCGGCTCTGCCACCATGGAGATCCCCGGCAAAGACCACCCCACCGCCCCGGTGAGCCACCCCCACGGCCCCACAGCCCCCAGGACCCTCCCGTGCCCACCCTGCCCTCGGGGCAGGCTCCCCCAGGGCTCCCTGGGGTTGGTCCCGGGAGCTGGTGGGGCTCTGTGGGGTGAGAGGGTCGTGTCTGGATGCCGGTGATCCCACCCCAAAGTCCCCCCTCTGTGGGGCAGGAGAGGGGGCAGTTGGTGTCTGCCCCATGGGTTTTGGGGAGGGGGTCCCTGGGGGGCTGCTGCCCCGTGGCTGGGGGCTGTGGGAAGGGGCTGAGCGACCCCCAAATCCCCAGTGTTTGGAAAGGTTTGGGCAAATCAGGGATGGGGGGTCTGGTGGGGCTGGGGAGGGATTATAGAGGGGCTGGGGGGGGGGCAGCCCCTGAGGGTGGTGGGTGACTTTGTCATCCCCCGTGACACCCACCCACCACCCTGGGGCTGGGGAACCCCGTGGGTGTCCCCACTGTCCCCCCCCCAGGCTCCAGGCCCGGGGTGTGAGCAGGGGGTCCCCAATCCCCACCCCAGCTCCAGCCTTGCCCTGGGGTGACCCCGAGTCTCCCCTCATTGCCCTGTCCCCATTGCCATGGGACCCCTCTTGTGGGGGTGGGGGCAACGCTGTCCCCGCTGGCCTCTCCTGGGGTGGGGGACACCCAGGGGGGTCAAGGGGGTCTCTGTTGCCCCCCTGGCTCTCGGAGAGGCCCCGGGAGGCGGCGGGAGCAGGTGGGTGTCACGTTCCCTGCCGGAGCAGTGGGAACAGCTGCCCTGTCCCTCGGCCTTCCGTAACCCCGCGGGTGGGACGGCCCCGGGCAGGGGTGGGGGCACAGGGGGGCGTGGGGGTCACAAGGCTGCAGGAATGGACTCCCTGCTTGATGGGGAAGGGCCAGGCTGGGCTGAGCTCCCCCATCCCTGCTCTCCTCCCCCAGGGCTCGGCAGAGTCCTACACCAGCCGCCCGTCGGACTCGGATGTGTCGCTGGAGGAGGACCGGGAGGCGCTGCGCAAGGAGGCCGAGCGCCAGGCCATGGCCCAGCTGGAGAAAGCCAAGGTGGGAGAGCTGCGATGGAGCCCCCCCCTGCCACCCTGCCGGCCCCCCTGGCACCCCCTGCCCTGGCAGGATGGGACCCTCGGTCGCAGGGACTCCCCCACCCCCTGGAGCAGTGGCACTGGGAAGGCAGTGGGGTCTGCCTGGTAGAACTGGGGGCCTTCCACTCTTGCACCCACTGCCTCTCAGCCATTCCCTGATGAGCCTCTCATTACCTCTGGGGTGGGGGATTGTGGCCACGGTGTCCCCAGTCCTGGCTCCGGAGCCCCCCTGGTGGCACTGGTGCTGTCACTGTCACTGTCACCGTCACCACCACCTGCCTGGCCTGTGGGGGGGCAGCAGGGTGGGATCTCGTGCTGTGGGGTGGGCAGGGGGTGCATCCTGACCCCTGTCCTTGCATCCTGACCCCTGTCCTTGCATCCTGACCCCCTGTCCTTGGGCAGACGAAGCCGGTGGCGTTTGCCGTGCGCACCAACGTGGGCTACAACCCCTCGGCCACCGACGACGTGCCCGTGCAGGGCATGGCCATCTGCTTCGAGCCCAAGGACTTCCTGCACATCAAGGAGGTGGGCAGCGGGCTGGGGGGGGAGAGGGGCTGGTGGCAGCCTCGGAGTGGGTTTTGGGGGGCAGTTTTAAGGTGTTTCCCATCTCCCCCCACCGTCCCCGGCGCAGAAGTACAACAACGACTGGTGGATCGGGCGGCTGGTGAAGGAGGGCTGCGAGGTGGGCTTCATCCCCAGCCCCGTCAAGCTGGAGAACATGAGGCTGCTGCAGGAGCAGAAGATGAGGCAGAGCCGCCTGAGCTCGAGGTGGGGCTCGCCCCGACCCCCCCATCCCTTCACAGCCTCCCTCTGTCCCACCCTCACCCCCTTCCTTTCCCCCCGTGCTTCTCCCCTCCAGCAAATCCGGGGACAACTCCAGCTCCAGCCTGGGTGATGTGGTGACAGGGACCCGCCGGCCCACGCCCCCAGCCAGCGGTAAGAGTGTCCCCCCTCAGCCCAGGGGGGTCCTTCCCCCACCTCCCCACGGGTAGGAGTGTCTGGGGTCCCCTCAGCCCCACATCCAGCCTGGGGGGATCCTCCCCCCACCTCCCCTTCACCCACAGCCCACCCCTCCGCCCCGGGTGCAGGCAGGGCACACCCCCTTCCCCCAGAGACCCCTCTCCCCTGCTTCTCCCCTTCCTGCCCCACCACCCTCCCAGGCCCCTCATCTCCATCATTCCCCTTCTTCCATCGCCATTACCGCTCTTCTTCTCTCCCTGCCGTGTCCCGGCCCCGGCTCGGGCCGTCCCCAGGTGCCCTGGACATGCCCAGCTTTGCCTTTGACCCCGATGAGTTAGAGGAGGAGGAGGCCTTGGAGACCCAGCGCTCCCCTAAGAGTAGCGTGAGCAGTGTCACCACCCCCCCCGCCCACAACAAGCGCATCCCCTTCTTTAGGAAGGTAAAAGGGCCCCCCCCAACCCCACTCGCCTCGCCTGCTGCACCCGCTGCCTGCCCTAACCCTGCCAGGGGGCTGGGGGCACCCCACGGGGCTGGGGGGCACCCACTGCCCCAGCACCCCCAGCACTGCAGCATGGGCATGACCCCCTGCACCCAGGGCTGGGGGGGGTCAGTGTGGGGCTGTGACCCCCCTGTGGGCCATGGGATGGGTCAGCCCGTGGCTCTGACCCCCCATAGTCCGTGGGTTGAATCCATCCATGGCCACATTCCCCCATGAGCCATGGGGATGGATCAGCCAGTGACTATTTCCCCCCTTCCACCCATGGTCTTTGGGAGGGATCCATCCATGTCTTGATCCTCCACACCGTGGTCCATGGGATGGATCAGCCCGTGGCTGTGACCCCCCCATGGTCCATGGGATGGATCAGCCCGTGCCCCCCCAGACCCCCCCAGTGTGTGCATGGTGTGTGCCAGCACGGCCGCTGTCTCATCCCCCCCTGCGACTGGGAATGGAACATTCCTGCCCCCCCCCAAACTGCCCACAAGCTGGGGGGCTTCGGGCACAACCACAACCCAGGGCGGGGGGGTGGGGGGTCTGCAGGGACGTCTGGGGGTGGTCCCAACCGCCCCCCACACCCTGCAGAGCCCCCGCTGGGCCCCCAGGTCTGACCCTGAGCGGGAGATGCTTCATGTGTAACACACACACGTGTCCTTGGGGGCACCCCCTGGGGTGACACACGTGTCCCCTGGGTCACACATGTGTTCCCTGGGGCACCCCCTGGGTGACACACGTGTCCCCTGGGTCACACATGTGTTCCCTGGGGCACCCCCTGGGGTGACACATGTCCCCTGGGGTCACACATGTGTTCCCTGAGTCACACATGTGTCCTTCAATCACCCCTGGGGACCCACACGCGTGTCCTTCGGGCACCCCCGGGGCGTTACACGCGTGTCCCCTGGGTGACACGCGTGTCCCCGTGCCCCCCCACCCCCGGTGCCCCCCGTGCCCGCGGGTAACACGCATGCCTTGTTTGTCTCCTCTCGCCCCCCGGCCCCCGCGGCCCTCGGGACGTAGCGAAGCAGAAGCAGAAGTCGGTGAGTAGCGTCAGGACCCCCGGCAGGGGATGGGCAGGGGTGGGTGGTTGGGTGGATGGGGTGCCCCCCGCTTGCAGCCCCCTCAAACCCCCCTTAGAGCTGCCCTTGCAGGGGCGAAGCTGAGCGTGTCCCCCACCCCGTGTCCCCCCTCCATGCCCCGCTGACCCCCCGCTCTGTCCCCAGGCCGAGCACGTGCCCCCCTACGACGTGGTGCCCTCCATGCGCCCCATCATCCTCGTGGGGCCGTCGCTGAAGGGCTATGAGGTGAGCACTGGTCGGCACGGGGTGGGGGGCACAGTGTGTGGGGGGGGTGGATCCCGGCCCCATGGTGTCCCTCCCTCCCTGCCTTTCCCCCCTCCAAGGTCACGGACATGATGCAGAAAGCCCTGTTTGACTTCCTGAAGCATCGCTTTGATGGCAGGTGAGGTGGGGGGGTCTCTGGCTGGGGGACCCCTTACCCCATAGAGGGACCCCAAAACCCATGGGAGGACCTGTAACCCCATAGAGGGACCCTGAAACCTGTGAGGAGAGCCTTAATCACAGGAGAGGAGTCCTAATCTCAGGGGAAGACCCCTAAACCCATGGGAGGACCCCTAATCCCACGGGTGGGGGCCCCCTAAAACCGCAGCGGGACCCTAATGGGGAATCCTGCAGCTCCAGCAGCCCTGAGCATGGGAGGGGGTGGCAGGAGGGCCCCCCCAGGGGTTGGGGGTGCATATATGGGGGGGTCTCACCCCCCTCCCCGTGCCTCCAGGATCTCCATCACGCGGGTCACGGCCGACATCTCCCTGGCCAAGCGCTCCGTGCTCAACAACCCCAGCAAACACACCATCATCGAGCGCTCCAGCACCCGCTCCAGCCTGGGTACGGCCCCCCCACCAGCCCCCCTGGGGGCAACAGGACCCCCCAAGCCTCCATCTGTATCAGCCCCCAGCCCGCCCCGGGGTGCTCGTGGGGTGTGGGGGTGTGGGGTGATCAACCCCGCGCCCTGCGCTCCCCCCGTGTGACTCAGCCCCTCCTCCTCCTCCTCCTCCTCCCCCTCCTCCTCCTCCTCCTCCTCCCCCTCCTCCTCTTTTATCTTCTCTGTTGTGTTTTTCTTTCCTGTTTCTCCTTTTCCTTTTGGGGTTCCTCCCCTCCGTGCCGCTTCCTTCCTCCCCTGCTCCTGATACAGATGTCTTGGGTATGTAACACGGGGTCCCCCCCTGGCAGCCCCCCCCTGCCCTGCCCGGCGGGGGGCACTGGGGACGTGTCCCCTTGGATCCTGTCACTTGGGCACAGCCACCTGGGCAGAGTGGGGTTGGGGACGCCCTGGTGGCACAGCCCCATGTGTGTGTGTGGTTCAGGGGGGCTCTGCCCCTTCCTCACCCACCTGGAGCCCCCCAGTCCCACCTCCCTCCCGTGGCTGGGGTGACACTGGAGTGGCCGAGTCCCAGTGCAGACCCCTCGTGCCCCCCACCCCGTCTCCCAGCCGTTGTCCCCACGTGTGTCCCCTGACCCCCCTGTCCGTGTGTCCCTCCCTCCCCAGCCGAGGTGCAGAGCGAGACCGAGCGGATCTTCGAGCTGGCCCGGACACTGCAGTTGGTGGCCCTGGACGCCGACACCATCAACCACCCGGCCCAGCTGGCCAAGACCTCCCTGGCCCCCATCATCGTCTACATCAAAATCACCTCCCCCAAGGTGGGTCTGGGGGTCCTGGGGCGGGCTAGGGGCATGTCCAGCTCCCTCCCTGCTGTGCTGGGGGGGCTGGGCAGGGTCCAGCCGTGTCCCTGAGGCCACTCTGAGCTGATCTCTCCTGCCCCAGGTGCTGCAGCGCCTGGTGAAGTCGCGGGGCAAGTCCCAGGCGAAGCATCTCAACGTGCAGATGGTGGCCTCGGACAAGCTGGCGCAGTGCCCACCTGTGAGTGTGCCACGCCCTCTCTGACCCCGCCCACCTGTCCCAACCTCTGTCACCAGTCGGTCCCACCCTCTCCCACTGACCCCGCCCTGTCCCATAGGCTGCGCCCTGAGCCCAGGTGTCCCTCCCTCTCCCACTGCTCCCACCTTGTCCTGCAGGCTCTGCCCTTTCCCGTGGGCTTCACCTTGTCCATAAGGATCCACCTTGCCCATAGGGATCCACCTTGTCCATAGGGATCCACCTTGTCCATAGGGATCCACCTTGTCCATAGGGCCCTGCCCTTGCTCCCAAAACCCCATTCCTTTCCAATGGCCCTGCCCTTTTCTATCAGCTCCACCCTTTTCCATTAGCTCCACCCTGTCCTATAGGCTCTGCTGTGTCCTCTAGGCTCCCCCATGTCCTATAAGCCCCGCCCTATCTTATAGGGTCTGCCCCATCCTATAAGCCCCTCCGTATCCTATAGTCTTCACCCCGTCCCTCTGCTCTGCCCCACGTCCCCACTGCCCTCCCCTGTCCCCGCCCCAGGAGATGTTCGACATCGTGCTGGACGAGAACCAGCTGGAGGAGGCCTGTGAGCACCTGGCCGAGTACCTGGAGGCCTACTGGAAGGCCACGCACCCCCCCAGCAGCAACCCCCCGAACCCGCTGCTGAACCGCACCATGGCCTCGGCGGCGCTGGCCGCCAGCCCCGCGCCCGTCTCCAACCTCCAGGTACAGGTGCTCACCTCCCTGCGCAGGAACCTCAACCTGTGGGGCCGAGAGGCCACCCCCAGCCCCCCCGGAGCCCTCGAGGAGCACGCGCTGTGAGGAGGTGGCGGCGGGGACAACCCCCCCCCCGGCCCCTCTGGGGTACCCCCGGGATCGGGGACATCCAGGGAAACACGGCCCCCCCATTCCTCATCCGGGTGTGGGGCAGTCCCTGGGATCTCCCCACCTTGGGGACCTGTTTCCCCCTTGGGTTTGGGGCCATCCCTGGGATCGGGGTCACCCCAGGGACCTGCTCCCCTTCCCGGATCGGGGCCATCCCTGGGATCGGCCCTGGGGATCTCTCCCTGCCTGGGACAGGTGCCAGCCCTACATTTGGGTCTCCTGGGGCCCCTTCCAAGGCCTGAAGCCCACCCTGTGGGGGATTGGGAACCCCCAGGATCTGCCCCCTTTGAGCCCCCCTCTGTGCCCTCTTATGGGCTGCAGACCCCCATTCCCACAGCCTCTGCAGGGGGGGCCGTGGTGGGGTCGAGGCTTTGGGGGTGTCCTGGTGTGGTCCAGCTGGGCAGGGGGGCACAACCCCCCATCCCACCACGGCCAGTACGGTGCTGAGCCGGGGGTCCTGCAGCCCCCCCGAGAGCAGGAGGCAGAGCAGGGATGAGTGTCCTGTGTCGTCTGTCGCTAATTCTCCCAGCGAGCTGGACACTGCTGGTGCTCCATCCCCCCCAACCCTGCACCCCCATCCTGCATCCCCCCACCCCTGCACTGCTCCCCCCTGCCCCGGTGACCCCCAGGCTGAGACCTGCTGCGCTCGTGTCACGAGTGAGCGACACGGGCAGGCCGTGCTGGGCAGCATGTGCCCCCTCCCCGCCGGTAACACCCCCCACTAACCCCCTGCCTGTCCGGCCCCGCATGGTGTGGTTGCTTCTCCCCTCCAGGGTCCGTTCCCGGAGGGGGAGCAGGGCCGGGCCCGGCCGGGACCGGGGGGCCGTGGGCAGGGCAGAGCCCCCCCGGCCCCCACCCGGCCCGGCCCCCGCAGCCTGTGCCGCCAGGACACCTTCGACTCGGAGCCCGCGGGCTCGGCGGGCACGGAGCCCGGCGATTCCTGCTGCATGGACATCGAGATGGACCCCGTCGAGGAGGAGCCCCCCGGGGACGGGGCCGAGGAGGGCCGGGGGCTGCGGGGCCGAGCCAAGGGCCAGGAGCCCCTGGGCCTGGGGGAGGGCGAGGGCTGGGGGCAGGACGTTTACATCCGTTAGGGTGAGGGGCTGCGGGCACTGCTGGTTTTGGGGTGGGGGAGACCCTGCCCGGTTGCCTCTGTGCCCCCCCAGCCCGGCCAGCAGTGCCATGGGGAGCCCCTGCTTTGCCCTAAGGGGCTCCCCCTGCCCCACTCTTTGGCGAGGGGGGGGTCTCCCTGTGCCCATCCACCACAGCCCCCCCAGCATCTCGCGGTGCCTCGGGCCCCCCTGCCTGGCAGGGACAGCAAGTGACCAAAGGGGACCCGGCGTGTCCCCGTCCCCTGCCCTGGGTGTGGGGTGGGGGGCTGTGCACCCCCCCCAGCCCTGCCTGCTGGCTGCCCCCCACTTCTCCATGGTGCTCTTGGCCCCCAGGGCTGGCCGTGGCAGTGGGGGGGTCCCTGCCAGCTGCCCCCCACCCCAGCCAGTGCCTGCCCACAGCCCCCCGCTCCGGGGGGGTGCATGTGTGTGGTGTGTGCAGGGCTTTGGGGGGCTCCTGCTGCCCCTGGCTGTGCCCCCCCCGGGGTGCTGCCTGCCCGGGGAGGGGAGGGGGCAGTTTGCATGTGTTTGCCTTGGAGGGGCTCTGCCTGAACTGGGGAGGGGGTGGGGGGTAAATCTGAGCCAGTTTTGGGGTCTAACCCGTGCTAACAGCTGCCCAGCCCTGGCCTGCCCTGGGGTGCCCGGAGGGTCCCGCTGCCCTGGGACCTCTGGGGTGCACTGGGCAGTGCCAGGCCCCTGTCCCACCCCCCCCAAAAACCCCCCTGTGCCAACCCCCACCGTGCCTGTCCAGCCGTGTCTGTCTGTCTGTCTGTCCGTCAGCCTCTGTCCGTCCCCCCTTGGCCCCCCCCAACACCCTGGGGCACTGCCTTGTCCTGTGCCTGCCCCAGGGGCATCCCTTGTGCCCCCCCCCCAGCTCTGTGGGGGTGACCACCCCAGGGTGGGGGTGGGGATACCCCCCATCCAGCCCTCCCCGTGGGGCTGGGCTTGTCTCACTTATGGGGCAGCCCCCTGCCCCCCACCCCGGGGCGATCCTGGGGGTCCCCGGGGTCACTGCCTTACCCAGACCACCAGCCCAGGGCAGGGGGCTCAGGGGCACCCAGCTCTGCCGCTGCCAAGCTGCCCCCACCCACGTGTGCCTCAGTTTCCCCCCTTTTTTTGAGGGGGGGGACGACACACACTCGGTGTCACTGCCTGCCAAGTGCTTTGAGCCCCCCCTGCCCCAGTGCTCGCCCTCGTGGTGGCCACAACCTGGGCAGCGGGGCCCCCCCCCGGCCCCCCCGCGGGCAGAGGGACGTCCCGTATTTATGTCACTCCACAAACTTTTAATTTAAAGACCCGACAAAGTGTATTTTATTTATTTATTCTCGTTGGTTTGTGTGTGTGTGTGTGTTGGGAGGGGAGGGGGGGAAGGGGACTCGCCCCGCTCGCTTGGTTCTTTGTAATAAACATTTCGGTGAGATCTGTCCCCACGGCTGAGCCTGGTGGGGGGTCTGGGGGCACGGGGGACACACACACGAGGAGGGGGCTGCAACCACCGGGGCTCAGCTCTCAGCTCTGCAGAGACCCCCTGGCTGGGCCTTGGGGGTGCCCAGGGAGGGGGCTGGGACTGGGATGGAGCTGGGACTGGGATGGAGCTGGGACCAGCCCGGCTCCCGGGAAGGGGCACAGACCCGATGTGGGTGGGGGTCAGGGGGCTCTGGCCCCTCCTCTGCCAGGGCACCGGCAGCCGTCGGGCTCGGCGCGGCGCTGGGCCGGGTTTATCGGCGCTAGGCCGGGTCTGGACACGCCACGGACACGCTATTTACAGGGAATAAATAATGGAGCTGGAGCTCAGGGCTGCCGGCACCTCCACTCGCTCTTCTCCAGCTGGTACTGGAACGCCTTCCTGGGGAGAGGACACGGGGTGTCAGTGGGAACAGGGACATCAGTGGGAACGGGGACATCAATGGGAACGGGACATCAATGCCACCCCAATCCCTGCCCCACTGCCACCCCCAAAACCCAGGGCACACCCAGCTGTCCCCCACTCCCCATCCCCACCCCGTACTCACTCTCTCCCGGGTGGGCTGGGCCTGCACACCAGGCCGGCCTGGCAGGGGCACACCTGGTTGATGCTGAAGGCGAGACCCCCGGGGGGCACGTGGCAGCTCTGGGCCAGTGCCAGGCGCCGCTGGCACACGAGCTCGCCGTGCTGCCGGGCACAGCAGCCGCCCGCCCCACAGTCCTCGTCCCGCTGGCACCGGGCTCCTGGCAGGGCAGAAAATCGCATTTAGGAGAGGGGACCCCCACCCTGACCCCCAGTTTGGGGCTCCCCATCACCCCTCGGTGCAGCACCACCCCATCGGCACCTCGCAAAGGTGACACCGGGGGGGTTGTCCCCTGGTGTCCCCCCCACCCCAGAGGCTCCACTCACCCTCCTGCCCGTGGGGCACGGGCTGCTGGCACTTGCCGAACATGCAGAGGAGGCCGTGGGCGCAGTGGGGGTCGCGGCGGCAGAATTGCCCCGCGGGGCGGGCGGGCAGGCACAGCCCGAAGTGCTCGTCACAGAAGTGGCCCTGGGCACAGGGGGCGGCCGGGCTGCAGGGGGTCACCTGCAGGGAGGGGACACATGGCACATCAGGAGCGGCCAGACCCCATCTCCGAGCCCTTTCCTGACCCTATCCCTCACCCCATCCCTGAGCCGTTTCCCGCAGTGACTCCAGGGTTTGATTTTTTTTTTTTTTTTCCTCGCTGGGAAAAGAAAACGCGGGGGGGCGCGGGGCCCTAAAAGTGGTGCTCCAGGTGAGGCTCGAACTCACAACCTCGGCATCGCTCGCGTACCGCCCTATAAGTACCGCGCGCTGACCGATTGCGCCACTGGAGCGCCCGGCGCCCCTGCGCGCCCCGCGCCCCGGCCCGCCCGCCTCGCCCCTGCCGGCCCGCCCCCGCGCGGCCCCTGGCCCCCGCAGCCCCGCCCCGGGCAAAGAGACCGCAGACCCCGACCCCGGGAGCGCCGTGTGGGGTCACCCCACGCCGGGTAGAGCGTTCTGTGCCCACCCGCTCCCACCCCTCCTTCCAACCCATCCCCCGCCCTGGGAGCCTGCAAAGTCTGCGCCCGTCCCTGGGTCTAAACCCACCTTTCACCTTCCGCTGCGCCCACCCCTGTTGCCCACTCTGGGTTTAAATGCACCCTCCCACCCCTGTGCCCGCCCTGTTGCAAACCCGTTTCCCATCCCTGTGCCCGCGCTATTCCGAGCCCCCCGCCCGCCTCTGTGCCCACCCTCTGTGCCCACCCTCTGTGCCCACTCTGGGTTTAAATGCATCTCCCTCCCCTATGCCCACTCTGGCTGCAAATTCCGTGCTCCAAACCCCCCTCTCAGCCCTGCTCCCACCCCGGCTTCCACCCCTATGCCCACCCTGTCCATCTCCCACCCTGCTGTACCCCCGGGGGTCCCTCATCCCTCACCTCCTCCATGTCGCTCCCTGGGCCGGGGTTTCTGCCCAGGGCGGCCGCATCCGGCGGGTGCTGGGGCAGGGAGAACATCCATGCCCAGAGGTGCCCGGCGGCGGGGGGCAGGAGCCAGGCGACGAGGCAGAGGATGGCCGGGGATGTCACCATGGTGCTGGTGCTGGTGCTGGCGGCGGCGGTGGCAGCTCGACCGGGGCCAGGGGTTTATGTAGCCCCGGGCTATCTCGGCCCCCGCTGCTAAAACTGTTTGCCCACCTAATGGGGTGGGAGGAGGCAATCAGGGGTTAAGGGATTTACATAATTGCCAGCCTTCCCCTCGGGGGGTGGCATCAGCCCCAGGGCAAACAGCCCCCCCCCGGAGCAGTCTGGCTCCGGCGCCAGCCGTGGGTGCAGCCTGGGATGCCCCCAGAGCTCAGGAGCGTGGTATGTGCAGTTTGGGGTGCCCTGTGTGCCCCTATAGCTCAGGGGGGCGGTGGGTGCAGCCTGGGGTGCCCTCTCCAGCCCCCCGGGTAACCCCATGTCTTGGGGTCCTCCCCCGTGCCCCTCAGATCCCCCCACAGCTTAGGATGGGTGGTGGGTGCAGCCTGAGGTCCCCACAACTCAGATCCCCCCATAACTCGGGGTGACCCTGGGTGTAGTCTGGGGTGCCCTGTGTCCCCCCACAGCTCAGGGGGGTGGTGTGTACAGTTTGGGGTTCCCTGTGTCGCCACCAGCCCCTCGGGTACCCCCTCAGTTCCCTGGTTTGTCCCCCCTTTCCCGGGGTGTTGGGACACGGCACAGCGGGGACGAGGGGCAGGCAACAGGATAAAGTGGGGGACAAAGGCTGGGACCCCCGGGACGGGCAGCGGCGGGCACACGGTTGGCATCTGACCCGTGTTTGTGTGTCCCCCGTGTCCCCCCCTTCCCGGTGCATCCCCCTCCTCCATCCCGCCCCATCCCGGGGTGACGGGATTCGCACCTTCCCTAACGCTCCTGCAAATGGGGTGTTTGCCCACCCCGCCCTTATCTCCCGGGCCGGCGCTGGGACACCGCCCCCCTCCAGCGCATCCCCCAGACGGTGTCACCTCCGTGTCCCCAAACACGCGGGGGGGCTCAGCCAGGCCCTCCAATACACTTTGGGCCCATCCACTCCGGGGGATCCCCAATTCCCAGGGGCACGGGGGGGCTGTGACATCGCTACAGGGGGGGTTTCTCCCCGAGGGCAGTGGGGACGGGATAGAACCGGGGGGTCGCTGGGAGTGGGGTGCACTGGGGTCTCTGGGGACGTGGGGAACCCCCTCCCTTGGGTGTGGTGTGATTCCCTCTGCCTTCGTGCCTCAGTTTCCCCGGCCGTGAAAAGGGGGATGGCGAGGCTTGCGGGTGACCAGGGACACGGGGCTCGCACTGGGGTGACCCCAAACCTTTCTCCCGGTGTCCCAGGACGAGGCAGTGCCCGGGACGGGCCACCAGGATCCGCCCCCCTCACCCCGCGTGTTTGCCCAGCGGCTTTGGGAGCAAATATTGACCCCGCTGCCGGGCACAATCACGGCCGCTGTCCCCATCCGTCCCCCGCTGGCTCCGGATAATCCCCCCCAGCGCCACGGGGACCCCGCCCGGCGGCTCTGCTCCCCCAAAACCCCCGCGTTGGGCTGTCACGGGGCGGGGGTCCCACGCAGCCCCAAAACCCTACGGGGGGGGACGCACAGCCTGGACCCGCTGTGCGAACATCGGGGGTCCTGCTCTCTGCAGGGGGCTCGGAGGGCTTGACGGCGCCGTGTCCCCCACCCCCGACCACTCACTTGATGAGAATGGGGGGCACCTGCTTAGGAGCTGGATCCCGCTGCCCCCCGCAGCCTCTCGCTGTGTAGGGACACTGGGGGGGTGTGGGGCGGGTGAGACGGGGGGACGGGAGCGTGTGGGTGCGCTGGGGCTGTGCGTGCGCGGGTGGGGGTGTCCGTGGGTGGGTGTGCAGCCAGAGGGACGCTCCTATGGCCAGCGGCAGGTACCGTCCCCATCGGGGGTATAGCTCAGTGGTAGAGCATTTGACTGCAGATCAAGAGGTCCCCGGTTCAAATTCGGGTGCCCCCTCATTTTCCTCCCCACCCGTGGGTGTCCCCCCTATTTTTTCATACCCTTTTTGCTCGCCCCTCAAGCCCCAGCAGCGAAGGGAGGGCGCGTCCTGCTCCCCCCCGCGCCCCCAGCCCCGGGTGTACCAGCTGGGGACGGTGCTTTGTCTTGCACGAGGAGGATCCAGCTTTTGGGTATCCCCCCTCCCGCCGCCCCCCCTCTGCCTCCTCAGTTCCGAGCAGCCGCAGGACCCCCACACTGCCCCACGCACCCCCTCGGATTGTCCATGGGAGGGGTGTAGGTTTTTTTTGGCAGGGGTCAGCAGCGCTCCCCAGGCCCCGGGCACGGACACATCCCTTCGGGGGGAGGCTGGGGGGGCTGCACCCTCCTCCTGCCCCGGCACCCAGGGCTGTGCCACCCCCACGACACCAGGGGTGAGGGGCTGCGGTGCAGCCGGAGACCCCCAAAACGCTGCGCCAAATCTTGGGGTGGCCAGAAGCCACTTCGGCTGAAAGGGAGGAGAGCGGGGCTGGAGTTTTGGGGGGCTCCCGGAGCTCTGCGGTGCCAGCGGGACCCCCACCTTGTGCCCGTGACCCAGTGCCCCCCCACCCTGTGCCCCCCAAACCCCCAGTATCTGCTGCTCCTGCTCCAAAGGGAAAATCCGGGAGGACCGGGAAGGACACAAACATTCCTCCTGAGGGGACGGGTCTGTGGATGGGGAGACTCGGGGCGGGGGGGTGCCAGGGGTGGGGGCGATGAGGCTCTGGACCCCCAGACAGGGGGGCTGCAGTGATCCTGTGGCATGGGGTCACATCTTCCCCCCCGGGGTCGGTGGGCTCAGCCGAACAACCCCCCCACGGCAGCCCAGGGTGCCCGCAGTGGGGACGGGGTGGGGACCCCAGTCTCGTTTGTTGCCCCCGCCAAAGGGGGTGAAGTGCCAGCACCCCGGAGATGTCGCTGCGGGGTTGGGCCGCCAGCCCAGCCCGGGATGGGGGGATATTCCCGAGCCCCCCGAGAGCACAGGGGTCCTGCTGCCGCCTCCATCCCCATCCCATCCCAACCCTTCCCAATCCTATTCCCACCCCCGGCCCCGCCCCCGGCCCCGCCCGGCTCCTCTCCGGCTCCGTTCGGTGCGCGGCTCCCGGGGGTCCCGGCCCATGGCGGGGCGCTGAGCCCCCGACCCCCAGCACAGCCGGCGCTGCCCCCACCATGCGCTGGGGGTCTCCTCCTGCTCCTGCTCTGCGGGCGCTGGGCGCAGGTGGGGCCCGGGGGGTGGGGGCGAGATGCGGGGACCCTGACCTCGGGGGTCGGCAGGGGTCCCGGGTGGGCAGCGCCGTGCGCGCCCTGCCGGGGCGGCCGGCCGGGGGTCCCTGGGGTCCGTGCCCCCTGCTGCTGTGCCCTGGGGTATCGTCGTGCCCCTGAGCACGCAGGTGCGTGTCACCCTGTGCACCCACCCGCGCCCTGGGACCTGTCGCGGGGGTCCCGCCCCCACACCCCTGCTCCCCCCTGCCCCAGCACCTCCACGGCGAAGATGGGGTGGCCGGACCCCCCCATCTGTGCAGGGCAGCCCCCTGGGGCAGAGGAGGGGGCTGTGGGGTGCCCCCACCCGGGATTCCCTCACTCATGGCACGACTGGTGCTGTCCCGGCTGTGGGTGCAGCCACCCGGTGAGATTTTGGGGAGCCTTTTCGTGCGTGTGGGGGTCTCTGCTCCTTGGGGCACCCCACATCCACCAGCGGGGATGAGGTCTGGGCCTCCCGGTACCCCCAGGGATGGCGAGGGTGACCCCCAAGCCCAGAGCCCCCCTGGGGGGTGGGGTGGGACACGTGCAGCTCAGCCCTGCTCCCCCTGCCTCAGTTTCCCCTCCCGGAGCTCTGGGGACGGAATCCAGCCCGGGGAGGGGTCCCGGAGCTCGTTAGGGAGCAATTAGCAATTCTCTCCCAGGGGGGTGAAGGTGGGAGCCCCCTCCCAGGGGCGAGGGGAGCTGCCCGTGCCCCCCTCCCTCTCCCCTCCCGGGGGATTTGGTGTCCCCTGGCTGGGGACAGACGCGTCCCTGCCCGTGGGCGAGCGCGTGCCGTCCCCACCGCCCCCGCCCCGCCGGGCTGCCGGGAATCTCATGATTCTCCGCAGATTTGGTCCCAAATGGCTTTTTTACCCTCCTCCCTCCCCCCAACCCCGAGTCATGTTTCCGGCCTCCGCTGCCTCCCCAAGGGCTGGAGAGACGTGTCAGGAGGGGACAAGGGACGCGTTTCTTTTGGGAATGGATGCTCGGGGTCTTCCCTGGCACCCGGAGCCCATCCCAGCCGTGGGGAGGGGCCCGATGGCCTGGGGACATGGGGGACACTCGGGCATCTCCCCCCTCCCCGGGGTCACTCTGGTGTGCACAGGGGCTGCCATTTGGAGGTGTTCTGCCTGCTCACAGCCCTCCATCCCCGCTCTCCTCCCCTGGCCAGGGTCACTGTCACCTGTCCCCACCCCAGAGAGACCCTCCATCCTCGCAGCGATGCTGCTTGTCGAGGCTGAGACCCCCCCAAACTCGTGTCACATTGCTGGGGGACAGGGCTGGTCCCGGGGGTGCCCTCCTGGGGTGGCACCCCACCGACCCCTCCCCTGTGCCCCCCAGGACGCCCCCCCGGGAGCGAAGGGCGACGGAGAGCTCGGGATACGCCCGAGGGGACCCGGATCAGCCAGGACCTGGGCGGGGGCAGCCTGGCCATCGACACCCTGCCAGCCAACGAGACACGGATCGTGGTGAGTGGGGGTCCCCCCTCTGCCCCCCGCCCGGATCTGGCCAGTGCCCGACCATGAGAGCTATTCCCGGGCTGGGCAGGGAGCTGGATCCCACATCCCAGGGGATAATTACAGCCCAGTGCCCTGGGATTGCTCCGAGCCCTGCGGCCTCCACAGCCCTGCCAGGTCCCTGGGCTGGAAATCCTTTGGATGCTTTGCTTGTGGGTGCCACGTGTGCCATGGGGACGATGCCACCGTCCCCTGATAACCTTATGGGGGCTGTGTGTGTGTGTGTGGGTTGTCTCTGTCCCTGTGTCACCAGTAACGAGTTGAGCAGCAGCAGTGTCACCTCCTGGGACACCTCCCCCGGCTCTCCAGGGCCAGGCTGTGCCTAATTACCCGCTCTCAATTAGCTCCTGGTTATTTGTGGCAGGGCCGTGTGTCCCTTGGCAGCCAGGGGAGTTTCCTGAGCTCTGGGGATGGGGGGATGTGTGGGTGGCTGAGTTTTGGTGGAAGGTGACTTGTCCCAGTGCTTTTGGTGCCCCCGAGGCAGAGCAGGCAGGGGATGAACAGCCCTGGCTGCTTCCACTCTGCTCCAGCTCCAGCTCATCCACCGGGGATGAAGAAGGGCCAGGGACCAGGAAAGTCTCAATGTGGAAGTGTTTAAAAATACCCCAAACCAGCCCAAAACCACCGGTGGCCACCAGGGCGTTTTTGGAGATGCCGGGGGAGCCGCAGGGAGGGCGTGACGGTGCCTGTGGTTCCCTGGGGGAAAAGGCAGTGATTTCCTGAGGCTTTGGGATCCGCTCCAGGGGCTATGGGCGAGGTCACAGGTGCATCTCACCCTGTCCCACCTGCAGAAGGGGGGATCCCACCTTGGGAGGTGCCAGTGCAGGGTCCGGAGGGGTTTTCCAATCTCTCCTCCCAAAATATTCCGGTTTAGGGGTACAGAGACCCAGCACTAGTCCCGAAGGTCTCTCTCTGCCCCCACCTATCCCTGCATCCCAAACCTCTCCTCTCCCAGTTCCCGCTGTAACCAAAGCAAGGTGACGGATTAGAACATCCCGGTGAGTCAGCGATGAGGTCACGAGCGTGGCAGCCGGATCCTCTGTGCTTGGTTCCCCCCTGGATTCTCTGGAACACTTTGGGAAGGCGCAGGGGGGCACACCAGGACATGGGGAAGTTTTGTCCTTTGTCACCCAGCAGCGGCCTGGCCCTGCATCCCGGGGGTTTTCCATGGGGAGCTGAGTGCTGGGATGCAGCAGGTGCCAGCACAGCCTCAGTTTCCCCATCCACAGGGGAAATGCATCCACCCCTTCCTTGGAGCAAACAGGGGCTGTAATTCCTGTGGGGAAGAGCTGGGGAAAGAGCTGAGGAGTGCAGCGACTCTCCCTGAACTTTGGGAAGTGGGAAAAACCACAAGTTTGAGGATTTTTCTGACAGCACTTTATTCCAGCTGAGGGTTCCTCCCCTGCCTCCAGCACCCGGGATCCTGTGCAGGGAGTGGGACTGGGAGCGGGTCAGGGGGGAGATGCTGGGGGTCAGAGGGGGTTTTGGGGGTTCAAGAGGGGCTTTGGGGTCAGAGGGGGCCGAGCAGCAGATGGGGCCGAGCGGCGAGCGGGGCACTGTGCCAGCTGCTGGCACGGAGCGCTGGAGCAGAGCTTTCCCAAGGAAAATTAAGATGCTTCCCATCCTGCCCCCCACCTCGGTGTGAAGCGGCCTCCCCTGACAGGCGATGGCTCCCAGCTGGGTGTCCGTCAGTCCGTCTGTCCCCATCGGAGAGGCCACGGCAGGGCTGGTGACACTGCCCTGGTGACACTGCCCTGGTGACACTGCCCTGGTGACACATCCCACGTCCCTCTCCCCCTGCTGTGCCCCCCATCCTCATCCTCATCCTCCCTGCCCGCTGGCAGCAGCGTCTCGGCCGCTCTCCCCGCGCTGCTCGTTCCAAGGTTAATCATTTCCTCTGGGCTTCCACGGCTCCGCTTGTTTTGCTTCACTTGCAGTGGTCACTTCAGCTGCAGCTCCCAGCCCCTGGCTCTGGAGCGGGATACTTTCTTCCCGGGAATGTTGACAAGCCCTCTCGTGAGTCACCCCTCGCTCTGGCCAGCCCTGCGTCCCGTGGGATTCCCTGCGCCTTCTCCAGCTGTTTCAGCATCCCCCCCGGGGCTTTTCCAGGCTGGATTTAACCTCTGCTTTGTGCCCAGACCACACCTCAGCCGCTCAGGGGCTCACATGCCCACAGAGTGATGATCCCTGTCCCTGCAGGAGGACAACCACAGCTATTACGTGTCGCGGGTGTTCGGCCCCGGCGAGGCCCAGAGGAAGGGGCTGTGGGTGGACATGGCAGCCGCCAACGGGAGCCAAGCCAAGATCCACGGGATCCTCTCCAACACTCACCGCCAGGCCTCGGTGAGCGGCCCCGTTCCCCTCTCCCTTCTCCCAGCAGAACCCCTTCCATGTCCCCCTGGCAGCCCACCCAGGACAGGAGGAGTGTTTGGGTGCCCCTCGCCCTCTCCGGGGATGAAGGGGATGAGCACCCACAGGACCCCACTCCCGTCCCTCTCCCACCCTCCAAGCACCATCCAGGGCACAGAGCAGTCCCCCCCACACTCCCTGGGGTGTTTTCCCAAGGGCTCAGCGTGGTTCTCACCTCACCTCACCTCATCCTCCTGCAGAGGATCATCCTCTCCTTTGACTTCCCCTTCTACGGCCACCTCCTGCGGCAGGTCACGATAGCGACGGGCGGTGAGTCGGGATGGGATGGGATGGGATGGGATGGGATGGGATGGATGGATGGGATGGGATGGTGGGATTCCTGCAGGGAGAGCTGGACACGGCTCTGGTGCTGTCTCTGACCTCACCCCGCAGCCCCAGGGAGCTCGGAGAAGGGGCTACAGCCCTTCTGACCTTCTCCCTGCACCCCCAAATCTCCCCCTGCCCTGCTGCTACTTGGGGAGTCGGGTGCTGCTGGAGCCTCACGTCCTCCAGCAGTTTTGGGGGTGGGGGTGTCACACAAAGCTGGAGGAAATCCAGGAGGGGATGCTGGGGGTTAAAAAGGCGGGGTGGATAAAGCAGGGCAGGGTGGTGGAAGTTGGGAAGGAGGGAGGGAGGGAGGGTGCTGGGGGTGGTGAGGCTGAGTCCGTGCTGCTTCACCCTCTTTCCCCCTCAGGTTTCATCTTCGTGGGGGACGTGATCCACCGCATGCTCACGGCCACCCAGTACATCGCCCCCCTCATGGCCAACTTCAACCCCAGCTACTCCCGCAACTCCACCGTGCAGTACCTGGACAACGGTGAGTCCTGCCCTGCACAGCCCCTGCCCCTGCTCCTGCCTCATCCAGCTGGGCAAGTCTCGGCTCTCTGAGACCAAACAGGGACACCCTGGGCTGGTCATCCCCCCTGGGGGGGTTTGGGATGGGTGTCAGGGGATCTGCTCCGAGCAGAGCGCTGGAGGTTGGGGGATGAGGTGCCTTGGAGGTCCATGGGTGGAAGAGGATGGATCAGGCTACCAGCCTGATCCATCCTCTTCCACCCATGGACCTCCAAGGGATGAGGAGGGAGGAGAAGCCTGACCCGCTCTGGTCACCTCCCCCCACCCCAGGGACGGTTTTTGTGGTGCAGTGGGACAAGGTGTATCTGCAGGGGAAGGAGGACCTGGGCAGCTTCACCTTCCAGGCAGCCCTGCACAGCACCGGCAGGATCGTCTTTGGCTACAAGGAGGTGAGAGATCCTCCCCCTCCTGGCACCTCCAGGAGGCACCCCAGGGGCATCAGCTGCCTCCTCCTGCAGGGGAAGGCAGGGCAGGAGGGTCCCCACGGGGGTCCCTGTGGGTCTGGGCGGGGGTTTGGGGTTGTATGGGCGTTCCTGGGGGCCTCTGCAGCAGCACCAGGAGCTGGGGGGGGGTGCTGGGATCCATCCTGTCCCGTCTCCTCCCTGGCTGCAGATCCCAGTGCCAGTCCTGCAGATCAGTGCCACCCAGCACCCCGTCAAGGCCGGGCTCTCTGATGCCTTCATGGTTCTCAACCCCTCTCCCGACGTGCCTGGTGAGTCCGTGCCCACATGAGCTGCAACCCAGAAAGGCTCTTCCAGCCTCTCCAGTCATGAGGAGCCCAACCCTGCTCCTCCCTCCCAGCCTGGTGGCTTTCCCCTGTTATTCCTGGAGCCATCTGGCCCTGGTTTATGATCCATTTACAGCGGTTTGTGCAGGAACCGGGGCCAGCCTGGGTGGTTCCTCCCCTCCCGCCCCACAGCTGCTCCTCCATCCCACCCCACAGCCTTCCCAAGCCCTGCCCTGGGCTGTGAGGGGAGAGGAGATGCAAGAACTGGGCATGAAAAAGCCTTCTGAGGTGGAGAAACGAGGGGTGGAGGGTGCAGAGGACAAACAGGAGGGGAGGATGCTCATCCTGCTTGTCTGTTGGGCTCCGAGTACAGAGCACGAGGCCCTACTGGGAAGAGAGGTTGGGTTGTCCATGGAGATGGATGCTAGAGGAGCATCTTGGTTGGTGCCACCCTCTGGGAGAAGCCTGAATCCGGAATAGAGCCCAGGATGGCCACCAGGATGAAGGGAAAGAGAGGGAAGGGGACAGGGCAGGAGGGGGGTGGGGAAGGGGGAGGTTTGGGGGGAGCCCCGGGAGGCTCCAGCCCGTGAGTCAGTGAGGAATGATGTGTTTGTTTGGAGCAGAGCAGGGCTGGAGCAGGTCCATCAGCACAGCCTCTGGTCAGGGAGAGGGGACAGCGAGCCCTGAGCTCCTCCTGGCAAAACAGGGGGGCAGGACCTGTGCCCTGCCACCCCCTCCTTCACCTCCCACAGACCCCCAGTCTGGATCCACCCTCGCCTTTCCTCAACCCCGGCCTCCCCCACGCCCATGGGGGGTAAATCCCTTCTTGGGGGGGGGAGAGGGGGGAGAATTAAGGCCCAGCCTAACCCCAAGGCTCGGTGTTGCAGAGTCCCGGCGCCGGACCATCTACGAGTACCACCGCGTGGAGCTGGACACCAGCAGGATCAGCAGCCTGTCGGCCGTGGAGTTCACACCCCTGCCCAGTGAGTGCAGCCCCGGCCCCTCCCCGGCCAGGATCCCACCCTGGGGTGCTGGGAGGGGGATGCCATGCATGGCCTGGCAGGTGGGAGCCTTGGAGCCGTGCAGGGAGGGGGTTGCTGCTGGCAGGGAGCAGTTTGCCCCTGCCCCTGCCCGGCTGTCTCTGGACCTCTCGTGGATCAACCCCCTCAGAGCCAACCTCAGCCAGCAGAGACCCCTCCTTGGTGTTCTGCTCCCTAGCTGGGGATGCAGCAGAGCTCAAGAGCTGGCTCAGGAATTGCTGATAAAGGAGGGATCGGCAGGAAATCCACCTTCCCTCTGCTCAGTGGTCCCCACCAGCCGGGATGGAGCCGCTCCTGGTGCTCCACCAGCACCTTTCCCCCCACCAAAAATCCCTCTGGTGGCTCTCCTTGCTCACCACCTCCCACCCCTCAGTTCCTCCCTCCCTGCCACTGCCAGCAGTTCCCACCCCAAATCCCTCCCCTCTGCTCCGCGAGCTCATCCTGCTGGACCCCGGTTCACGCCGGGTCTGCACACAAAGCATTTCCAACGCCCCCACACCGGGCTGAAATCTCTGAGAGCTGCTGGGGAACAGGCCCATTTTTAGTGGCTGGCTCCAAGGACACTCGGGCACGAGGGAGAGCCGTCAGCAGCCGGTAAATACGGGCTGAGAGTAAATCTGCCATGGAGACACGGAGGGGCTGCACTAAACGCTCTCCCCGGGGTGTTTTATGACAATTTTAACAGCAGGCAGGTTATTGCAGGCAGAACATAAATAACCATTCTGCAATAACTCTGGGTTTTTTGTTGATTTTTTTTTCCTCCTGAAGATTTGCTGGTTTGGTTTTGCCTGGTTTTTTTTTTCGCCCCTGGCAGTTTGGGGAGCTGAGAGCAATATCTGCCAGGGAGCTGCAGAGAGCCCCACTCTGATTCCTCTTCTGGAAGAGGCCAAGGCCCTCCTGAGCATCTCTGCTGGACAGGGGGACACCAAGTGTTGGTGTTCTTGCAGAACCACACAGTGTGGACTCAGCTTGGGGAGGGGGTTGAGCTGTTTGTGCTGGTCCTGCCTCCCCAGGAACACCCTCTGCATGATGAGAAAGGCCCAAAAGCCTCACAGGGGGTTGAATTCCCGGCTAAACAGAGCAGTTGGAGGTTTATGGATGGACTGGGAGAAGGTCCCTGGCAGGCAGGTTGGGCTGGAGGCTCAGTGGCTCTCAGAGCTGCTCCCCTGTGCCCGCACAGATGTTGGCATCTGGCTGGAACGTCTCTCCTCCCTCTTTGCCAGCCTGTCTCCAGCACCAGAGCTGTGAAACGTGCGTGACCTCGGAGCTGACCTTCAACTGCAGCTGGTGTCACGTCCTGCAGAGGTACCTGGCATGGGTTTCCTTCCCACCCCCTACCTCCCCCACCTTTCCAGAGCTGGGGGAGGGAGCACAGGGCCAGGGCTGGGGGCTGGGTCAGTGGTGCTGGGGTTTGGTTTTTTATTTTTTTCAGTATTTTCCTTCTTTTTGCTGTGTTCTGGGTCAGTTGGGTGCTGCTCCTGCTCTCACAGTCTCAGGTTCCAAGCCACTGCAAGGGGACGTTTCCTGGGGTTTTTGGTCCAGGAACAAGCTGAGACCTGGAGCAGGACTCACATTTCTGTCAGGGAGCTTGAACACGGGGAAAACCTGTCCTGACCTGGGCTGGGATCAGACAGAGGTGCAGGGGAGGGGGGCTGGGACAGGCTCCAGGCAGGTCATGGAGCTGGGAATGCTCCTCACACCCCAGCTGGGAGGGACATACCCTCCTGTTTTGGGGTGACTGGAGCCTCTGGTCCTGCCCCCTGCTCTCCCCCAGCTCCAACAGCTCCATGCAGAGCAGGGGAGCTTAATGAGGTTGTGCTGAACTCTTTATTTGGAGCTGGTGGCAGGGGAGGGGACCCAATAACACAGATCCTCACGTGGAAATCCCGCTCTGCCAGGAAGGCACGGGCTCCTGCCCCGCTCCCCAGCCCCCTCCTTCCAGCAGGGTGTGAGCAGGGGACAGGAAAAGATCCTGAGCCATCAGCAAAGCCACCTATAAATCAGCATCGATTCCCTGCCTGTTGTGAGCCACGGGAACGTCATTTTTCAGTGGCAGTGGTGGCTTCAGAGCAGAGGATGGGATGTTCTCACCTCTGCCTTGGTAGCAAAACTGAGCCTGGGGTTCAGTGGCTTCGTCTGGGTCTGGTTTGGGCTGAACCCCAGGGGTTCAAGCACTTGGTTATTCTGATTTTTCCACATTTACGGCTTTTGAAAATCTGATTTTATCGTATCGTGGATTGCTTTGGGTTGGAAGGGGAACTTAAATCTCATTCAGTCCCACCCCTGCCACGGGCAGGGACACCTTCCACTGTCCCAGGTCGCTCCAACCTGGCCTTGGACACTCCCAGGGCTGGGGCAGCCACAGCTTCTCTGGGGGCAACCTGTGCCAGGGCCTGCCCACCCTCCTAGGGAAGGATCCCTCCCCAATATCCCATCTAACCCTGCCCTCTGGCAGTGTGAGGCTTCAAGCTGCCCTTTTCCATCTGCCCAAATCCCCAGCTGTTGGTGGGCTTTGCTCTTGCCCCTCCTGCCCCGGTGATTCCGTCCCTCCCGCCGCGGCTCAGCCCGAGGAGTTCAGGTTTCAAACAGGAACCACAGGTGGAAAAAAAACTGGCAAGCTGGAGCAAACAGACTCAGAAAGCCTTTGCTGGCTTTCAACCAGCTTGGTCTTGCAAAGCCAGGCTGATCTGTCCCCAGGGAGCTCCAGGGCTGGAGCTCCATCCCGGCTCCAGCTCTGTGAGTCCATCCCAGAAGTCCTCCCAGCTCTCTCCTCGGGCAGTGCAATCTGTATTTTCGCCTCTCCTGAGCCCACAGTTGTGACAGGAACTGTACTTGAAGCAAAGGGCCTGAAGTTTTCCGTGGTTTCTCCTCCTTTCCTGGTTGGCTGTTGGGTAAATTGGTGTTTGTGTGACCTGAACCCCCGCCCCCGGTTCAGATTTTGCTCCCCCCCCCCCCCCTGAGAGTTTCCAAAGGTCAGGGAGCTGTTCCATTCCCTGTTCCTGCAGGGATTTCTCTCTCTGCTGTTTGCCTGATGTCATTTATAATTTCTTTAGTGTGTTTTTCCTGTGCAGATGTTGCTGGAAAAAACACCCAGCAAGCCTCGTGGAGCTCGTGGCCTTGCCCTGGCACAGAGTCCAGGCAGTGGAAACTCACACTCAGGCCATATATTTTTCCTATTTTCTGCCTCTCCTTTTCCCCTGGAGGAGTGGTGTTGACCCTTCCCCTCCTCTGGGAAGGGGAATATTTGGGTTCTTCCAGCGCAGCTGTGCTGGAAACCCCCCCATGTTTTTTGGGTGTCACCTTGGATATCACGAGCTGTGATTTCTAAGAGCATTTCCTGCCACTTTTGACCCCACTTTTAACCCCCCCAGGTGCTCCAGTGGCTTTGACCGGTACCGTGAGGAGTGGTTGTCCTATGGCTGTGGCCAGGTGAGCCCGGGGGGATCCCTGCTCAGCTCCTGTGCTGGGAATGCTGCTGCTCTCCAGGGGAATCCATGGCCATGGCCCAGCTCAAAGAGTGAATGCTCAGCTCTGCCTGACCCGTGGTGTTTGGAGTCAGACTGGATATCCCTTTAGATATCCCTTTATTCCCTTTAGATATCCCTTTATTCCCTTTAGATATCCCTTTATTCCCTTCAGATATCCTTCCAGATATCCCTTTATTCCCTTTGGATACACCTGTAGATATTCATTTATTCCACTTAAATATCCCTTTATTCCCTTTAGGAACCCCTTTAGATATCACTTTATTCCCTTTAGATATCCCTTTACATCCTTTTATCCCCCTTTGGTGTTCTTTTATTCCCTTTGGATATCCCTTTATTCCCTTAGGATAATATCCCTTTTTTCCCTTTACCCCTTTCCCATTACAGCAGGACCCCCCTAACAGAGGATGCCTGGACTGGGATAGTTAAAGGATGCTCCATCCAATCCAGGGTTTTCCCTGCTGGTGCCTTTTCTGGGTGCTGGGAAGCTCCAGAAGTCACCAAACGGTGCAGTTGGAGCATTCTGGGATGTTTTTCCTCCTCCTCCTCCAGAGCATGACTCTTACTCACTCCCAAGCAGGAAGGAACGAGCCCTGTTTTCGTCCTTGTGAGCACAATTATCTCCTCCTTGGATGAACTCCTTCCTTTGTCTCACACAGATCAGCTGGAGACAAACATCTGGTTCTGCTTTGGGCTTTTTTTTTTTTTCTTTTGGTGTGGTGTTGGTTTGATTATTTTATTTTATTTTTTTTGTTTCCTCCCCCTCTGCTGAAAACTCAGTTTTGTTCCCCGTTACCCAGAGGGTCGAGTGAGGGAAACGGAGCTCACCGGGCCTGTGTGAGGTCACCCAGTGATGCACAAAGTTCCCTGGCAGGTCCTTGTGCTTTGTTCCTGCCTAAGGGCTTCCCAAACTTTTCCTCCTCTTCTCCAACCTCTTCTCCTGCCGCTTCTGGACCTGTTTCCCCCTGCAGTGTTGGAGCATCAGCAGCATCACAGCCCTCCCCTGGCGTTGCTGCTGGAGGAAAACTGGGGAAAAACAGCTCTTGTCCCTTCTGCTTGCAGTCAGATGAGAAGACCTGTGAGGATCTGGCAGAAGGCAGCCACTACTCAGCCCCTCCTGACAGCTCTTTGTCCCCTGGCAGCGAGGGCGTCACCCCCTCCCCGTCCTCGCTCTTCATCGACAGCCTCACCACCGAAGGTAGGGGGCACATCCCGTGCCTGGGGATTATCCCTGGGAAAGGTCCCGCACTCCAGGGCCTCACAGAGCCAATTCCTGTCCAAAGGAATCCAGGGACAATGTGGGTTTTGAAGGAGAATCGCTGGGTTGGAAGGGACCTTAAATCTCATCCGGTCACACCCCCTGCCACGGGCAGGGACACCTCCCACTGGCCCAGGTTGATCCAAGCCCCGTCCAACCTGGCCATGGACACTTCCAAGGATGGAACATCAACCATTCCAGGGCCTCCTCACCCTCACAGGCAGGAATTTCTTCCCAGTATCCCCTCCCCAGTCCGTTTCTGTAAAAGAGGAGCGACATTCCCTGGATCTGTAAAGTCAGATCATGGAATCGTGGAATGGTTTGGGTTGGAAGGGACCTTAAATCTCATCCAGTCCCACCCCCTGCCATGGTTCCAGTAGACCAGGTTGCTCCAAGCCCTGCCTTGGGCAGGGGTGAGGACAGAGAGTGGTAGAAAAGGGAAGGAAGGGCAGCCAAGAGGTGAGGCCTGGGGGGTTTGTGGCACAGGGAGGGCTGAAATCCTCCAGTGGGAAGAGTTTTGGAGCCATTCCATCTTTTTTACCCATTTGTGAAGGTCAACAGCAGCTAATCCATGGTGGGCAGAACCCACAGCCTCCTCCAGGGGTTAATCCTGCAGAGTGGGGCTCAGGCTTTTCCTGGGCTTGGGTTTAGCTGGAGGCTCAGGGGCTGCCAGGACTCTCAGCCTGGAATTAATCCAGGTGATTGCCCTCTCCCCTTGGGAATGCTGCTCCTTCCAGCCTCGGAAAGCTCCACATAAAGCCCTGGAGTTTCCCTGGAGACCCCCGTGCTCTAATCCCATTAACACGGGGCTGGCTCCTCGGATCCTCCCGGCAGGTATCACTCCAATTTCCCTGCTTAATAGTCCCTAACGCCGGCTGCTAATTAGGATAAAGAGAAGGGAACATTGGTAATTGTCCTTCAGCCACGGGTGGGGGAATGGAGCTGCCAGGGCTGACTTTGGAAGGAGCAATTAAAGGGAGGGGCGGGGGGTGGAACTCCACCAGGGAGAGCGTTTTCCAGCTCGGTTCTTGGGGGGAAAAAAATCCCAAAAAAAACAAAAGCAAGAGGCTTTTCTGTGTGACACAGCCGAGCGTGAAGTTAATTTGGGATCCTGGAAGGAAACAATCAGGGAGGAGAGCTGGGGCTGAGGAGAGAGCAAAGGAATCAGGAACAGCAGGGGGACCCAGCCCTTGGTGTCCTCCCTGATTCACATCCTTCCCAGCCAACCCAAATCCCTGGATTCACATCCTCCCCAGCCAGCCCAAATCCCTGGATTCAGGTCCTCCCCAGCCAGCCCTGTTCCTTGGATCTGTGTCCTCCCCAGCCAGCCCAAATCCCTGGATCTGCTCCTGGAGATGCTGGTGGACGTGTCTGACTCACTGGCCGTGTGTCAGCGCTGCCTCCAGCGCACGTGGAAGCCGAGCAGTGGGAATTCTGGATCAGGATTTCACCCTGGTGAGGGTGGGGGTGTGGGGGCCATCAGGAGACAAAGAAAACCTTGCACAAAATATCCTGGTCCTTCCAGAGCTAGGCCAGGAATGGAAGTGGATTTTGGGGCCCTGTGGAAACCCCCCCAGTGTAATGTCCCCCTGATTTATTTGGGATGTGTTAGCTCCAAATGCTGTGGCCTGAACACAGACACCCACATCCAGCATCCACTCATGGTTCAAACCTTGCACTCTGAGCATGCTGAGTGATCCTTTTCCCAGATATTTGTGCTCCAGGTGCCACCTCGGTGAAGGAAAATGATTCACATCCCACCCGCTCTCACTGTTGTTTTCTGTGTTCCTCCCTCTTCCACGAACAGGGATTTAAAACTATCCAGAGATCCCATCCCAGGGGGATGGAAGCAGGTGGGAAACGTACAGGACGTGGGAGAAAGCCCCTAATTTTATTTTTTTTTCTGCCCTGTTTTCTCCTTTCAGACGACACGAAGCTCAATCAGTTTTCAGGAGCAGAGGGTAAGCCCTTCCCCTCCTCCCTGCCTGCTCCAGGGGAACGTGGCTTTCCCTGGATGCCAGTGGTCAGCAGGGGGGGCAGGTGAACTCCAGAGCAGAGGGATGTCATCAAGATAACATTCCCGTGGTCCTCACCCTGGTTAATGCAATTCCAGATAGTGAAAAGTGAGAGTCTGCAATGATCTGGTTTTACCCTGCTGCTCTTTGTCCACTTCTCAGACAGGGAATTTTCTCCTTCCACGTAATTCCCTCTATTTGCCATATTTTCATAGACACAAAGTCCTTTTCCCTTCGAATTTCCCCAGCAGGGCCAAAGAACAGCCTAAAATGCAAATATAAAGTGTCCTCCCTGTTCCCTGAATCCGTGGCCAGCCCCGCTCTGTCCACCAGGGAACTGAGCTGCTGCCATAGCGCTCTTCCCAATTCCAGAGGCTGGGAAGGATCCAAGCCCTGTTCCCTGATGTCAGGCCCTGTGTGTGCTTTTTCTCTGGGAGGAGCTCAGGGAAGTCCAGCTGGCTGAACTGGGCTCAGGATCGGGCCACGGAGCCTTTGGAATCCACGTTATTCCCAGTTTGCTCCCAAATGCCCAGTGATGTCCCAGTTAACAGCTGCCACATCCACCCTCTGCAGCTCTGTGCAGTTGCTGAGGTGTCAGCACTGCTCCAGACCCAGCTGGATCCTGTTTTCCAGGCATGGGGAGCAGCCTCCCTCCCAAGACAGCCCCGATTCCCACCGGCACCATCGTGGGGATCGTCCTGGCCGTGCTGCTCGTGGCCGGGATCATCCTGGCTGGGATCTACATCAGCAGCCACCCCACCTCCAACGCCGCCCTCTTCTTCATCGAGGTGAGTGCAGAACCCCAGCCCTGCAGGCTTTGCCCTCCCTCTGCCATCCACAGCAATCCCAGCCTTCCAGAGGGGAGCAGGGAACGACGACACCTTGGGTGGGTTCACATCCGAGTCCCTTTCCGTGCTCCTCCGGTCATGGCTGATCTCCCAACCTCCTGCTGACGCTGTTCCAGCTCAGCCTCCCTCCTTCCCACCCAGTTTTATTTCGCTCTCTTTCACACACTGCCTGTTTTCCCCCGTGGAATGTCAGGCCTTTCCCCCTGCTCCGTGAGCAGCCGACGCTCAGCCTGGCCCGGGGGCTCGGCTGAATCGCCCGGCTGGGTTTTTGTTGCCTAAAAATTGTCAGCCTTCCCTGATGGATGCCATCAGCTGCTGGGGGAGGTGGGGTGAGGGGTGTGGGATTGCTCTGAAGGGAGGAATTTAATTCTGGGGGGTGATGGGGGGTCCAACAATCCCCATCTGCTGCCGGAGCCAGAGCCGGTGCCGAGGCAGCCGGGAGTGGGCTGGAGCCTGGCACGGGAGCTGCTGCCAAGGGATGAGCAACACTCAGCCCTCAGCCTTCCCTTCTCCCTTTTTCCTGGAGCTCTTCTCCTCCATCTGTCCTGTGTGCAGGGGAGAGGCTGCAGAGGATCAATCTGCGTGGCCCCTGCCACTGGGAATGTTCGATGGATTTATCCACACCCAGCCGGGAAAGGGCAGTGCTTGGCCCTGGTTTGGGGCAGGGAGGGGACACAGATCTGCCCCTTGCCCTCGTGGGCATCCCCAGCTGCTCCAGGCATGGCCTCTCCTCGATTTTCAGGCTGATGGGAGACTTCACTTCCCGATTCCATTCCCTCCCCATTCCCCATTTTAGTGGCTCCGCTCGGTGCCTCCAGTGCATCCCAACGAACCCTTTATAAGCCCAAATCAACCCTTTAAAGCTCATTTTTTTAAACAAAAACTCGACCTCTCCCCAGGACGACATTGTTGGTGTTCCCAGGGCCCGGTTGTTCCCTCGGGATCGGGGATCAGGGCTCTGTCCCAGCTCCTGACGTGCCCTCCTTTCTGTCCCCAGCGGAGGCCGCACCGCTGGCCTGCCATGAAATTCCGGAATCACACCCACCACGCCAGCTACGCAGAGGTGGAAGCAGCCAGCCAGGAAAAGGAGGGATTTGTGGAAGCAGAGCAGTGCTGAGCGATCCCCCCCCCATTCCAACCCCAACCTTGCATCCCGGACCTCCCGTCGTCCCACGTGTCGGAACCTCCCGCGTTCCACCTGCGAAGAAACAGCGAGGAGAGGAGAAAAAAAAAGGAAAAAAAAGACCCAAAATGGAGAGTTTTTCAAGGAATTGGGCAGGGAAGAGGGAGGCTGGATGTGCCTGGATCCTCCTGGCAGCTCTGCCTCCAGCCTGGGTGTGGTGGGGGGGAAAGTGCAGCCAACTTTTTACCTTGCTCGAGCGGCAGGTTCTTGGGGAGCAAAAGAGAAGCTTTTTGGGGCACAGCGGCTCCGGAATGCTCAGGAATGTCGTGTTGGTGCCTCTTCCCTCTCCTGGAGTGCTTGGGAAGTAAAATCAGGTGTGGTGGTGGCCTAGGAGGGGTAAGATCAGCTCTCCAGGGCTCCTCTCCCATCCTCTCACCCCCATCTCTGTCCATTTCCCCCCTTTGCCTCCTTTAATCAACATTTAATTTTGTCTTCACGGCTCAGAAGCCTCAAGTCCTGGTTCTTCTCCACCACCTTGGATCCAACTCTCCCTTCAGAGCAACACCTTCCACCCCCTCCTCTGGAGAAAAGGGCATCCTGATCTATTTTAAGGACAAAACCCTGCAGAGGAGTCACCTCCAGGATTTTCGTGAGCCAATGGCTTTGATGGCGCTTTTTGGCTTTTAATTAGTTTGCTAAATGACTAATTATGACCCTTCCCCTAAAGGAGACAGAGAGTAGGGGGGGGAAAAAAATACCTGAGATTCCTTCAAAATTCATCCTCATGGCCACTGATCCAGTGGGAACAGAGTGGGAAAATCCAAGCTCACCCATGGCCATTTCAGATAAATAAGGAATGCCTGGACACCCCAGAAGATCTGAAAATCCCCTTGCTAACATCAAATCTTTGAGTCAGTGGCATTTTTTTCCCCTCAATTTTCCCTGATTTCCCTGATTTTCATCTTGTTCCATCGTGTCTGTGATGAGCCCCAGGAGTGGGTTTGGTTCCAGGTCCTGAGCCCCGAGGAAAGGTTTTCTCCTCCTCGGGGTTTTCTCCTCCCTCTGAGCCCTCAGAATTTTGAGATTAAACCTGCAAAAAACTGCTCTGCCCAATTCCACAGGCAGGGCCCCAAAACTGGGTGTAAAGAAAGGGAGAATCCACAGTTCAGGCTGAGGGAAAATTTTGTTTCCCCCCCCACCCTAAAAAGCTGTTGGTTGAGGGGGCTTTTCCCAACACCCTTTTAATTTTTTTTCATTTTCTCCTGCTCCTCAGCTCTTTATCCTGATAATCCTGTTTGGTGCATATTTGATCCACTGGCTGCTTCAGCTGTCACTGGGGGTGTCACTGCCAAAGGCAGGGGCTGTCTAATTGATGTTTTCCTTCTCATCTGCTGCATTTCCAGGACTGTTGCAGATAAATTCGGATCCTTGGTGCCATTTAGACCCCAGATTAGACTTTTCCTGGACCCTCATCTAGTTTTTGCCCCAAATCCGATCTCCTTTCAAAAGGAATTTTCTCTGCATTTCACTCTTTTTCGAATAGTTACATTTTAACTGTTAAATCAAATGGTTTTAGGCCTTGGTTTTGCTGTTTTTCTGAACATGAATACGTGGTAACAGCAAGATTTTGGTTCTTCCTCTTCCCCTGCAACCCCTAGAAATGCTGGGAAGGATCCAAGAATCCTGAAATGCTGCGAATTTAAAGCAAAAACAGACTTTGTAAGTAGAGAGCATCCATATAAATGACTGCAGAAAGGATCCTGGGAGGATCCAGGAGAAAATACAGAGATTAAGGAAGGATCCAGGTGGAAAATAACACCATCCAAGTGCCCTAACCCAGGAATGGCTGAAGTGGGCTCTGTGAAACACCTGAACTTCAGGGAGATGCCAAGTTCTGAGTGCCTGGGGTGAAAAAGGCTCTTTATTTTTAAATTATTTTAATTTTTCCCTTTAAGGAAAGCACCAAACCGAACCAGGCTCTTCCATAGCCGTGCTCCAGATGTTTGGTTTTCCTTCTCCAGAGGAACCCGCTTGGGGGGCACGGTCAGGTGGGGTTTTCCAGCTCCAATTCATCATCTCCAAGACCTTGCAAATGGGAAATTTATTGCCCAGCTGGCATCTCCCACTGCCCAGCCTGGAGATGCTGCGTCCTGAGGAGGGAAATGGGAATACTCAGTCCTGCCTTTCCCCACCCTGTGGCTGCTGGAATTCCACCCTGGGGAAGCTCCTGAGGCAGCAGAGAATATTCCTGTATATTCTAATCCCATAAAACTCTTGGGAAAGACCCAAGGGGAACGTTGCCAGTGCCTGGAAGGAAGAGAAAAACAGCTCTTCCATCACCAAGTCTGGTGGACTCTGGGATTGTTTCAGTGTCCGTGGGTGTTGGGAGAACACAGATTTGGGGGGTGTGGGAGGGAGGGATTTGCTTCTGCTCCCAGGAAAATTTGGGGGCTCAACCCCCCCCCCCCCATTTTCAACATAAAAAAAAATTTATTCTCTTAATAACTAAAGGCCTATTTTCCACATACTTGAATTTCCAGCCCAGTTGGACTATTTCGAGGGACTAAAGGCACTTTAACTGTCTTTACTTTGTATGATACTTTACAGTGTATTTGCTATGGATTATCTGCATGGAATAGAGCCTGAATATGAAATAAAACCTTCTTCCTTTTGGACTGCTTGCTTTGCCAGAGGAAACTCCCCCCTATCCCACATCCATCCAGGATTAGTGCCCGTGGTGTGGGAGCACCGGGAGCAGGATGGGGAATTCTTTTCATCTTGGAGTCTTTTAATTGAGGCTTCAAAAACACGGGGATTTCTCTCTTTATTTTTTTTTTTTGTTGTTTCTTTTTTTTAAGGCACTTTTCCCTGCCTTAGCACAGACACATCATTAGCAGGAGGAGTTCCCAGGGCTCACAACTCCTGTAATTGAGCTTTTGAATTAAGACTATCAGTTGCTTCTCCTTTATTCTGCTTGGCTGATGGAGATGATTTTTTAATTTTTGGTTTTTTTTGCCCCCAGGCTTCTCATCTCGCACAGGGGAGTTTCCTCAGAGCATTTGACTTGTTCACAGTGGTCAGGTTGAGTGTTTTGATCTCTGCACCAGCCTCCCCAAATTGTTTCCAATATAGAAAGCACTTTAAAAGTCACTGTCTGAGACCCCTCCACACTCCACACATTTGCTGGTTTAGATATCCATTTATTTCCATTAGGAAAATGTATAATATATCCACTTCTTCCCATTTTCCCTTTCACCTTCCCAAGCCCATCACAGCCTGTTCATCCCCCTCTTCCTCAGGAGCCTTTTCCAGGCTGGGAGAAACTGTGTTAACACAATACAAAGAGGGGTTAATTTAATCATGATAAAAGAATTCTCCTCTCCTGGTGCCTTGTTCCATTTTTCTGAGTGGAGTACTTGCAGATATATAAATAAATTTTATATACATATATATATATTCCATTTATATAGATATATTTATATAAATATATATTACATTTTTATGTATATTCCATTTTTATACATATTCCATTTATATATTCCATTTATACCTATTCCATTTTATTTTCCACTTTATTATATATGTTCCATTTTTAATGTCCATTTCGTATGTTCCATTTTCCATATTTCTATATATTCCATTTTAACATATAATTTATATATATATATTCCACATATTTATATTTATCTATTTCATTTAAACACGTATTCCATTATACATATATTCTATTTTTCTATGTATATTCCATTTCTATATATTCCATTACATATATATTCCATTATATATATTCCATTTCTATATATTCCATTATATGTATTCCATTTATATATATTCCATTATATGTATTCCATTATATATATTCCATTATATGTATTCCATTATATATATTTCATTATATATATTCCATTTCTATATATTCCATTATATATGTATTCCATGTATATATATTTCATTACATCTATATTCCATTTCTATATATATATTCCATTTTCTAATATATATCTATATATATATATATGTTCTATTTATACACACACACACATATATAAGTCAGTACTTTATATTACACACATCAGGAAAAAAAATTAAATAGCTCCCAACAAACAGTCCTCATACCAAACAACAGCCCACAAATAGGGGGGAAAAAAATACCTCAAATAAACAGGGATTTGTGCTCTGCAAATGCAACCTCGGGTCCAAAGCAGCGTTTTGAGCCATAATTAATAGCAGTGACAGCAAGGAGGGAGCAGATTGTTCCAGCAGGGCCCGTGGGTGGAGGAATAAAAACCTCAAATAGATGCTCTGGATCTGCATTTCCCGAGTGCTGGGAAATGAAGCTTTGGGTACAAAGTGGGAGCAGGGAATTTGGGCTCCTGCTTCCCCCCTGCTTGGATATTAAATTGTATTTCTGCCTCGCTGAGGAAGAAAAGCTGAGGATTTGTGTTCAGTTTCTCCTGGAGAAATCAGAAAACTCGCTGATATTTGGGAGATGCTGGCAGGGAAAAGGGGTGGAATTCCACCATCCACCCAAAAAAATGTGATTTTTTTTTTCCCCCCTCCCCAAAGGCAGAGCTGGGAGATGAGGGGGCAGCATCCCAGTATGGGGAGTGGGGGGATTGATAATTACCAGCACAATCCCAAAAAAAAGGCTGGATCCGAGGGAGCAGGAACCACCTGCACATTCCCATTCAGCTGCCACGGGAGGATCCTGCACCAACCTCCATCTCCTCCCACAATTTTCCCCTCACAAAAGGCTGAGGAAGCGCCTGAGAAGCCGCCTGTGAATATTTTTCATTTGTTTTTCTCACCTTTTTTTCCCCCTTTATACCCTTTTTTTAACAAGTGGGTCAGGGCAGGCAGCAATTTTCCTTGTCCTCAGGAAAACCGAGCCCGATTCCATCGGTGCCCTCCTGGAATAAAGATTGAGAGGTGGTTTTGTTACCTTTTTTAAACCCTTTTCCCCTGCAAAAAAAAAGAAAACACCTCACTGATAAAATTCCAGGATAAAGGAGAAGGAGAGGGGAAAAAAAAAAAGCCTTTTATATTTGGTTTTTTTTTTGAGGACTGAAAAGAGCAGGTTTGTTGTTCTTTTAAGGATAATGGGGGGGTTTCATGTGAGGAGCTGCAGAAAGTGCCTCCACCTCTCCACACCTGGTGCCTTCCTGGAAGGTTATTTCCATGATTCCTGAGGGATTTTTAACTCCTCCAGTTTACAGAATAATAACAGAACCCAAGGGTGACAAGTTCTTAACTCCTTCTTTTCCCCTTTTCCAGCTGGTGGAGGTGGGGATAATCCACCAAAAAAACAAACAAAAAATAAAAAGAGGATGCTCTGGGATATCTCTGGGATCGGCAAAGCAACGGGATGCCTGGAGGGGTCTGACAGCAATAGATGCACCAGTTTTGGGTGTGATCCTCAAAAACCAGCGTGTTCCATGAGAGTTGGCACCGGGAACGTGGCACTGACTCCATGGGGAGGGTTGGGAGGAATCCCCACCCCTGGAAGGGCCCAAAAACCCTGTGGGTGTGGCACTCTGGTGGTGCTCGGTTGCCAGTTGGACTTGGTGACCACAAAGGCCTTTCCCGACTTTAACAATTCCCTGGATCTGTGATTCTGAGTCTGCAGCCCCAAGCAATCACCAGGTTAATTAAGATTTAATTGAATCTCTGGCTGTGGCACTTCTGTAATATTTCCACACCGGATCCTTTTCCCTCCCTGGCCAGGGCAGCGGCTTTGGAGAGGATCTGCAGCCCCACAAACCCAAAGTTTTCCTCGGGGTTTCTTCAAAGGAATAACAGGCCCCACCAGGGCTTCCCAGCCCGGGAAAACTGCTCAGATGATGAAGCAGAGCAGCTCTGGCTGCAGCAACTTCCGAGCTGTTCCCGAGCTTCCCGTGGCTCCGCCGGTGATTATCCCTGTGCTGTGCTGACAGGCTCCCATCTGTTTGGGGCTGAGTTTTGCATCTTAAAAAGCAGGAGGAAGGAAAAGCACTGGTTTTCCAGGCTCCCTCGGCTCCTCCTCCGACCACAGGAGCTCGTGGGATGCTCAGGAATTCTTAGTAATCAGCTGCCGGGTTTTTTTTTTGGGGAGGGGGTTGATCTCTGTTTTGCTGCAGAGAGGGAAGATGGAGAAAAGCTGGAGACAGGGAAAATGTATGGGATATTTAGATGGGAGGAGCAGGCTGGAAAACACGCAGGCCAGATCCCCAGGAAGGATTTGGCAGCCTCAGAGGAACAAGTTTGTTGTGAAGGTAAAGGATGAAGGATGAAGAACAAATCCAGGACACCCCTTTTTCCACCTCTGCATCCACCTCATCCCTGCCTTCCCTCTTGCACATTCCCAAGGTTCAGCAGCATCACCTCAAGGCAGGAATCAAGAGCTGGGGCTCAGGATTCTGCCTCTGGAATCTTCCAAAAAACCTTGAGGAAGTCCCTAACATTCTGGGTTAAGCCTCACACCTCCTCCATGGGGCACCTTCCCTCAGCTCCGGGATTTAATGCACTCCAAGCATTTTAAAACCCTTGGAAACCGGGCAAGGGGGAAGGACAGAGCGTGGCTGATTTACCTCAGCCACCATCAGTGTCCAAAATGAGGGGGCAGGGGCAAGAAAACACCACTAAACCCACTCCTGACAGTGATGATCCTGGGAGGAACGAGGCCATCTGGAAATTCTGCCTTTCTTTTTTTTTCCCCCCCATTCTTTTTTTTTAATTCCTCCCTCTGCATCTCATCCCTATCCCTGCACAATTCCACGGGCAAAACATCAACAAAACGGGGCTTCTCGTCGGCTTTTCGGAGGATCAAACCACTGTGGGGTTCTGGGAATACACAACCCTGCCCCTTCTTCTCCCTCTGCCACCCACCAGCCCTGCTCTGGCAGAAATCCTTAAAATTGCCAGCCAAGGAGGACGTGGGGGTTTTATCCAGAGAATTCATTAAGCAGGATGAGAGGAAGCAGTGCCTTAATTCCCTGTGTATCCTCACACAGGCACAGCAGAGCCTGTGCTGGATGAGTCAACAATCCCATTAATCATATATTTTTATCATTTTCTAACGAGCCTTAAACTGCTTTTTTTTTTTAAGAAAAAAAAAAATTAAAGGCTGCAGCTCTCAGCTCCTTAATAACATTACAGAGAGAGAAAACGTTTGGCAAACAAGGGAAAATTTGATTTAAGGAGATAAAGAAGAAGAAACTTGACTGCCCAAGATGGCAGGTGAAGGGACACAAAACTCGAAGAATTAGGTCTTTCTTCTGCAGATTATTATTATTATTATTATTATTATTATTATTATTTCCATTTTCCCATGCTCCTAGCACACTAAATGCTGTTCTTTGGTCCTAGTGGTGCAATTTTTCCCGCATTTTCTTTTGGCTCCCAGCACACTTGGTGCTTTTCTTGACAGAGTCACGGGGTGGTTTGGGTTGGAAGGGACCTTAAAACTTCATCCAGTCCCACCCCACTCCTTCCACTCCCCCCAGGCACAGAATGAGCCGTTAACACCCCAGCAGAAGCCCCAGGAATTTGGGACAACTCAATTTTCCCTAATTACTCTTCATCCCCTCACCTCAAACCCGTTGACAAACACTGACTGGATTACAGGGGCCCCAAATGAAAAATAAACCCATGACCAGTGACTCCTTCAGCCAACTGAAAGCAAACACAGGGTGATAATTTTACCCCGACGCAATTAAATCGCCCAGCCCGGTGTCGCTCTCGTTCCCATTAATTATCCCAATCATTCTGATTTTTATGTAGGTCCAGCTCTGCCTCTCAAACACAGGATGCAGCTTCACCCTCAGGAAGGCCTTAAACCACTCTCAGGCTCCAAAAAGGTGCCCCCCAAATTATGGATTTTTTTTCCCCCCAGTGGGAAATTTCTGGTTGGAAAGAGCAATATTGGGGCAGTCTGGGATTATTTATTTCCTATTTGTGGTAGAACACAGAGGTGTAAACAGCAAAACGATGGTGGGGGCCAGCAGATTGATCCCTCTCTGCACCCAGCAGCGTTTGGGAAGGATTTAGGGAGGCAGGATGCAATTTCTTGGGGAGATATCCAGCCAGGTCCTGCTCTCCTGTGGGTGGAAATAAAAACAGGGACAAGGTGTCTGCAGGCTCTGCTCGGCCCAGCTCCAAAGCACATTATTTTGGCACATTTGTCTGATTTATCTTTTCAGCCAAAATATTGCAGTCACATCATCATGGCAACCCCACTTTTGTCGTTAATTAATCAGACGATGACACATCATTACATATGAGGGTGATTTTTGGGTTGTTTCTGTTTCGGTTTTGCTAAGGGAAGTTCTTCTTTCGACAAAGTTCCTGAGAAAGAAGAGAAATTTATAAAAAAAAAAAAAAAAAAAGGAAAGAAAAAACCGGAACAGGAACAAAACCAAAACAAACAACTGTCTTCGGGGGGGAAAAAAAAAATAAAAATACTGGGCAAAAATTCCCTTAAAGCAGCTGCGAGCCTCTGCTGCCATCGTATGGGAGCTGCCTTTGGAGCAGCGAGGAAACCTCTCCCGGGAGGGTTCGGGCACTGTCCCGAGAGAAACAGTTACTCAGAGCCAGAAGAATTTACAACAAGAAACAGTTATTTTAAAACCGCTCTGCAGCGGGTGGGGATTTGCAGCTCCCACAAAGGGGTTTTCCCGAGGCACGTGGAGTGACACCATTCCACGAGGCAACAGCGCGCAGGGCAGATCACGACTGCTCGTTGTTTCAGCTCCGCAGGCCGAGCCGCGGAACCCTGGGAGGGTTTGGAAGGGATCCTAAAGCTCATTCCCAAAATCCCGTCGCCCCAAGGCCGTGCTCCCAGCGCCTCATTAATTATTCATTAGGTGGGCGTGGCAGCGGAGGCGCTGTACTGAGGGAATGCGCTTTCCGCTACGGGAGGGGGCGTGGTTAGGATTAAATATTCATGAGGTGGGCGGGGATAACGAGGGCGGGAAAACGCCGTGCGCTCCGCCCCCTCCCGCCCGCGCTGAGATGCGCGGCGGGCGAAAACGCGGGAAACCCGTTATGACCCAAAATTCGCCTAAATTCGAGTAAAAACGGGGTGGAATTATTAACATCGACGAAACACCGCTGGAGTAAAGCGCTACGGAAACGCTGCTGGGGTGGCACGCTGTTGTTTGTGGTGATTCCACCCCGCCACCGGCCCCACTGACAACCAACGCCCTGAAACTTAAATGTTTGGTTTTTTTAATGTTTGCCAACATTTCTGCTCCCGACTGAGGTACCCAAACACAGCTGCGCTGCCTCGTGTGCACCTGCTGCTGCTGCTACGCCCAGACCCCCTTTTAACCCTAGCAGATACTGAAGTAATGCTTTAAAAATTTGATTTTCACTAATGATAACAATTAAGAAATGGGGGTCTGGGTTCCTTTTTCCCCCACCAGGACACGGGGTTTGGTGCTCCCCACACACCCCCTCATCCCCCCGCTGTTCCCCTCAGAGCTCCCAGCAGGCGCCCGGCCAAGGGGGTTTGTGGAGAGCGGGTTTCCCTGAGGTAAAAAAACCGCCTGAGAAAGTGTTTTGTGTGAGTACCACCGACTGCGAGACCCTCTCTAGCATCTCCACGGAGGTTTTGGGGTGCAGGTCCCTGATTTCAGCCCTCTGGCCCCGAATTTTGGCGGGCTGTGGGGAGAGGGCACAGCCTGGCCCATCCCTCGGCCTAAAGCTCTGTCACAACCAGACCCAAAACCACAGCTAAAAGGCCAAATATTACCCATTCCATAAAATATTGCAGCCTGGGGAGCAAATCCCGCCTGGAATGAGGGAAAAAGAAGCAGATTCTGGTGTTTCCCTGCCAGACTCCCTCTCCTCACACCACAACCCAGCCACCACCAGCAGCAGGGCCAGAGTCCCCTCAGCTCTGCTTTATATTCACATTATTCACCTGTTGAGGTGCTTTTGGGGACAGATTTTCACCACCAATCTGACACAGGGACTTTAAGATGAATAAAACCCTGTGTTTTATGTAAATTTTCAGTGTAGGCCGGGGGGTAACAAGTACTGAGGTAACTACATGGGTGGGCTCAGTGCTCTAAGGTCTGTCATCCCTCACTTAAGCTTTTAAAGTCAATAATTTTATTTTATTTCATTTTATTCTATTCTATTTTATCCTATATTATTTTTATAAGGCCAAGAAAAAGAGAAAACCCTGAAAAACCAATCAAAACCCCCTCTGAGTTAATATTGGAGGCGACCGAGTTTATGCCCACAGTGATGAGGAAGGGAAGCGGAAACATCCCAAAGCAATCTCCAAAGTAAACACCCTTTCTGCAATAAATGTTTGCCAAATGCTAACACAGGGCTCCGAGAAATATCAACCCTCAAGTGCATCCATTAGCAGGAGTTTAGCGACTGCTTAAGGCGGAGCAGGGGTGGAAGTTGATGCTTTCTGCCCTACAAACAAATTAGTTTATAGCAACAAATAGGATGACCCTCCTTAGCTAATGTTATGAGTTTAGCTTGTTAAATATTTAACGTTTACCTCTCCATTTCCAGTGTGGATTAAGCAGTTCTCCAAACACCGGTGTCCCAGCAGCAGATGGAGATGCACAGCCCATTGCCCCGCTCTGGCTGAAGTCCCTAAGAAATAATAAAAAAAAAACCATGTTAAGTCAAAGGGGAAGCGAGTGGGAGCTTTCAGGAAAGGCTTTAAAACTGGCTGTTTGTACTCATTTTGATTTACATTAATTTTATCCAGCTCTGCCCTACATTAAAACAGTGATAATCAATTTAACTTCCACCAGATTGAACAGAAACGGATTGGAATTGGACAAATACTTCCAAAAACCTCGCTGGTGGCAAAGTATTTTTTCTTCCACATAACACAAGGTAAGATTTAAAAAAAAAAAACAAAAAACACTTAAAAGATCCCATAAATCCCCACAGCACAGAAAGGAGAGTGGGGGAAGAAAAGGAAGTATCATAGGATTGCAACTTTATTTCTAAAAGTATAGATGAGAAATATGCACCGGATTTAGCCAAGTTTAGCAGTGCCTTGTTGCAAACATGAGCTGCTTTGTGTGTTGTACTCAAGGAATTTAAATTATCCTGACTCCACCATTCTGTGCATAAAATTCCTCACTTTTTCTTCACTTTCAGAAGATAAAACATTTTTTCAGATAATTTTAGAAGTGGTTTCTCAACTGTCCTTAAAGGTGTCCAATCAATTTTCTCTCACAAAACCCTAAAGAAACCCTCATTTCAGCAGCAGTTCCTTTTGCTCACGAGCCTCACAAAAGCTTCACACCCCCCAGCTAAATCAAAAACTTCTTCCAGTGAGGTAAAAATCCCTTAAATGCACAACTCAAACTCCCTCCAGAGTCAGCCAGGCCCACTTTTAATAAAAAATACCCCGATTTCTTCCCGTCCTCAGCACGAACAGGGCTCCCATTGTGGATGTAGCAGTTTTCCTCCGTGGAATATTGAGGGCCTGGCCATCAACAGGAGGGGGTGTTTGGAGCTGGCCAGCCTGTAATTTTGTAAATTTTTAATCTCCCAGACAATGAGGTCCATTCTCCCCGGGGGAATTTCCCACTGATGGGGACTGGGATGTTGCCCTGCAGCCTGGACTGGTTCCAGGGATGTTACAGCCGCCGCTGCCAGCTCCTGTAACTATGCACTCCTTGGCAGTTCCCCCGAAAGCCTCAGCTGCTGGAATCAAGGAGCAGTGTGAAAAATCTCAGTTAGAAAATAAAATTTCAGAGGCAGACGGGCCCCAGTTCCCAGTGTTGCCCGACAGTGGGAAGTGTAGACTCAAAACCCAGAAGGTAAATCAAATAATCCGATTTATCGATCGCTTAAAGCTCATTTTCGTCCCCTCGTGATTTTGGGAGGGCCTGAGTCACTGCACTATTTTTTTTTTTTTTATTTCATGTAGCAGTGCTGTGTAATTCAGTTTTATTATCACACATAGAGGCATCATATTAAATCAGGGCAAAAACGTTTGAAGCACCACTTTGCTGATTTCAGTCTTTCTTTTTTTTGGTCATACACGAGCACAAAGGTAAGGAATTATCACTTAAAGGAGTGAAGTAACATGATGACACTTCAACGGCAGCCCTATGACTTCAGCATCCTGTCGAGTAATTAGTGCAACAAATTAAAACAATGTTGTGAATTACTGCAGCTTGCACCATCACATGTAACTCCTCTGGAATCCCCTTTTAGGACTATTTCCCTCATTTTTCGTGTCCCACCCCTCGATGTCCCCCTGTGCTTTTATCTTTTCCTCCTCCCTCAATACCCCACTCTCCCAGGCATTAAAATTACTTACATCTTTCAACACATCAAATGATTAGTCATAACACGTTCTATCCTCTGCACACTAAAAAAAAAATCATCTGTGAAGTTGCCTCCCCTTGCACCGAACCCAAACAGTTCATCCACAAAATTTTCACACTCACGGCTCTGCCCCTAACAAGGTCACTTCCCTTCAGCCTGATTTCAAACAGAGTAGTTTTCTCCTGTGAAAAAACGAGACTTTAATGGTTTTTTTTCTCTCCTGGGAGCAGCAGGACCATGAGCTCCAGCACAGGGAGCAGCTGCACCCCCGTTCCCAGCCACAAACAGCGGCGGAGCAGCCGCCGCTCCACGGGCTGCTGGGGCACCCTGGACACGGATTCCCAGGCCCTGTCGGCGCTGGGAAGGTTCCAAACCCTCCCCTTGGAGATCTTTCACATGGTGTTGAAGTACCTCTCAGGTGAGAACCTGAGCAGAAGGGTATTACCCCCAACAGCTGAAAATTTCCATGCCTTTTTTTTTTAAAATTTAAATGTATAAAGCCATTATTATTTCAAACGTTTTTAGCTTTTGGCTGGTTAAAGTCTTTTTTTTTTTTTTTTTTGGCTTATCCTTTAGCTTTTAGCTGGTTAAAGTCATTTTATGTGGCTTATTCTCTGAGTTTTCAGCTTTTATGTATGAAAAGCCCAGCTGAAAGTTGAAGTCGTTCAGACCCAAGATCTCCTACTGTAAGCCATCCACGGAGGTTTTGAGGTATCTTAAAATACCTTTCAAAGCAATCTTAGCATTTTGCTCTTAAAATGAAGGCTGAAACCTTATAATCCTTTAAATAATAAATTTTTTAAAAAAATCCAAATTTAAATTACAATCACGAAGCACTTGAAGCGGGCTTTGCCCGTTGAGGTGTGAAGAAATATTCCTTAGATCTATCCATTTCTAATTACACCAGCTCCCTGGCAGAGGAGATCTGGGGTAATTCATCTTTCTTTTATTTATCTACATTACTCCTGAATTTGTTTTTGGAGTTGGGGGTGGGTATTGACTCGTGATCAGCCAGCATTTAGGAGCGTCCCGGGCTTTCCTTTTGCAGTGAAGGACATCAGCATGCTGAGCATGGTGTCCAAAACCCTCAGCCAGCACCTGATTCACTACATCTCCACCTCGGCAGGGACCCGCAGGCTCCTCCTGCAGGACTTCCACAACCTGGAGCTCCCTGGCAGGAGGGAGGGAGCCTCAGTCCTGGAGCACTACAAATCTCTAGGTGAGAGCAGAGCTGGCTGAAACTCCTTCCCCTGTTTTTAGGCATCGATAAAACTTGGCCCGCAGACCCTCTGGGCAGCTCCCTCGGAACGTGGAGCCACGAGCTGGAGGGAGGAATCACTGAAATCCTTCCAAAACCTCTTAGTTTTTGGGAAAAAAATGATGCCTGTCCTGCCTCCCGTGTGTTTCTCTCTCCCCACGAGGCAGCAGAGGGTCAGCTCCCAGTTGTAGGTGCTTCCAGATTTAGGTTTGTTTGGACACCTGCCTTTGGAAAGAAAGGGCAGCGGGAACCGAGACTCCCAGGCCTGAAACATTATAATCCTTTTTTTTAAAGAAAAAAAAAAAAATTAGTTTGGGCTTTGTAGTGACCTCACATAAAATGGCAGCTTCTTTATAGGTGGGTAGATAAGCTCTGGTAGTAAAACATAACATTGACCTTGGAAAAATGATGTATTTTTAGGAGGCAAAATTCAGGAAAAAGGTGTCCTTTCTCTCCCCTGAAAACTACATGCTTCTCTGTGACTTTCTTGACCAATTAACAACCAATATATACCTATTTTCTCCTGGTGAAAGCTGTTAACTCCCAGTTTCCACCAGGAGTGTAGAAAAAAATCCCTCCCCACAACCAGGAACTGCAGAATTCGCCCTCCCAAACATGGAGGAAAACAGGCTTCCCAAATTCACACCAACAGACCTCAGAATATTTGCTTTTTCGAGATTGTGGCCCTCCTGAAAATAAAAATAAAAAATGTTTGGAAGCTTTCCGTGGTGTGAGGGGGAAAGCAGCGTTCCACAGGGCCCTGGGAGCTGAGGGGTGACACTTCCAGCAGCTCAGAGTTTCATGCCTGTTTCCCCCCCTGTGCCCAGGGCTGTTGTTCAAGAGGTGCACGTTGCTGCTGCCCACCAGGGACAGGCTGAAATACATCCACAAGGTGCTCTCAGAGGTGAGTCCTCCCAGCTCCCCTCCTCTCCTGTTCCTCCTTGTCCCTTGCACTCACAGCACCACCCCTGCCAGACGATTTCCTGCTGGATTTTGCAGTCCCAATCCCCGGTTAAAATCAGGGTGCTGGTTTGAAATCAATCTCCTCACATCAACAGCAGCACCAGCCAGTGCGGTGCACACGAGGCTGCTCTGCTGTAGACCTCACATTCTGAGACCTCACCTCTTCATCAGTTCCTGGGCCACCTGGGAATCCTCTTCACAGGAATTTTACTCCCTGAAAAACCAGGTTTCTCCTCCCAGGGACCTTTTGCACACCCGGTGTGCCCACAGTTTGGACTCATTGCTAAACCAAGACACAGGCACACCACAACTCATCTCCCTTCTGCAACAAGGGATCTCCTGAACCTCTCTCTGGAGCAGAGAGAATTTTCAGGTCCCAGCAATTCTGGTCAATTAAGATAAATCCCTGGTGTCTTCACTTGCAGGTTTCCTGTTTTAAGCTCAGTGGTTGTGCCAGTCCCCTGCACTGTTTGGGGTTGAAGTGCTACGGGGTGTTTTTACAGGTACAGTATCCTCATGGAGACAAGGCAAGTACCACAAAAATTAAGGGAGTTTTCTAAATTAATCTGTGCTTTGCAAGTTTGGGGGTTTTTTTTAGAGCATAAGCTGGTTTGGGGGTGTAGGGGGATGGTATTTATTCACACAGTTCTCTGAATTTCCTCTCTGTTGCTGATTTGACTCTTGAGAATTCCTTGGCCTGGATTTCAGTCCCAGCCAGTCAGGATTTTGATGAGCAGTTTACTGTCTAAGAAGGCATGGGAGAAGGGCAGCATTTCACTGCACAGCTTCAAATTCAAACAAGTCAGGAGCAGAGATGCTTTAGTTTCAAAGGAAATGGCTCAGCACCTCGTAGGCCAGAACAGTTCTACTGTTCACTTGTGGTAGCTTAAAATGAATCTTAAATTAAAAATAAATAAATTAATTAAAATTTAAAATTAAAAATAAGATCAGGTGATTATTTATGCTGGGCCATTTTTCTCTGGAGCAAATACCTGTATGCACTTTCCCACATGAGGTTCAAAAATCTTGGAACACTTTGGGAGTCACTGGGCTGAAGCAGAGGGGAAGGTGCAGCACAGATTGTATTTCTGTGCTCTGAGGGCTGGCACTGGGATTTAAATCTCTGCCCAATCCACTCATTTTCACCCCACTTCCTTCTGTCCCCTTCAGATCCTGACAGCAGGCTGGGATGAACTCGAGTGCCACCGGGTCTTCAACTTCCTCTGGGAGCTGAGCAACTTGGCCAGGAAAGTGCAGACAGTTGTCAGCAGCAGAGCAGGTAAATAATCAAAGCAGCCAAGAGACCTGAAGGATGGAAATGTGCCAGCACAGGGAAGGCAGGAAATGGGTCTGGATTGCTGGAATTGAGAGCTCAGCTCAACCTTGGGGCACCAATTTGTTCCTGACCCTCATGTAGGTTCTGTTGGCCCTCTGGACATCCTAAAATGCCCTCACATCAATCTTCACCAAAACCAAAGCTAAGAGCTTTTGTCCCTGTCCTGTAGTGAGGAAAGCTGGTCTTGAAGAGGCCTTTAGGGTTTTCTGAACCATTCCATTACCAGTCCAAAGCACAGGTTGTGTCTCTACATCGACAGCAGACCTGGCTTTGAACCTTTCCCATTGTCCACCAGCAAAACCAACGGGCAAGGAACCAATTTAGGACTAAAATGCTGCAGCAAAAAAGTGAGGTTCAGTATTTCTGAACCCCAGCACTGATGGTGCACAGGCCCCTCCAGAAACCCTCCCATTGCCCTCCCACAGGGAATTCCTGTGGAACACTTCACCCACAGCCACGCCAGCCTTCCTCCTGCTGCCCCTACTTACTGCCCTATTTTATTTCCTACAGAAAAGCGATCATTTGTATTGATCAAGGCCTTGTAGATTTGTAACATTCCCTCCCCTCCCTTCTGCCCCAAGGCAGTGCCAGGAAGCTGGAGCTGAGGATCAGGCTGTACTGCAGGAGGGTCCTGCTGAACCACTGGATCCACAGGAGCGACTCTGCCTTTTGGCTCACCCGCATTCTGAAGCCCTGGCCCATCGTGAACCAGGCCCGGCTGCTCTACATCATCTTTGGGCCCGTGTCCTCTCTGGATGGTGAGGAGCTGGGGGCTTGGTGTTCAAAGTCTGGGGCCCCTGAGAAGGAGATTCCCTTGCAGGAGGCAGCAGAAACCCAAATTTTTATGCAAATGAAGTGTAACTGTACTAGAATCAAAGAATGGTTTGGGTTGGAAGGGATCTCAAGGCTCATCCAGTCCCACCTCCTGTCACAAGCAGGGACACCTTCCACTAGCCCAGATTGCTCCAACCTGGCCTTGGACACTTCCAGGGCTGGGGCAGCCACAGCTTCTCTGGGCAACCTGGGCCAGGCCCTCCCCACCCTCACAGGGAAGGAATTTCTTCCAAGTATCCCACCTAACCCTGCCCTCTGGCAGTTTGAAGCCATTGGAACAATTGTGTAGCCTAGGAGAAAAGGTTCTGTTCAACCAGACATCACTGTCATCCATAAAATATGTGAAAGTTTTATATATATACATATACACACACATACATATGTTTCTGAGCTACAATTCAAGTGAAGAAATGAAATGACACCTCTCTTCCCCTCCTCTCCCCTTCTTGGGGCAGAGGTAGCTCAAATCCACCTTCAAAGCACCACCACAAATTTGTTGTCCACATTTGGACAACAAATGTGGCTGCCACAAAGCCTGGGCTGTGTTACCTGGAATTCCCCTGCTCGGTTCAGCAACTTGCTTGTTGGAAAAAAAAAAAAAAAAAAAAAAAAGAGAAAAAGGTCACTTACCAGCAGCTGTGATTAATGTGTTGCTCAGGACACGTGGTGTGGCAGAAAATGATAGAAGGACCGACAGATGAGACCAGTCTGAAGGGTTTAGCTGAAGCAATTAAGCTGCTGTACGGCACAGAAGCCAGGGAATGGACAGCAGATGATGTTATCAGTCTTGTGGATGAGCTGTCAGGTGTGTTTTTTGCCTCTACCATTTATCCCCAGGCTCCTGTATTCTCCAAATGCAGCCCCGGGGGTGTTTCAGACACAAAATTCCTCCTGGTGGCAGCCATGGCTTGGCTGGAAAAGCCCTCCCTCCCCCTGGGAATGCAGGCAGCAGGTGGGATGAGGGAACCCCAGTGCCACACCCAGGCTGCCTTTTCTCCCCCCTGTGGAGAAATCATTTCAGAATCCACCCAGAGCTTTAAACCTCGCCCTGAGTCCTTAGGGAAGCGCTCTCCAAGCTGTGCAAGTTGGTAGGAACTGCCTGTGGGATTTTGCTGCTCCTCTTTGGGGTCAAAGATGACTAAAATCCCCCCTCTCTCTCTCTTCCCCTGCCAAGTTGTTCCCCAGGAATGGCTGATGGAGAACAGCGCTCGGCTCCTCCTCCTGAGTGGGAACAACATCTGCTTCACTTTCATGGCCAGTAAGGCTGTGAATGGCAGGGCTGTGGAGCTGGCCAGGCTCATGGTCTTCATGACCTTGGTGAGTACAGCTGAGCAGAGCCTCTCTCCAACCCCCCAAATTTGCTGCCTCAGACTTTCCCCCTCTGCCCCCACGCGCCAGGAGAAAACCCAGCAAAACTCTGGGTGCTCTTCCACCTTCTGATCCACGTCCAGCACATCCCTGGAGGATGGCAAGCCTGCCCTTGAGGGGAAATACCACTAGCAAAAGGCTGAGAAGTCCCTTCATGCCCACAAGAACAACCTCTGTGTCCTCCTGGCACCCCCAACTTTCCACAACCGCTGCAGAATCGACGTTTAATGCTGAGATTTGATCTCGCCTCCCACTCCTGGTGCATTTTTTGCTCTTTCCTGTGCCCCTCAGGTGTGTGAGAAGGACCTTTACTGCATGGACTGGGTAGTGAGAATGATGCAGAAGGTCTGCAGGGTTTTCAGCACTCCCTGGGAGAGGAACAACTTCCTGCAGTGCTTGGAGAATGCCTTTGCCCACATGCTCATGGACATGCTGCAGGCAGTGCTGGCTGGTAAGAGTTGCCCTCAGGGCCTGGAGCAGCTCTTGGATCAGGAGCTGGAGCCCAGCCATGGCACCAAGGAACACTCTGTCCTTCCCTCCCTCACCAGGCAGAGCAGTCCTGGAGAGCCTGAAGGGGTTTGTTGACATAAAACCACAGAATCACTGAATCCCAGACTGGTTTGGGTGGGAAGGGCCTTAAAGCTCCTCCAGTCCCACCCCCCTGCCATGGGCAGGGACACCTTCCACCAGCCCAGGTTGCTCTGAGCTGGCCTGGGACACTTCCAGGGCTGGGGCAGCCACAGCTTCTCTGGGCAACACAATCAATCAATGGAGTGCCATAATTGGGCAGAAACCTTCACTTTGAGGGGTTTCTGCTGCTGAGAGATTCCTGGTGCCAGGGGTGATGCAACCACCAGTGTGTCCAACCCCAGCCCAGCAGAGCCCAAACCTCCCCCAGCTGCAGTTGGTGCCTGTGCTCAGCTGCCAGCCCTGCCCAGGCCTCGGGGCTGAGCCGTGACAATGAACACCCTGCTCAGCCAGGACAGATTTCTGTCCCAACACACAATTGTTCTTGCCTGCCCTTGGACAGGCTGGAGAAGGAATTTTTGGAGAGAGCCTCCTGTGTTCCTTCCCAGCTGTGCCAGCACCAGGGGCAGGGAGGGGGCTGGCCATGAATCCCAGCCCAAAGCTGAAGTGGAGCTGCTGCTCTGCCCTGCTGAGGGCACTGGGGGGGCATTTACCTGAGGGATTAACTGGTTTGAAGTGGTTTGGTCCCTCTGCTCACACTCCCTGCTTTCCTCTGCCCTGCCAGGGGGGCACGACGAGGAGGACAACAGCTTCCTGAATTTATTTCACCTGGTCAACGCACAGGCAAACTTCCACAAGGAAATCCTCTACCTGGCCATGAGGAGCAGCCCCAGCACCACCTGAGCTCTGCAGACTCTCGCTCCTGGTTTTGTGTTGGGTTTTTTTTTTGTTTGTTTGGTTTTGAAACATTTGCAAAGAAGAGTCCGATTCTTTCTCCGATTCCCATCCCGGCTGGAGTGGCAGAACTTGGGACCATCCCCAAACGAGCTCCAGGAGTTTGTGGGGACTCCACTGTGGAGTTCCTCGAGCTCTGCTTCTCCAGGGAAGCAGCCTGGGGCCTGTCCCTGGGGAACACAAACTGCATTCCTTTCCCACTGTGCATGTTTGCACACACAATAAAAATGACACGGTTTCCACACTCAGACACCAACTGAGGAATGTTATCTTAGCTCAGAGCCCGAAACATTTTGATCTTTAAAATGTGTTTTCTCTTGGGAATCCGAGGAGAGAGAGATGGATGGGATCAGAGGAGCACAGCTACATTTTTCCAGCTTGCCAGGGTCCCTCTCACTGACTCAGAGATTCTGTGACAGAAACATTCCTTACTTTGGATGCTTTAGAGATGATTCCTGAAAGCAGTTCAAGTGCTTTGACCAAGCAAGGCATTTCCCCCCCCCCCTTCAATCTCCAGGTTTTCATAAAGCAGAAGAAACTCCAAATCCCTCCCCGTGCCCCAGGTAACAACTGTTGAAGTGTTTTGACCTCCACAGCACTTTGCCAAGTGGAAGACACCCGTTAAATGCACATTAAATTAGGTCACTGGTTCATTAAATGTATAAATGTTTCCTGCTTTAGGAAGGGGTTTGGTTTTCTGCTCTGTTGCCTCCAAAACACAGGCACGTGATGGTAATAAAAAGCACTTACATTCTGGGGGAAGGGGGGGCTGTTTCCTTCAGGTTATTGAAGAGCCGCTTCCTCCACCCAAACAATCCCTTCCCAACTGTTCCAGTCTTCCTTCAGGACCGGGGTTTGGCTGCAGGGGAGTCACGTTCGGCTCTGGAAGCCTCAGAGCAGCTGAAGCGGGACCGATTTATCTCACCTGATTCCACCGGGAGCGAGCTGGGAGCGGCTGGGGAGGGGTTTGTTTGGAAGTTTGTTTGTTAGGAATGCTTGTTGAGTACACAACTCCGGGCGGGATGCGCGGAGGGTCCTTGCAGGTGCCGGCAGATGGCAGAGGTGAAACCTTCCCCGCTGGAAAACGCTGGGAACGCCTCCCCCCTTTTTCCCCCCCTCTCTGTTTCAAGGTGATATTTGGGAAGCTCCAGCCTCTCGTGTCTGCTCAGAGGAACCGAACGTGCCCGGACTGATCCCCAGGAGCCCAAAACACGGAGGAGAAAACAGCCCCGCAGTGGGAGCAGTGAGGGGAAAACGCAGCCGAGAAGCCGCCGGGGCGCGATTCTCCGGGTCTTGGCTCTGCCTCCCTTTATCCTCGGGAATCGCTCCCCGCAAATAATCCCGGCAGATGGAAGGCAGAGGGATGGAGCAGAGCCCGGGGTCGCCTCCCGGGACGGGGGCGCGAAGGGGCCGCGAATTCCAGCCCGGCACAAGGGGTGCCATTGTGTGCGAGCAGGGAAAAGGGAGCTCTTTGATTCCCTGGCAGCAAGAGGGGATCGCCAGAGGGATGAAATGCCAGCGGCACGAGCAGCGGATCCTCCGGGAGCGCCAGCTGGATGTGGCTGCCCACCGGGAATTACTGATGGCATCACTGACTGTTAGCGACTGCCCTGGGTCCTGCGCGAGAGCCCGGACAGTGCCTGGTGTTGGTTTTTTGCAAAAAAATACTCCCCTTCCCAAAGGATCGGAGCTCAAACCCCTCCCACTGATATTTGGGACCCGCAGGGTCATAGAGCTGGGCTCGGATGATCCCGGTGGGTCCTTTCCAGCTCAGCCTGTCCCGGGGTTCTGTTTTACTTCCCCAATTTTTCCAGCTGGGAACAGAACACCCTCCTTTCAAGCCTCCTTTCCCAGTATCCCCCCGGATCAGCTCCGGGATCCGGCCCCTTTCCCACCCCCAAACCGCTGGGCTGGGTCCCTCCGTGTCCCAGCCGGGTGTGGGGCGGGAGCGGGGCCCGTTCCGCGTTGCTGGAGGGTTTGTAAGCGGAGAGGAGCCCTGGGAGCCAGGGCCGAGGATTGTTCCTGCCTTCACACTCAGCTGAGCTCCCATTCCATGCATTCCTCCTCGCTCACCCTCCCTCCCTCCTGCTGCAGATGTTGGCAGCAGGCACAGCCTCAGACGGGGAGGTTATTGAGAACATGACTTATGCCTGAAGAAATTCCTCCCAGAATATTCCAGGCTTCTGATTTCCGACTGTATTTGGGGCTGGGGAGGAGGGGGAGGGATCGCCCTGGGCGGCCCCCGCACCACAACAGGGGATTTTCAGGAGCAAAACCACCCAGCTCCGAGCTTCTCTCAGGAGTTTTGCTGACAGGAAATTGCACTGTCAAGTACTCAACCAGCAGCGCTGGCCACATCCAGCATTCCCAGGCTCTGAAATCCCTCTTTTTTTTTTTTTTTTTTTCTGGGAACGCCGTCTCCTGAAAGTCACACCAGATTCCAGCCCCCTGCCCTCCCTGGGTCCTGTTCTCTTCCCTCAACTTGTGGGGGGGGTTCTGTGGTCGACTAAAGGCACATGAGTAGCTTTTCCCATTGTGGATATTTCAGGTGTTTGTTGCTTAAAAAAAAATATATATATCCCTGGGAGACAGCAGGCCTAAGAAAATTTTGCCCTCAGGGAGGGTGAAACTTTGATTCACTGCACCTGTGTGGCAGTGTGAGGGCAGGGATTGATGAAAGGTTTCATCAGAGGACAGGAAAAAATCCCCTGATGCCCCAAATACCTCCCCAAGCCTCTCAAAAAAAGAGGGGGAAATGAAGCCCTGAAATGTTCTTTCCATCCCACAGACATTTCCACCGTGATAAAAACGTTCCTTTTTCTATCCTGAGATTAACCAAGACCTCCTGGAGCTCCCCCCAGAACCACAGAGGGGCCTGGGAGAGATTCAGCACAGACACTTGGGCACCATCCAGGCAGGGAAGAGCCTGGTTGGGACCCCCCCACACACACACCTGGATCAGGGACCCCTCCCCAGGGGCTGCCGCTCCTGCTGGGGGACACGGAGCTGTCTCATCCCGGTTTTCTCATCTCCCACCATTCCCAGGGCTCATGGATCTCTCCCCAGATGCTGGATTAGCCCTGGGGATCCACGTGCCCCCCATCCCCGTGGGTGCAGGGGGTGCAGCCCAGCCTTGGACACCGCGTGGTTCCTCTTTATTCCATTTCCTTCCACGTGGTTTTTCATTAAAAATAGAAGTGCTCTCCCGAAAGTGAAACCCAGAGGACCGACCTCATCCCGAGGGGATCCACCACGCAGAGGGCTCAGGTCCCAGCAGGGGGGGGGTCCCCTCACAGCCCCCTCCCCATTCCCCCTCCGTGCTCTGCGCTGGGCCCGCAGGGGTTAACGCTGTTCCAGAAGGCTCCGAGGGACACGAGGCTGTGGAAGAGAAAGGAGAGGCTGCTCTGAGCTGGGCCTGGAGCCGTGGGAGGCACCAGGATGGTGGAAGCACCGGGATATGGGAGCACAGGGAGCAGCCACAGCCCCCCCTGTCCACCTGAGGGACCCCCCTTTGCCTCCTGGGCGATGACGCAGCCGGGATCCCTCCTTGCTGCCTCATTTCCAGGATCCCTCCTTGCTGCCTCATTCCTCTCCCTCTCGGGAACAAAAGCCACGAGCTGGTGCTGCTCACAGCAGCTTTTCCAAGTGGGAAGGGGCCGGGAAATACTTCAGGGGAGAAACCAGAGCCGCGCCATGGCCGGGGACGAGTGGCCTGGTTTATGAAATCACCCCCTCCCCGTGCCCTCCTTCCAGCCCAGGCAGCCTGAAAACAACAGAACCAACCCCAAAGTGACCCCTCTCCCCCTTCCCTGAGCACGTTCCGGCCCAGAAACCAGGACAAGGAGCTCACCTGGCTGGCGCTGGGGCTGCGAGGCCCATGCTGAGCTGCATCCCCCCCCGGCATCTCCCTAGAGCATGTAAATGATGTAGGAGAGGATCACGAGGCCGATGATGGCAAAGAACATCAGGATGAAAATATCCAGCATGGTGAGGGAGGAGGTGCTGGGACGGGGAGGAGGTGTTGGGAAGGGGCTCCCTGCGGTGGCTCAGACAGGGATTCTGGGATCCAGCTGCTCCCTCCCCTCCCCTCCCAGCCCGGCACGGCTCGCTCAGGATGGAGAGATGATGCCGGAGCTGATGGAGCCGCTTTCTCCGGCAGGCAGGAGGGAAATAAAGGGATAAACCCCGGCGGGCAGAGCCAGCTCAGCCCTGGGGGCCCCGACGCCATCCCTGCTGGGAGTGGTTGTTCAGCCTCTGCTCCTTCCTTCCCAAACTTCCCAGCTCATGGGGGTGCTCACTGTGAGGTGACCCCCGTTTGCAGCTGGGAATGGGCCCATCCTATGGAGAAAGAAGGAAAATTGGCCATGGCAAAGGCACATCAGGACTGTTCCAAACTCACCTCCCAGCTCCTGGGGTGCCACCCCATCCTCTGCCTTCGGTGTCACACACACGGAGCTGCTTTATTTCCCTTGGGTTTTTTTTGGCTGCTGCTGTTCCTAAATAACATCCTCCTCCTCCACACACCTTCCCAATTTTTTTTCCCTCAGTGTAGCTGCTGAAAATCCCACCCGGGCAGGCTGAATTCCCAGGGCTCCAGGTGGCAGCAGGGATGAGCCAAGGAGCTGCATCCCAGGTGGATCCCCAGCGATGCCAGCGCTTCCCACCCCCAGGGCAGCCAGGCCAGGTGATGACCCAGCCCTGGCAGCCTTCCCCAGTCCCCAAATCCCTCCCCCCGTGCCCCAGGGAAGCAGGGAAAGCGACCGCAGCCAAAGGCAGCACAAATCAGCAGGTAAAAATTAGACTTTTATTTTTCATCCGAGTAAACCGGGAAGAGGACGGGGTTGGATTGTTCCACTCGATGCTTTTGGGACAAAAAAAGGCCAAATCCCATGTTTTACTGGTGGGTGCTCAAGCCCACGGGGAAGGAGGACACAAGGACAAACCCCAACCAAGCGACGGATCCCGAAGAAAACACGTTCTAAGCTCAGCACTGAGACGCAACCGGGGAAGCTGGAGATGGGCGAGGGTTATTTTACACGTGATGAGAAGCAATTCAGCTTTTCATGTTCGTTTTCCTTTCCTTTCTTTTCTTTTTTTTTTCTTTTTTTTTTTTTTTTTGTGTACTATTTTATTTATTCATTTATTTTTAAATACAGGTTTAGGTGCTTTTCGGCTATGAAAAAAAGGCAAAAAAGTGCATAAGTTGAGAGAAAAGGCAGAAATGAAGCAGTAAGAGGTTTGTTTCCCTCGGCAGGGGAGAAGGGAAGGGCAGGGGAAAGGGGAGGATTAGGGACAATGGTCTCAAGGTAGCATTAAAAAAAGGTCTCTATCCCAAAATGGAATTGCCTGTGTTATTTGGTCCATTAAAAACCAGTTTATTCACATTGATACTCCCCCCTCCCCCCCATTCCCAGACAAGAAGGTGATCAAGAAGAGGATTGGCGGGGGGATTTGGGTCCCCCTGCCCGGCTGCCCCCTCCCTGCTCTTGTGCTCTCTTGTTTTAGCACCAAAATCCCAGACAGCCCCTGCTGGGGGCCCAAAAATCCCTGGCCCTCTCCCCCATCCCACTGCAGCCGGCTGGGGAAGGAGCCAGGAGCACAACACTCCCCTTTTCCCTGGCTCAGGCCCTCCCAGGGGGTCTCTGCCTGGCCAGGGACCCCCTCCTTGCTCCCCGATCCCAGTTATCCCAATCCCAGCACCATCCCTGAGCCAGCCCTGCAGCCCCCGTGCTCTGGGGAAGGGCACTGCAAGCAGGAGGCAGGGGATGTCCCCAGACAGGAGCAGGGAATGTCTCAGCTCGGCCCCTTTGGTCCCTGTATTCCCTCTTTCCCTTTGGGAATAGCAAAGGTGGACAAAGGGACACCACTGTCCCCTTGTCCTGCTGCTGTGAGCCGGCAGAGGAGCATCCCACCCCTCCCACCTCACACAGGCTTCCAGTTAGACCAACCCTGACCTGCTCCAGGACTTTGGGAGCCCAGAGGAGGAGGGGACAGGGATGTGCCTTGAGATTTTGGTCCATGACACGGTTCCAAGCCAGTGGTGGTCCCAAAAGCTGCCCCTGTCACTGGGTGCAGGGTGGCTCAGGGTGCTGCAGGGGGACACTCACCCAGAGGGGGAGGATCCTTCACACCCGGCTCAGGGGAGGCACAGGGATGGGGGCTGATCCTGCTGGCCCCCACACCAACCTCCCAGCACGTGGAGGGCTCAGGAGGGTCCCAAAAACCCGGCAGCAGCAGCAGCAGCAAGAGAAAAGCAGGAAAATCCTGGGTGAATCAGCCAGTGCTGCGAGGAAGGGGCTTCCAGGGGACACCCTGAGCACGGGCAGGGGGAGCTGGAGCTGCAGGGGTGCTCAGCCCATCTCCAGCCCTGGAGCCAGAGCAACCCCACGGCTGCTCCTTGGCCCAGCTCGGCCCGGGGGGATCGGGAAGATGGAATGGGGCAGCTGGAACCAAAGGCAGGAACCTCCAGAGCCACCTCCAGGGCTGCCCAGAGCACCCCAGGATCCCCAGGACAAAGACTTTGGAGGAGCAGGTGGAGGCTTCCAGCCCATCCCTGCAGCCCAGGGCACCCTCAGCTCAGCCACACGGGCACCTCTGCCCAGCCCTGCCAGGGCGGGGGGAATTTGGTCCTAACATGGTGTCCCCCTCTCTTTTCCGGGATCCCGGCAACTCCGGCTGCTCCCCCTGGCCAGGAATGGCCGGAACCCCCCTGGGGGGGCTGGAGAGGAGGGAGCCCCAGGGAGCAGAGGAGCTGTGCCCCCCCTGCACACAGTCCCTCCTCAACAGAGGAGGGGGAGCAGTCCCTCCACAGCGGAGCCAAACGGGCGGGAGGAGCCGGACACAGACGCGGGAGCCGGGACAGTCCGGAGGCACCGGAGCACGCGGAGAGGGGAGGCTGGGGCAGAGGGACTCACACACACACACCCCACACACACACACACAGAGAGAGAGGGGGGGACAGCCCCGGGCTGGGGGCTGGGCTGGGCCCCCTCCCCCCCCGGGCTCAGATGGCCTCCACGTAGTTGGCCGGGAGCATGCCCGTGTCCCCCGTGCGCTCCACGGTGCCGTACATCCACCCGTCGTCGATCTGCTGCACGTTGATGATGGTGTCGCCGTCCTGGAAGGACACCTCGTCCTCGTCCGCCGCGTTGTAGTCGTAGACGGCGCGGAAACGCTTCTGTGGGGACACGGAGAGGGGGGCGGTGGCAGAGCGGGGGAGAGCCCCGTCCCCATCCCCATCCCCATCCCCATCCCGGGGGTTATCCGGGAATGCCGCAGCAGATCCAAGCGCCAGGCCCTGTCCAAAGTGCTCCCCCCACCCCCCTGGAGCAGGAGTGGGCAGCAGGCAGAGCTCTGGGAGGTTCAGCAAGGTTAAGTGCCAGGGCCTGCACTTGGGCCACAACAACCCCCCTGCAGGGGACAGAGCGGGGGGACAGCAGCTGGACACGAGCCAGGGTGGCCAAGAAGGCCGATGGATCCTGGCCTGGATCGGGAATAGTGTCCAGCAGGAGCAGGGAGGTGATTCTGCCCCTGGGCTGGGCACTGGTGAGGCCACCCCTGGAGTGCTGTGCCCAGCTCTGGCCCCTCAGCTTGGGAAGGATGCTGAGGGAGCAGGAGCAGGTCCAGAGAAGGGTCTGGAGCACAAATCCTGGGAGGAGCAGCTGAGGGAGCTGGGGGGGCTCAGCCTGGACAGGACAAGGCTCAGGGGGGACCTTCTCGCTCTCCTTCTGAGAGGAGGGAGGACCCAGGGAGGGGTCGGGCTCTGCTCCCAGGGAACCAGCAGGAGGACAAGGGGATCTTAAGCTGTGCCAGGGGAGGTTTAGGCTGGACATTGGGAAGAAGTTCTTCACAGAGAGAGTGGCTGGGCATTGGAATGGGACACTGGGCACTGGAATGGGACACTGGGCACTGGAACGGGCTGCCCAGGGAGGTGTTTGAGCAGAGCCTGGCTGTGTCCCCCCCGGGGTGGGAAGCAGGGGGCTGTGCTGGGGGGCTGCTGGGGGGCTGTACTCACCCCCCCTGCAGATGGGGCGTTGCGCTGCGTGGACGCCGGTGCCGCCGGCTCCTTGTATCCGTAGGGTTGGGATGGCAGCGGCTGCTGCTGGTACCCTGAGGAGAGAGGACGGACCAGTGAGGGGCATGTTGGGGGTTGGGGGGCACAGCCAAGCCCCTCACAAAGCCCTGGCTGCCTGTGCCTCACCTGGGTTGGTGGGCTGGACGTGGTGGGACGGCTGCTGGTGCTGCTGCTCGGCGGGTCTCCGGTAACCGGAGCTCTCCTGGGAATTCCGGCGCTCCGGCTCCGAGCCCTCGCTGGGGCTCGGGCCCATCCTGCTCCGCTCGAACTCTTCGTGGTATTTGATCTGCAGGGGTGGCAGGAGGGGAGTGAGGGAGTCAGGGCTCTCCCTGGCAGCAGCTCCTTGGGTGCCAGGAGCAGTTTCTCCCACCGTACAAGCAGTGGGATGAGAGGAAATGACCTCAGGCTGGGCCACGGGAGGTTTAGATCAGATATTGGGGGAAATTTCTCTGGAACAGGAGTCACCAGCCCTGGAAGTGTTGAAAGCAGGTGGATGTGGCACCTGGGGACACGGTTTAGCGGTGACATGGCAGTGCTGGTTAATGGTTGGGCTCCATGAGCTTTGAGGGTTTTCCCAGCCTTAAGGATCCCCTTTCCTGCCCCTGTTCCTGCCCAGCTGCACCCCTGGCAGGGCAGGGCTGAGGCTCACACGGGCTCTCTGCAGGGACAGGGTTTGTCTCTGTGTCTTCAGTAAGTGGGTCATGGCCAGCCTGGGCTGGCAGAGACACCAGGGAAGCTGCTGGAAACTCTTCCCCGTGGCTGGGAGAGGGTGAGGGGGCTGAGCAGAGGGAGCAGGGCTGGGCCCAGCTCTCTGCTGGGTGATTTGGTGCCCCCAAACCTCCCCACGCTCTGCCCAAACGCAGCCCCCCAGCCCCTCCTGTGGCAGGGAAGCCAAACTCGGCTCCTGCCACCTCAGAACCCACCAAGGAGCTGCCCCAGGGAAAACCTTCCAGCCAGGTCCCTTTCCCAGGCCTTCCCCAGCCTGGCTGTCCTGGGGTTTGGTGGATCAATAACAGCCCACAATTCCCTGAGGACAGACCAGTGTTTGCCAAGGAATTCGGAACTGGGAGCAGAAGAAGAGGGAATAAACATCCCCCTCCTGCCCTGCTGGGGCTTCTTGGGTGGGTGTGAGTGTGTTTGTGAGGAGGCATTAAACAACCCACCGGGGCACAGGCACCCTCCTCCCTCTCCCTGCATTCCAGGGAGCCCAGACCCCTTCCCAGGCCATCCCAGCAGCTCCCACGGAGGGATTTTGTCCCCAGGGCAGGGATTCTCACGGATGGAAAAGCCAGAGCAGCACAGGGTGCTGAGCCAGGGGTAGGAGAGGAGCTCAGAGACACCATCAGCTCGTGGACCCCCCTCAAAGAGGGCTGAGTGGGCAGGGAGAATCCAGCCCTTTTCCTTCCCAGGTTTCCCAGCAGCTCTGCTGAGGAACACGCGTGACTTCCACCAGCAGCCAAAAGCTCAGTGGGCTCCCTGAGCTCTGCTGGGGGGAGCCCAGGGGGATTTGGGGCAGGGACAGCCCCACCCCGCTCCCAGTGCCGCAGCAGGACGTGCATCCTCCCGTGCATCCTCCTGTTTACGTGCGCCTGAGCATCCTCCCCGTCACCATGGCAACCTCCGGCATCCACCGACATCCACACACACACACAGAGGCCAGAGGGAGCAGGACAGGGACAGAGCCCCTCGGGGTCCTGTGCAGGGAGCTGATGATCCCCGTGGGTCCCTCTCAGCTCGGGGTGTCCCAGGATCCCAAGTGCTGCCCACGCTGTGGGTTCTGGTGACACCCCAGGGTGGATGGAACTGTCCCTGGGCCACATCTACCCCCCCAAAACGCTGCTCCCTTCCTGCTCCTCACAGTCAGAGCACCTGGGATAGCCCCTCTGGATCCAGCTGCAGGATCCAGCAGCTCAGAGGAGCGGGGAGAGGTGCAGGAGGATCACAGGACGCCCAGGAGAAGGGGCTGGAGATCTAAAGCTGCCAGGCTTCCAGCCTGTCCACCAGCAGCTGTCACAGCGTGGTGCCCCCCTGGCTGCACAGCAGAGCAGCCCCCCCAGCCCCCCTCCAGCCCCGGGGAGGTCACAGCAATGTCACAGCAGGGCTGGGGAGCCACTCACGTTGCTGATCTGATCCTGAGTCTTTTTGATCCTCTGCAGCTCCGGGGTGTCGGCCACCACGCTGAACCCTTTGCCCTTGTTCTTCTCAAACTCCTCCTTGTAGCGAATCTGGGGACAAAGGATTGAAACCCACATTCAAACAGAGGGCAGAGGAGGAGAGCACAGCTGGATCCAGCAGCTGGACCCACCAACAGCCCCTCACCAGCACAGCCAGGACCTCAAAAGTCGTGTTTTGTTTTTTTTTCTCTTTTTTTGTACAGTTTTGAGGCTGGAGCTGATGCCCCAGCCCAGATGTGCTGCCCAGCCCTCAGCTCTGGGTTCTGCTGCAGGGCTCTGCTCCCACCAGGTCACCCAGAAGCAGAAGCAGCTCCTGCAGAGGCTGAAACCCCAGCCACGGACATGACACCTCCAAGGGGGAAGGAAACGGGGCCCAGCAGCCACAAAACCACCCCACTGCCACGGCAGGGGGGAGCAGACGTGCAGAGGGACACCCTGAGCCCCCTCCACCCTCCCTCCTGCCAGGGGCTGCATGCAGAGCTCTGTTTCCCAGGGATTCACCAGGGATTCACCTCCCTGGAGCTCTCCCTGAGCTCTGCAGGTTTCTCGTTGTCACCGCAGTGAAAAGCTCACTGGATCAACAACCCCCTCCCCCTCCAAACCCTGGTGCCACCAGCATGGACACACAGCGATGCCCAGCCCTCCTGGAGCTGGGCTGGCTCCACAGGGAAGGGCTCTGCAAGCCCACACTGCTCCCAAGATAAATCCGGGAGGCAGGGCTGGAATCGTGGCGGGACCCAGCCCGTTTTCCAGGACCTCACGCATTCCCACCCCTCCAGACCTCCCAGCTCTGCCTCCCAGCCCAGCTGGGCCTGGATACACCTTCCAGGAGAGGCTGCCAAGGATTTTATGGTGTTTGGAGGAGCCAAGACACACCCCCACGGCTGGCCGGGCTCTCCCAGAGCGGGACCGGCAGAATCCAAGCCCTGGAGTGCCCAGGGCAGACCATGGAGCAGGTCCTGCCCCCCTCTCTGCTCCAGAGTGACACAGGAACCACGAGACTGCCAGGGAAAAATGAGACACTGTGGTCTCTGTGTGGCAGAGAAGCTGCAGGCTCAGACTGGTCCCGTGTGTCCCAAATCCCACCCGGCCCTGCCAGGACCTTGGGAGGGGCTTGGGGGGGCACAGCACCCACCTGCCTGGAGCAGGGGGGACTCCAGACTCCATGGGCACACAGGAGCTGGGCATGGATTAGTGGTACAGACACCCCCCAGAACCTCCCAACACAACATTCCCTCTTCCTGCCCTGCAAACCAGGAGAAATGAGGCTGTGGGAGCATCTCACAGCCCCTGCTCCTTCCCCAGAGCCACAGAACCCCTGGAGAGATGGGATGAGCTGAGTCATCCTGGATTTCTGACTCCAATTTGTCATTAGAAAGCAAAAGGCTCGATGAACCCCACAGCTCAATGGCCCTGCAGAGCCCAGCCTGAAAGAACAAAATCTCTGATCTGTCTGGGGTAAAGGACAACTCAAATTTCCCCCGAGGGGGATGGAAAAAGCAGCCCGGAGGTTTGAACAATCAGGAACTAAAGGTTAACCCGAGCTGTGGCACAAAACCCAGTGACACAAAACCTGTGACACACAAAAGCAGTGACACAAAACCTGTGACACACCGGGACAGGGTCAGGAGGGGGGTGAGTCAGCCCTGCAGCTGCTCTGGAACCACCAGCCCCAGTTTGCCCAGGGACAGGGGCTGTGCTTGTCTCCTGCTTCCCAAAAAGGGCTGTTTCCCTGTGGAACGTGGGATGCTGCCCCACTGGCCTGCTCAGGAGAGGGTTTATCCCACAGCCACCCCCTGCACACACACAGCTGATGAGCTGTAAGAGATCCAGGCTGGAAAGATAAGGAATCACCAAGCAAGAAGCCAATCCCACTGCCAGGCAGTTCCTCTGATGGGTTCTGTGTTTTATACCACCCTCCTAAATCCCACCCCGCTCTGTCTTCAGGATACAGGAATTTAACCCTAAAAACCCGCAGGACGGGGATGCCTGGCTGCATAATCACAAAACAGCGATAAAATGGCATCCACGAGCGGATTTTCCCAGAGGAACCGTTCCCTGTCCACGCTGGGAAGGCAGTGATGACATGTGCATCCATGTGTGCATCCAAAGGGAGCCGCAGCACAGCCCTCCACACAGCACAGCCCTCCACACACCACAGCCCTGCAGCTCAGCCACGTCCCCGCTGTCACCCGCGCCGAGGCGGCAGCGGAGCTCCCAGGGGTGCTGGCACAGCTGCCCACCCACGGGCAGGAAGGGCTGTGCCCGAACCCACCCGTGGAGGGGCTCGGAAAAGGAGCAGCGGGGCTGGGGAACCTGCAATTTCCCCGCCACGCGTGGGCCGCGGGGGCGGCCTGCGGGCACCGGAGCTGTCACTTTGGGCACCCATTTACCCACACAGGGTAAATTATCCGGCAGCTTCCAGCGAGCGGAACGGGAGACGCCTCCCCGGCGGGGACACAAATAGAGCGGAGAGGAGGCAAACACACGGGGGTGTCCTGGCAGCCTGACGGCCCTGCAGGGCCCTGCACCCCGCCCTGGGCACCCTGGGCCTGTCACCCTGCCCCTGCAGTGCCCAGCCCTGTCACCCCATCCCTGATAGCCTGGCCCTGCAGTGCCCAGCACCCTGTTCCTGTCACCCCATCCCTGTAGGTGCCCAGCACCCTGTTCCTGTCACCCCATCCCTGTAGGTGCCCAGCACCTCACCCCTGTTCCCCCTCCCTGTGCCCCCCACAGCCCCCCAGCGATGGTTCCCTGATCCAGCCCCTTTCCCAGTCACCCCCAGGGCAGAGCTGTGGGGTATTTCTGGTGCAGGAAATGTAGGATCAACCCCCTCGGGGTCATGCAGGAGGAGTCCGACTCTCCAGCCCCACAGGAGCCTGGGAACAGCTGCTGGGGAGCATCATTGTCATCACCCTCCCCCAGCTGGAAACCCCTGGCAGAGGACACAGACCCAGCAAACTCCCTTTTCCCGCTGCAGGGAAGCCCAGCCAGGGTTTCTCCAGAGGGACACAGGACCAACAGCTCGGCCATGGCTGGGCTGGGCTGACAAACACAAGCCTGAAGGCAAGATGTGACAGTTCACACAGCCCTGATCCTACTCCACGGGGAATTTTACCCCTGCCTGTCCCAGCAAGAGCTGGGATGTGCTTTTTTGGATGGCACTTGAACTGGCAAAGTGGCCCAGGAGGCTCCTGCCAGGCTGCCAGCAGAGCCAGCCAGCCTTTTCCACAGGCCTTTCCCTGTCTCAGCCAACAGCCCCAGTTCATCCAGTTCATTTGCAGGACTCTGAAGCCTCTGCCTGCCCTGGCAGGGCTGGAGTGACCCATTCCATCCCCAGGGCTCTGCTCAGCTCCTGCAATTAGTGCCAGGGATTGTCAATAAACCAGGGCAGCTGCCGGGGTTCCAGCTGGAATGCTCCAAGAAACACAAATGCTTGGAGCTTGGAAAATGGGAGACTCCCTTTGTAGGCAGAACAAAGGCAGAGAGGAATTAAGATCTTATCTGGAGTGTGTTCAGGATCTGTCCTGCCCCGGGCTCTGGGTGATCCAGCCTGGCAGCTTCCACCTGGTTCAGCTTTGCCACCTACCTGCCTCCTGCATCCCACCTTCCCTCTATCCCTCCCCAGCCCTTCTGCTGGGGCTCTGCCAGCACCCAAAGGTCCAGCAGAAATCCACTCGCAGAAATCCCACCTTGCAGCTCACCCTGGTGTGAATCCAGCTCTGAAAAGGTGGGTGCTGCTGCCTGGCAGGCCCTGCCCGCCCCCCAGCCCCTCTGCTGAGGTGCAGCCAAGGGTGCAGAGGGCTCTTCCAGCCCTGTGCTATCCCAGCTCCATCCCCCAAAGCCCAGGAGACCCCCGGGGGCTGGGCCTGGCTGCTCCTGTCCTGGGCACAGGGGTGCTGTGGGGGTTTGGGCTTGACCAGCTGGAGGTGCAGGGTGCAAGGCTGGTCCCAGCCACCTCCTGAGGAGCTGGAAGTGCCACCCAGGCTCAGGAGAGCCCAGGCACAGCACAGTCCCTCCCCTGGGTCCCCTTTAACAAACAACAACTCAGGAAGAGCCTGGAGCCTCCTGGGTGCAGCAGCATCCCTGGTTACCATGGGAATTGTGTCCCCCTGTCCCTGTCACCTCCACGGACACAGATCCAGCCCCAGGCTGCACAGGGAGCTGTTGGCAACTCCCTGTGAGGAAGAGCCCTTACAAAAGCCCAGGTGAGAAGGTCCCCCCTGAGCCTCCTTTTCTCCAGGCTGAGCCCCCCCAGCTCCCTCATCCCTGCTGCTCCAGCCCCTTCCCCAGCTCTGCTGCCCTGATCCACCCAAAGGCCCATTCCAGCCCCAGCCCTGCCCTCCCAGCAGCTTTCCCGCAAAACTGATGCTCACATTGCTGCTCTCAGCACTCTGGAGCAGAAGGAAACCCGGGATCACTGGGTGGCCCACCCAAGGACAGTCACTGGGAGTCACCAGCCCACACCCTGCTCGGGGCTGGGGACTCTGCTGAGCCAGGGACACCTCCAGGGGATAAAACGGGACACGCCTGGACAACATCCTCTGCAGCAGGCTCTGCTCTTCCCACCAGAGAGAGAAACCCTTATCTGTGCCAGTCCTTATCCCTCCATCTGTTTATTCCTGCCTGCCAGAGCTTTCAGGCCCTACAAGATTTGGGTTTACCTGAAATACCCCCCCCAGAGAGTCAACGCCTGTCCAGGGGGAGGATCTGCCACCTCACCCGGCTGCCTGGCTGGATGGCACCTGGAAAAGGGCTGGGAGAGGCACATTCCCACCTCTGCTAAATATTCAGTCCCTCTCTCAAGCTCAGGTCACAGTCCCAAGGTCTGGGTTAAGGCCACTGCAGAACAGAGTCAACCTCGCTGTCCTGCTGTGCTGGTGAATTGTCCTGGAGTGGAAAATGATGCAGCTCCAGAGGGAGGGAGCAGGAAATCAGCACTCCAAAGGTGCAAAGAGAAGGGACAAATAACAACATTGTCACTGGGTGAGTGAGTGGGGACATCAAGTCAGGAACCTCCTAAAGGCCAGAACTTCCAAACCACGGAACTACCAGACAAAAACACAATGGAAAAAGACTGTGTTTGGTTGTTTTGTTTTTTTCCATAGAGTATGAAAGTCTGGAGCTCTGAAATGCTCACCTGGCTCTGGAGCTCGCTCTGCTGCTTTAGGCGCAGGTTCTCGGGGGTATCTGCCACCATGGTGAAGGATTGCTTCGGGTAGTGTCTGGGGAGGGAAGCAGATCATTAATCCTGCTGTTCCCCCACTCCCTGCCCTCTCCCTCCCACCCCAGGACCCTCAGCCCCATCATCATCACCCCCAAGTGCCACATCCATATGGGGTTTTTTGGTCCCACTGTGGAGGAGTCAGAGCTGGGGACACCCCCAACACGTGGCCATTTGGGATGGTGGGAGCTCTCAGCTGGGATTTCAATCTGTGGGATCCCTCCCTGTGCCCAACACCTCCCCCAGCCTTCCCACTCAGTCCTCTCCCACACCCAACACATTAACTTCAGCTTTATCAAAACAGGGCCAGAGCAGCCCTTTTTTTTTCCCCCAGGGACAAATCCATTCCATGTCTGTTCCTGCCTGATTTCTGGAGAGGCCTTAACACACCATCAGTATCTCCCCAAGCAGCCCTCAGGGTGCCATCAGCCCGTAAAAGCTGCTGACTCTGGTCACAGTTTCAGCTGTGAAGGGTCACGGGGGACGTGGGAGGGTTCAGTTCCTGCTCTGACCGAAGTTTCAGCCACAACACCCTCGCCTTGTGGTGGGGCAGGACGGCAGCAGATCCCCCAGCACGGCCCTGCCAGGGCAGCACACACCTCAGCCAGGCAGCAGTGCAGGAAACCCGAGATCAAAAATAGCTGCCTCAGCCTCGCTGGAGACAGGAGGAGAACCCACCTCACACCCAGAAACCACTCAGCTCAGCTGTGGCTTGCACAGAGGGGGAAAAGACAGCTCAGCTCCTCGCTGCGGGTCCCCCTCCTGCTCCCAGCCCTGCAGGGGACCCCAAAAATACACCCCTGCCTGCTCATTGCACACCCCGTCCTGCTGGGCACCCCCAGGGTCCCACTGTCACCATCCCAGCTGGGAGACAAGCCCAGGGGGTGTGGGGGGGGTGGAACTGGGTCCCTTCGAGGTCCCTTCCAACCCAAACCATTCTGGGCCTCTCTGAGACACCAAACACCCTCCCAGGTCACTCCTTCTCCAAAAATACTCTCCCAGATCACTCCTTCTCCAAAAACACCCTCCCAGGTCACTTCTTCAAAAACACCCTCCCAGGTCACTTCTTCAAAAAACCCTTCCCAGGTCACTCCTTCTCCAAAAACACCCTCCCAGGTCACTCCTTCTCCACGTGCAGAGCAGGTTGGGAAGGCAGAGGGAGAAGGGACCATTCCCAGCCCAGCCATGGGAAGAGGGGCAGAGCTCTGCCCCAGCACTACCAGGACACCCCATCGCCTCTCTTTTTCACAAACAAGAGGGTCTTTACAAACCCTGAGGGGTTTTCCTGCTGCCACTTCCAGCCTTCCCAGATGTTCCCAATTTCGAGAGCTCCCAGGAAAGCCACGGAGCCAGACACAGCCCCTGGGAAGGGCCAAAGCAGGATGTGAGTTGGTTCCCCACAGAGCCCGGTCCCAGCCCGGAGCTCCCGAGAAATCATCCCGTTGCCATGGCAACCGCATCCCATGGCCTGGGCATGCTAATAACGCTCGAGTCCCGGCTGCAATCTCTGTCTGTGGGGAGGAGGGAAATCCCAGCCACTGCCAGGGCTGGGGAACACAGGGATCCAGCCCCGTGGAGCTCAGGGAAACTGGGAAGGGGGAGGAAAAATAAAAATAACCCGGAAAACAACGGCCTGATTGGGACTGACAGCAAGGCTGTGCTGTGCTCCAGCAGAGGGAGGGGAGACGGACACCACAGATGAAGCTGGAATTAGGCTCCCGTTGGATTCTGAGGGAATCTCCCAAGGACTGGAGGCAGCTTTGATTCCAAGCCTGGAGCCCCCCGGGCAGGAGGGATCTGTCTGTCCTCACTGGGCAGGGGAGGAAAGGCATGAATTCAGCATCTCCCCCCAGGATCAGGCAGCACTTTTCGGGAGGAAAAGGCATTGGAGTCCTCAGGGAATTTAAGGCCAGGGGAGAGGGAAGGGTTCCCCTGCCCAAACACCCCCTCAATCCCTGCCACGCACCAGGGAGGGGCAAACCAGCTCCTCTGCATGAGAAGCAGCCACAGCAACAGTCAGCAATAAATGAAACCCCAATGAGGAGGCAGGGGGGGAATTGCCTCGGGAGGGAACGGGGTGGGGCTGTGGTTTGTGGGGGAGCACGACCCGCTTCTCCCCCTTCCCACAACCCAAACCGAGGCAGGAGCAGAGCCGGGGGGGTCCTCAGAGCCCCCCCAGCATCACCAGAAATAGGTGCTGGCAGCGGAAACAGGAGGGGGAGGGTGGTTATTGCTCAACCACCTCTGAGCAGCACAAGCGGCGCACACCAAATCCACCCTAAAACCACCACGCAGCATCCCCACCGGCCAGAGGCTTCCCAAAGTGGGGGCAGCGGGGAATTTGGGCGCCTATCCCAGCGCTGAGCCCGAAGTCCACGGAGGGAGAGGGTTGGGGTTGGTGTGCTCCCCCTATAACAGCCCTGCCCTCATGCCCTTCACCCCCTCTCCTGCAGAAACACTCGTTTATTCCTAATTTACTGCAACAGGTCGGGAAGCTGCAGGGAACAAAAGGCACGTTAAGGGAAGATGGAGCCCTGGAGAGCCTGAGGAAAACTCCACAGGCTGCAGGCACGAGCAGCTCAGGAAGATAAACGGGGTGGGGGGAAAAGCTGCTTCAACCCACCCCCCTCCTGACGAACCACGAGGAAATAATTAGTCCCACGCACCCTGGGCTGTGACATTTGTGTAAAGTCTGCTGCTGGGGAAGGGCTCTCCAGGCAAAACCAGGCAACTTCCAAGAATAAACGGGATTGGGGGCGGGGGGAAAAGCCACCTGTGGGTGCTGCCTGAGGGAGGGGCCCCTGGTTCCTGCTTGGGGGTGATGCTCCAGCAGGACCCGAGCTGGCAGGAGCACCGGGGTGTTTTCCCTGCCCGAGGGGATGGGGATGCAGGAGGGGGAAGCAGGATGGGAGCCAGGTTTCGGTGGGTTTTGGTGGCAGCCGAGCTGTGGGCGTGAAGGGATGGAGCTGAGGGGCTGCAGAGCCCAGGGTGGGTGTTGTGGAGCCTCAGCATCCCACAGCTGCTCCAGACAGGGATTATTTTAAGGAGAGAAGGAGAAGAGCTTGGTGTCTTGGAGGCAGAGCCGCCAGACTGCCGGGGGGTGGGATTGGCCTGGGCACCTCGGGGTCTCTCCTCACAGCCAGCCATGCCCTGCCTGATTAGAGCCAAAGAACACATGGATCCCTCCCCCCCACGGCAGGGGCTGCTGTCACATTAATCCCAGTGACCCGGGGGGATGTGGGGCAGTGGGACACGTGATGGAGCGAGGGCTCTGTGTGTCCCTGCCATGGCCCTGCTCGGGGAGGGGGGGGCAGGAAAACACCCCCTGAATCTGCAGCTCTGCAGGACCTTGGGTGGTTTCACCCACCGGGAGAGACAGCCAGGAATAAACACCTCCAGATCCAGCCTGGGGAAGGGGAGAGTGAGAGGAGACCTCAACAGTCTGGAGCTTCCTCACAGGGGGAAGTGGAAGGGCAGGCACTGATCACCTCTGTGTGAGCAGGGACAGCACCCAGGGAAGGACCTGGAGCTGTGCCAGGGGAGGGTTAGGGTGGATATCAGGGAAAGATTCTTCCCCCAGAGGGTGGTGGGCACTGCCCAGGCTCCCCAGGGCAGTGGGCACAGCCCCAAGGCTGCCAGAGCTCCAGGAGGGTTTGGACAACACTCTGAGGGACAGGGGGGGATTGCTGGGGTGTCCTGGGCAGGGCCAGGGCTTGGACTGGATGGTCCCTGGGGGTCCCTCCCAGCTCAGGATATCCAATGATTTCACACAGAACAGCCAGGGAAGGAGCACACCGATGGCAGGGACCCCACACTGTCCTGAGCTCCCCCCCTCCCTAGCTCAGCACAGCCCAACAGCCCTCCAAACACATCCTGCTCTCTGCACCCCAACAGCACCTCCAGCCTGGCAGGTGCCACCCTTTAGAGCCCTCCAAACCTCCGCATCCTTCCCAAAAGGGGAGCTGTGTGGGCCCCGGAGGCACCGCAGCCATCGAGGCTTTTTTTGTGGCGCTGCTAAATCAGGTCACTGGAGTCTCCTCCGGCCAGAGATCCCGTCTGGCTCCCGCATTAGGGGCCGTGTGAGCACGGCAATTGCGAGGCAGATGAAAGTTTATCCGGCTGTGAACGGCTCGGGGCTCCCCGGGGAGAAGGAAGGGCCCCGTCTGCTCCTGGCTCAGCCTCTTCCCAGCAGCACCAGCACCGAGCAGGGGGACTCTGCTGGGGGGCCACGAGCCATTCCTGCACGCACACACACCCCCATCCAGGGGGAAACCCTCCCAGACACAGCCCCTGCTCCCCACACACCAACCAGGAACGGCCTTGGCCCAGTTTCCTTGGGATTTCCAGTTGTCCCACCTGGGCAGCGTTTCCACCTTCCCAGCCCCACAGCAACAGCGGGAAGGGTCTGCCAGCGATCCCCCTTCCAGATGCACCCCCCATCACACCCCACTCCTGCCCCAAAAGCAGAGCTTCCCGCTGAGAATTCCCGTCTCAAGAAGCCAAAGTGGCAGCACTTGAACTCCTTCTGCCTTTGGAGCTTCTCCCGAGCCGGAGAGGAGGGTAAATTCTCCTGTTCCACCGGTAAAAACTCCTTCAGGTGCAGCGTGGCCTCGTCCAGCTGCTCTGCAGAGACAACTAAGGGGGTCTGGGAGCTACAGGACCAGACCCTGCCACTTCAGCACAACTCAAACCCCCCCATCTGATCCTCCAGCAAGGCCAGTTTACTCCACGGATCACGAGTGTTTAGAAGGGCCTCTCGAGCTCCAAAGTGTTGCTTACATCCAGCACAGGCTGCGCTAAACCAAGGGCTCTTGGCAGGTTTATCCATCAGCCCTGGAGGCAAACACTCCATCCCTTCCCTGGCCACAGACCTGAACCTCTGAGGGGTGACGGTCACCCCCCTGCAGCTGGACCAGGGATTTTGGGAAAGGAGAGCTAAACAAAGGAAGCAATTGGCTGTGCTCTGGCTCCAGAGTTCACATCCTGCCTTTCAAAGAGCTGCTGGTTCTCGGGGAAGAGCTTAAAAAAAAAATCAACTGTCCTTTTGTCAGCAACCAAAGCAGCCCCACCACTGCAGGGAAGGGCTCCAGTTCCTCCCAGGGTTTTCAGGGGGAAAAAGCTGCCAAAATGGCTGGTCCAGCCCTCCACGTGTGCAGCTGCTGCCTGTTCCCAGCATCTGCTCCCAGCCTGCCTCAAAACCAGCTGGCAACAACCTGACTGAGAGCACAGCACGACTCTGTAGGATGGAATTTCTCAAAGACCCTCCTGCTGCCCACCCAGTGTCCTGGTGCCAGGGCTGGGGGAGGCAGGAGAAGCCAATCCCATCAGCACAGGCTGCCACGTGCGTGTTTTGGCAGGGGACAGAGTGGGAACAGGGGTTTGCTCTCCGTGGGTGCAGCAGAATCCATCCCATCCCTGTCTCCAAAGCCTCTTCCAGCAGCTGCCTGAGTGAAAACCAGCCTATTTCCACAGACCTGCTTCAATCCACACTGGAAATGTTTCAAGGGAATTCAGAACTCGTGTCTGCAAAGGGCTGTTCCCCTCCCCCCCTTCCCCAAAACAGAGCAGTCCCTGTCCTGCCCCCACCCCCAGCACTGGGAACAGGGCAGGCAGAGCAGCAAAGCTGGGATTTTCCACAAGGTTTTTTGGCCCCAGGCATGGATAAGCAAGTTTAGGAAAGTCAACATCCATCTGGAGCCGAGGTCAGCGCCGGGCAGCTCCTGGCTCTGAGGGCACTGGGAGCTCCCAGGGCAGGGGCAGAGGGAAAACCACCTCAAATCTGCACATATTCCCCTCCTCCTCACCCCAAAAGCTGGGAAACTTCTTCCAGGTGTGTGGAAAACATCTGGGGTGTTTTGGAAAGGAGCAACACAGCACAGGGCGAGCCCAGGAGGGAGGGAGGGGAGTTTCCTGCAGGAATCACGGCTGGATTTCCCCCCTTCCCACCTCACCAGGGGCTTCATCCACAAAGGCTTTGGTTTGTGCTCACTGGGGCAGTCTCATCCCAGCACCTGCCAGGAGAAGCCAGTCCCAGAGATGTGACAGCCAGGGATGGGGTGGAGGGAGGGCAGCAGAACCCTGTGGAATGTTTGGGATTTCCAGGGGGAACAGCGTCAGCTGGGAGAGGTCAGAACGGCACAGACAGCCCCCGGACTAAGCCCTTCCCAAGCCCTCCAGAAACAGATGCTTCACCCCAAAGAGGATTCACCAACATTCCCAGCCTTCCAGCCTTTAAATCCCAGCCTCACTCAGGCTCTTTCCCACACACCACATCCTCTCTCCTCCCCAGTGAGCCCCTCTCCAAATACAACAGAGAAACAGGGACCAGCCCACTACAACACCACGTCCCCAAAATCCAGGAATTCCGAGGTTCTCCACCCCCAAACCCAGCAACTTCCATGCACTTCAAGTGCAGGAGCAGAGCCAGCTCCTCCCATCCAGGAACTCAAAGCACAAACAAAGCCTGGGATAAACACCTGGACCCCATCCCAGCAGCACAGTTGTTCCTCTTTCCCTTCCTGCCCCCCCCCCTCCAAGTTTGCAAGATCACTTTATTAACCAGGAAAGCTGCTCCCAGATGGAGCAGGGAGCCCTGCCAAGAGCAGATCACTGGCTCCTTGTAGAGCTGCTCACCAACTTTTTCCAAGCCAGGGATTAAGCCTGGAGGTATCGGATCCCCCGCTCCGCGTGCGAAGGCGGGATTTGAACGGCCAGGAATCTGCCAGGGAGGGAGGTGGTTTTTTTGGGTCATGCCCAGGATTTGCAGGTTTTCCCAGCTCCCTGCTGGGGAACACCAGGTGAGCTGGGCAGGATCTGCTCTCTCCCTGACTCAGAGAGGAGGAATTCCAGCCCCACATCCCGATCCAGGCCGTGCTGGGGGTGGTTTCTCCACGAGGAAAAGCTGAAGTCACTGGCAGATGGGGAGCAGGGACCTGCTGACACACCCCTGGGGATATTTCTGGCAGCCTCTACACAACCTTTAGCCCCTTTTTGAGGAGTTAAACACCGTGGTTTAGCGAGGGGGGAGGGCAGCACCATCCCAACAAAGGGGGATGTGTCAGGCCCAGGCTGTGTCTCCTCGGAGCAGGCACGAACTTCCTGCAGCTCCTCTGCAGCAGCAGGGAAAGGAACCCAAGCCCAGCCCCAGGAGCAGCAGCAGAGCCTGTGATCCACCCCACTGACAGTGGGACACGTGTGTGTGCTCAGCCAGGGCTTTGGGCAGGGATGCATCCAACTGGGAACTGCTTGTTCAGCAGCAGGAATTCGGGCAAACCCACAGAGATAAAGCCTGGCCTTGGCTCTTGTCTTGATGGCTTCAGGGGAGAGCAGCAGATGATCCCTCCTAGCCAAGAGAGGCAGAGAAGGAGCCTCCTGCCCAGGATTCTGCTCCTTCTCCCCATCCCAGCATTCCAGCATCACTGCCCAGGGATGTCTCTGAAGCCTCCCCCAGACTGAAGAGCCAGCTTTGAACTCCCAGACAGGATTTTCCAGGCAGGATCTGGTGCTGCACACTGAGCCACAGGTACCACCTCCACTGGGACCTCCCCGCTCCCTCAGCTCTGCCATCCCCCCAGCACAGCCAGTTAAAAATTAAAACCTATATAGAATGTACATTTGGGAGCAGCTGGGCCCTTGAACACGAGTCTTGCCTGTCCCTTCCACACCCTTCACTTAAAGAAGCCTCAGGCTTCAGCTGGATCTTCCCTTCCTGCACTCAAAGTGCTCACAGAGTCCAGCCCAGCCCTGGGTGCTGCTCCCAGTGAGCAACCAGTCACCCCAGTGCCCAGCTGGAGCCCAGGGAGGGACAGGGAGGAGGGTGGAGACAGTCACAGCTGCCACCAAGCAATTCCCACAGCCTGGCACAGGGAGGGCAGAGGGAACCAGCCACTGTCCCCAGAGGCTTCTCCCAGATTTACGGCTGGGGCAGTGTCAGAGCTGGAGGAAGCCCAGCCCTCTTCCTCCTGCTCTCTTGAAGAAAGAAACTCAGGAATTTGGCAGGAGGCCACGGCTCAAACAGAGGAGACCCTGTGCTGAGGCATGTTCAGAAAAGCAGCCTCTCTCCCTGCCAGGATAAACGTTGCTTTTCCACCCCCTTCTCCGGGGACGGAAGATTTTGTCCCTCGGCTCCACCACCAGCAAAAGGCATTTGGGAACGCTGGGCTCCTCCTGGGCTGGCCTTTGCCAGGCACTCTCACCCTGCCTGGAGTTTCTTTACTCCCCAGGATGCTCCAGAGGGATCCAGTTCTACATCCAAACTTGGAGCTTCCCCTTCACACCCCCTGCCCTTGCCCTGGAACTGCGACCCGGGGCTGGCAGAGCCTCCCTGTGCCAGCAGTTTCCAGCTGCTCCTCACTCCCCTTTGCTTCCAGACAGGCCCAGTGGGAAGAACAAAGGATCCAACTCAAGTCTCTGTGCACAATTCCAAGCATCCAGAGCTGCCCTGGGGCAGGGGCAGGACGGGCAGGGGCTGGGAAGGGGTTAAAGCAGCAGCAGCAGCATCAAAGGGAGCCCTGAGAGAGGGGGCTGAGAAACCGAGATGGGTCGAGGGCTGCGCAGACTCCTCGGAATGTCAGGAATTTCCCATTATTATCCCACTTCCCTTCCAGCAGCCTGGAGGGAGAGCACAAGCACAGGACCCCCGGGATGGGCATGTCCTGGGGGCACAGAGCTGGGACAGGGTGCCCACGGCCCAGGGAAGGAAGGTTGGGATCAGGATGCTCTGGAGAGAGCTTGGGGGTCTCATCCCTGCCAGGCTCCAGCTCCCACCCAGCCCAAAGACCCCCCTAAACCAACAGCTCCTCCTGCCTCAGGACACACATTCCCCCTTCGTGGGACTCCAGAAGTTCCCAGTTTCACCCCAAAAGCTGTTCCCCCCATTTGCTGCTTCCCCACGCCATTCCCACCCTGTGCTTCAGGGGAGATCCCAGGAAACAGCCATTCCCAGCCACAGCTGGAATGCTCCGAGTCTCCTCTCAGCCCAGCAGGAGCGCTGGACTTTGGACAAGCCACAGTCACCATCAGCAGTGTCAGCAACAACCACCCATAAAAGCCATGGGAGTGGGAGGGTTTGGTCTGGTCTAGATGGGATAATTGGGGATAAACCCTTCCCTGGGAGGGTGGGGAGGCCCTGGCATGGATTATTCCACGGATACCCCATCCCTGGAAGTGTTCAGGGCCAGGTTGGAGCAGCCTGGTCTAGTGGAAGGTGTTCCTGGGTGATCATTAAGGGTCCTCTCAACCCAAACCAGCCTGGAATTCCATGACTCCAAACACCCACCCTGCAGGGATGTTGTCAGGATTAGTGTTCTTAAGCACTCAGTGAACAGACCAGTGCTAATACCAGTGTTAGATTATCCCATTTTCCTTCTAAGAACTGTCAGTGTAGAAGAAGTAGCCACAAAAGATCATATTCCAAAGCTGCTTTAGAGATATTAAGAGACCAGAGCAGGACCAGCCCAGAAAGGGGTGAGCAGTGAAGGGCCCTCCTTAGTGAGAAAAACAAAAGTGGGGGGCTCTGGACACCCATTGCTCAGAAAGTGATGGAAAGGACCAAAGAAAAGGACAAAAAAAGGACCAAAAACCCTGGGTTAGTACCAGTATTAACTGGAGTGTGATCCTGATTTAAAACCAGTGTTAACTGGTGTGTGTGACCCAATTTAAACCCAGTATTAACTGGGGTGAGACCCCGATTTAAAACCAGTGTTAATGTGTGACCCCTGATTTAAACCCAGTATGAACTGGGGTGAGACCCCAATTTAAAACCAGTATTAATGTAGTGACCCCTGATTTAAACCCAGTATTTATCCCTTATTTTATCCCTTCATCCAGCGCTTCCCCTGCATTCCCAGCAAACACCACAGAGTTTCAGGAGAGGTCAGGGTGCCCCCCACCCCTCGTTACAGGGTGGGGGGTGATGTTTAAGGGGGAGGAGGGTGCAGCAAACCCCAGACCAGCCCCCCCAGAACAGGGACTCACGCGTTGCAATACGGCTTCTTCTCGTAGCCCTTGTAGTTCTTCATGTTCAGGGTCATCTTGCAGGTCTCGCAGTGGAAACATGCTTTGTGCCAGAACTGGAACACAGACAGGACAGCCATTAACACCACTGACACCCCCTCTCCATCCCAGGCAGGGCCAGGGCCCGCTGGGATCACACAATTCCAACCCAGGGATTTGTGGGCTCAGCCAAACACGGGGTGGGGGAAGCTCCAAACTCCAGCAGCCCTAATTTGGAGGCTTCAGAGCTGCTGCTTTCGGGTTTTCCTGCCGAGCTCTGCCAGGTGCCAGCCAGAAGAGCAGGTCAGGTGAGGCTGCCCGAGCCAGGCAGATGCAGGCAGGGAGGAAAAGGTTCTCGTGGGAAGCAGGCACAGGGAGCTCACACAGAGCCAGGGCTGAAGACACAATTCAGAGAGACCTGAGACCCTAAAGGACTGTCTGAAGGTGGTTTTCAGGGCTGCTCCTAAATAAATTATTTCCACTTGGCACCAAGTTGGCCCCAGTGGGTTTCCAGGCTGGAAGGAACCCAATCAGGACAGCTCAGAGCTGCTCCCAAGGAATTTAAAGGTTGACCTCACAGGTCCTTCCAACCAAAAGGATTCTGATTTTGTCATTCTGAGGCTGCTCAGCCCCGCACAGGCCAAGACCAGTGTCCTGCCAGTCACCCACTGCCCAGAGTCCGCATTTCCATCAGGATTTGAGGGGTCTGGAGTCAATTCCCAGGTCCCAGCCCAGGAAGGGGCTGAGCTGGAGCAGGAAAACAGGGAATGCACAGCCCAAAGCAACACCTTTACTCACTCAGGTTAAAATCAGCCCTGCCCTAGAGCTGCCCTCCCTCCTCCAGCACCCAAACCCTGCGAAATCAGGGGGGGGAAATCAACCCAAACCCCCCAAATTAGGAACTCAAAACACCAATTAGATGACAGGGAGACCTGGGAGCCAGGCCCACACACTGAACACTCGAAAAGCAAACCCCGGGCACCCAGCTGGGGGTTCTTGCTGTGATTTCCACCCTCAGACGTTTAAAGAAGTCGTTTCCCCAGCCCAAGCCCTGTTCCTGCAGGGAGCCAAGCCCTGGTGTCACCACACCCCGAGCACAAACACTGCCAGGCTCTGGAGACAGACGTGACTCAGCCCAGGAGGACAATTTTCCTCCTTTCAGTTGCTCTGAGCAACATATTTGTTCCTTCCCTCTGGTTACACGAGTTCCTCCAGCAGCCACAGCTCCAGCCAGAGGGGCTTCGCTCCACACCCCCTTCCCAAACAGCCCAGGCCAGGGTGGGCTTTTCCCCCCCCTGTCCCAGCTTTGGGACTCTTTAGGGACAGACAGAACAGCCAAACCCCGAGTTCTCTGGGGGTTTTGGAGGTCAAAGACTTAAACCTCCCTGCCCTGAAACTCTGCCTCCCACCCCTGGAGCTGATGGCAGAGCCACGGGCTGTGAGGCAGCACTGAAAGGAGGGCTGGAGCACGGCTGGACACAGGGGAACTGCAGTTATTTAGGCTTCCAGGAACACTCCAGCACGGCTGCAGAGAAAGAGGGCAGGTTTCAAGTGGGTTTTCAGAGGAGCATTAACGCCTGTGCTTTCCAGCTCCCAGCCTGGAAGTGCTCTGAAGGCCTGGAGGCAATTCCAGGGACAGGTCTGGGGGTGATCCCGGGTACCCCAGGCTGGGAAGCACAGGGTGGTCACCCTGGAAGGCTTCTCTGGGAGTGGCAACTTCCATCCACCCTCACAGCAGAGCAGGTCTGGGGACAGAGCTCAGGGCCACAGTGTTGGGATGTATTTACAGAACCATGGGATGGTTTGGGTGGGAAGGGACCTTGGAGACAACCCAGTTCCACCCCCAGGGACACCTTCCACTAGCCCAGGTTGCTCCAAGCCCCGTCCAGCCTGGTCTTGGACACTTCCAGGGCTGGGGCAGCCACAGCTCTCCTGGGTCAGACCAAGCAAAGCCATCACTCCCCACCCAGAAAAAGCACCACTGGAGGCTCCAGGGCTTGAGGGCAACACAAGGAGAGACTCCCCCGGGGCTGCAGATCAACCCTGGCCGAGGTTTGAGGCCCTGCAGAGCTCGCTGGGAGTCGTCTCCTCTCGGAGCAGCTCCTGTGACCTCAGCCCTCCGTGGGCTCCGGGGTGTCACTTCCCCTGCGGAAGCAGAGACATCACCCAGCACCTTCCCCAGCACCTTCCCGTGGGGGGAGGGACAGCAGCGAGTCCCCAAACCCTCAGGTGACGGGCTGGAGGCCGAGGGGCAGGGGCAGGGCTGTGGGCAGGTGGGTTTTGCTGCTCCCTTCCCCGGGAGCCCCACAGAGCAGCGAGTTTTCCCGCAGATCCCAGGAGGGAAATGGACTTCCCGGGTTTCAGAGCCAGCCCAGCACACCAGAGGCACCAGGGCCGCCTTTCCCCTCCCGGCAGCCCCTCGGTCGGAGCAACTTCTGCAAACAAACCCCGGCTGCCCTTCGGACTTTGCTCCAGGGGCAGGAAAAGCGGGGAAGGCAGACTCCCCAGCACCCTGCCAATCCCAGGGTTTTATGGGAAGTGGGTCAGCTGTGCCAGCCAGGAAGCCCAGGGGGAGCGGAGCCCAGGGGGCAGCAGTTTGGGGCGGGGTGTGCTGGGCCACGAGTGCCACGGTTTTTAGGAAGAGGAAGCGGATGAGGAGCCCGAGCAGCACAAGATGGTGACTGCAGGCCCCTGCCTGCTTCCCAGCAGCTGGAATACACCATCTCCGGGTGTTCCCGGACACACAGCCACAGCACAGACCCCAGACAGCGTCTGGAGCAGGAGGAAGTGACGGGTCATCCCCCCTTCCCTTCCAAAGATCCCCAATCCCAATAGCCCCCTTCCCTTCCAGTGATCCACACCCTAAAATCCCCCTTCCTTTCCAGTGATCCCCCAAATCCCAACCCCCTGCAGCTGCTGGAGGCCAGCCCAGGCTCCAGCACACTGAGCCACCCACTGCCCCCAAAACCCAGGGCACAGGGGTGACACTTCAGCCCCAAGCCATTCCCAGCCCCAGGAGGAGACCTCATCCCTTAAAAATGTGAGCAGCAGGGGCTGCAAAGCTCAGGAATGTCGCTGGAGAGCCCAGCATTCTTCCAGTTACTTTTTTTAGTCCCTAAACTGGTCGTCCCAGAAGCCTGGGAGAGGAGGGGGAGGAGGAGAACAGCTCAGCTCTCCAGGAGGGGTTAGTTGGGAAGTAAAAATCCCGTGGGAACAGCACAGGGGAATGGAGACCCACTGCCACCTTCCTCAGTTCCAGCCCAGAGCTTGGGTTTGGATGGGAAAACACTCAGGAAAAGGGATACTCCGTGTTAAAGGAGGCAGCCCGAGGATTGGAACAGGGAAGTATCAATTGGGATGGAAGATTTGGAAAAAAAAAAAAAAAAAAGGGGAAAAAGCTGGATAATGGAAACCAGATGAGGTTCCCAGCTCCAGGGAAGCATTAACTATTGCTTTCCTTCGGGGTCCACAGGCACAAGGATGTGCTGCCTTTTAATTAGAGATATTACAATAAATACATCAACTTAATATACAAGGAAAAGTCCTGGATGCCGCTGGAGAACCCTGGGAAAAGGGCTCCATCCACGTCCCCCAGCGTGGCACAAGAAGTGCCACCTCCAGCAGCCACCCCAGGTCTGGGAGGAGTGTGAGGGACCCACGGGATTTTGGAAATACCAAGCGTGGAAATATCCCCCGTGGAACGGGGGTCCCGTGGGGATATCAGCGGGAAAAGGATGGGAGGGAAGAACCACATTCCCTGCTGCTCCCCGGGGCTGGAAAGAGCTTGGGGGACCCCCAGGACAAAGGGGTTCCATAACGATGTGACCGCCAGGACTCGGGTGGAAATACCCCCTGGAAAAAGGGGGTCTGGAGGGAGCAGCGTGGAAATACCCCCCGGGAACGTGGGGTGGGTGGAAAAACGCGTCCCCTGGAGCAGCACAAGGAATTGTCACCCCCCCAGAGCTGGAAGGAGCGTGGGGACCCCCGGGACAACGGGATTCCACAGCGATGCGACCCTATGGAAACACCCCCCGGGAACAGGGATTGGGGTGGCGGTGGGAAGGGGTGTGGGGTGTGGAATTATCCCACCCGGTGGCAACTCCACAGGAAAAACCCTCTCCAAATCCATCCACGTGCGAACCCCCCCCCCGCAACACCACCTTCCTTCCCCCCAAAAAAACCTCACCTTATCCAAGCAGTTCACCTTCTCCGTGGGATACACGATCTTCCCGCAGCGCGCACAATTGGGATTCATGGCTGAGAACTCGCGTGGGGTGGGAGGGAGGAGGAAAAACCAACTCACTCCCACCCTCCTCCGCTGCTCTCCTCCTTCTCCTCCTTCTTCTTCTTCTTTCTGAGCCGCCGCCCGCGATGTCGCGACTTTAAATAGTCGGGAAGGGCGGGGAGGGGGAGATGGAGGAAAAAAAAAAAGGAAGGAGGGAGGGAAGTGGGAGGGACCGGGAGCGGGGGAGGGGCGGTGGTGGTGGCGGCGCCTGTGCGAGCTGTGTCGTCCTCTCCGCACCGAGCGCCGCCGAGCTTAAATATTTTATTTAAAAAAAAAAGGCGAAAAAGGGGTGAAAAAAAGCGAAATAACGATGATAGGGGCGAGGCGGGATTCGAACCGGCGTCTCCTCTCCATTCCCAGAGCAGAGGGACCCCTAGCGGATGAAAGAGCGGCCGAGGGGGGTATAGCTCAGTGGTAGAGCATTTGACTGCAGATCAAGAGGTCCCCGGTTCAAATCCGGGTGCCCCCTGGTTGAGTGATTTTATCGATATTTCTTTTTACCCGATTTTGGAGGATTTCTCAGCGGAACGAGGCGGGAGGACCCCGAAACCCGCACGCCCCGCGCGGTTTCCCCCTCCCCGTTCCACGCGCGGGCGTCCGCCCGCGCGTGGAACGGGAGAGAGGGGAACCGCGCGGGGCGTGGATCGTGAGGGGAAAGCGGCGCCCGGCGGCCATTTTGAATAGCTGGGGGTATAGCTCAGTGGCAGAGCATTTGACTGCAGATCAAGAGGTCCCCGGTTCAAATCCGGGTGCCCCCTTGTTTTGATCCGCTCCTCTTGTTCTTATTTTACCCCTCTTATTCTTATTTTACCCCTCTTAATTCTTGTTTTACCCCTTTTTCGCCCCGAATTGTTGCGCCTCGAGCGCTGCGTGCAGTGCCGGGCTCCTCGAGAGTTTCTCGGTCTCTGCAAATCCCGGACAGGAGAAGGGGAAGCCGGGCGGAATCGGGGTTTGGTCCCAGGCAATGGGATAAGAGCGCACAGGATTAAGCTGTGCCAGAGGAGGTTTGGGTTGGATTTTAGGGAGAAGTTCGTTGCGGAGAGAGCGATCGGGCTTTGGAACGGGACACCGGGCATTGGGAATGGGCTGCCCAGGGAGGTGGCGGGATCATCAGTCCCTTGGGGTCACAGAATCAGCCAGGTTGAAAAAGCCCTCTGAGATCATCCCATGAGCCCACCTTGTCACCCAGACCGTGACCCAGTCTCTTCCTAAACACCTCTGGGGATTGGTGACCCCACAACCTCCCTGGGCAGCCCGTTCCAATGCCCAGTGTCCCATCCCAATGCCCAGCCACTCTCTCTGTGAAGAAATTCTTCCCCTATCCTAAACCTGCACAGCCTAAACCTCCCCTGGCGCAGCTTAAGATCCCCTTGTCCTCCTGCTGGTTCCCTGGGAGCAGAGCCCGACCCCTCCCTGGGTCCTCCCTCCTGTCAGGGAGTTGTGGAGAGCGAGAAGGTCCCCCCTGAGCCTCCTCCTCTCCAGGCTGAGCCCCCCCAGCTCCTTCAGCTGCTCCTCACAGGATTTGTGCTCCAGACCCCGTGACTCTGTGCTCGCTCCCCCGCCTTGTTTTATCCCGGTTTTCCCGGTTTTTCCCGTTTTTCCCGGTACCGGGGCCGTGTGAGGGCGCTGCGTTCCTCGCCGCCTGCAGGGGGCGCTGTTCCCCGGCCCCCTCAGCCCCGGGGCGGGGCGGGCGCGTCACGTGACCCGCGCCGCCTCTTCCGGCGCCCAAGATGTCGAAGCGAGGTGAGGTTCGGGCCCGCTCCGGCTCCATCCACCTCCATCCGCCGCCATCCCGGCCTCGCCGCCGCCCTCCCGCGTCCCGATGGCCTTCTCTGGGGTCCCCGTAGCCGCTGCGGCGGAGAGGGGGCGCGGGCAGAGGCGCTGGGCGCGGATGGCGCGGGCGGTGTGGCCGCCCCAGCTGCCCGGGGCCCCGCTCGGGGTTAACGCTCTTCTCGACCCGCAGGACGCGGAGGTTCGTCCGGGGCCAAGTTCCGCATCTCCCTGGGTCTCCCGGTGGGGGCTGTGATCAACTGCGCCGATAACACCGGTGAGCGGCGGGCCGGGACTGGGATGGCGGGGGGGACAGGGGGAAAAGGGCCCCCTTGGGAGTGGGGGAGACCCCCTGGAACCGGGAGAGACCCCCTGGGATCAGGGGAGACCCCCTGGAACCGGGAGAGACCCCCTGGAACCGGGAGAGACCCCCTGGAACCGGGAGAGACCCCCTGGAACCGGGAGAGACCCCCTGGGATCAGGGGAGATCGCTGGAAACGGGAGAGACCCTCTAGGATCAGGGGAGACCCCCTGGAACCGGGAGAGACCCTCTAGGATTAGGGGAGACCCCCTGGAACCGGGAGAGGCCCCTTGGGAGTGGGGGAGACCCCCTGGAACCGGGAGAGACCCTCTAGGATCAGGGGAGACCCCCTGGAACCGGGAGAGACCCTTTGGGATCGGATGGGGGGGGCGGTTCCAGCAGAAAAGAGTCTCCCTGGAGTCGGGGATTCCCTTTGAAATCGGGGCGCCAGTGGGAAAGAGCCTTTGTAGAACCAGGAGGCAAGAACCCCCTTTGGAACCGGTGGAGGCTGTTGGGAATGAGCCTGGTGGGGGAGTCCCATTGGGGTTCCAGCGGGAAAAGGAGCCCTCTGGAATAGGGGCAGCCCTGCAGGAAGGACACCCTTGGAATGAGCCCCCCGGGGTAGCACAGAGGGTGACCAGGTATCGAGCGAATTCCCAAAGCCTGGTTTTCCTCCAGAAAGCCCTTGCTGTGCCTGTGGCTCAGGCTCAGCAGGAGGAGACGGCCTGGCCTGGCTGTTGGGTGCCCCCTCAGTTGAGCTGGATATCCTGGGATAACGCCTTCCTGGAATAACGGCAGTGCTGCTCTGTCCCAGGGGCCAAGAACCTGTACATCATCTCGGTGAAGGGCATCAAGGGCCGGCTGAACCGGCTGCCGGCGGCCGGCGTGGGGGACATGGTGATGGCCACGGTGAAGAAGGGCAAGCCCGAGCTGAGGAAGAAGGGTGAGTGCCACCGGTCCTGTCCCGGAAAGCACGGGGACAGAGGCCCCCAGAGCCCTTCTGAAAAGCACTCGTTGGGTCTGTGCCGTGGCTCAGGGAGTTGTCGTGGAAGGGCAGAGCGAAGGCGCCGCTTTTGGGTGAAGTGGCAGCTCGTGCTGCTGATTTCAATCAGCGGTGGGACACGCAGGGCTTGGGGTCACGGGATGGGGTGGGTGGGAAGGGAGCTGGGAGATGATCCAGTTCAGTTTTCACCCCCTGCCATGGGTAGGGACTCCTCCCACTAGCCCAGGTTGCTCCAGCCTGGCCTTGGACACTTCCAGGGATGAGGCAGCCACAGCTGCTCTGGGAGTCCCATTCCAGTCCCTCACCACCCTCACAGGGAGGAATTCCTTCCCAAACCCCTCTGCTGAGTCTATTTCTCCATTTATAAAAACAGAGCAACGTTACCTGGACCTGTAAAGTTGGATCATGTGAATCCTGGAGTGGTTTGGGTGGGAAGGGACAAAAAACCCATCCACAAATATCCGATGTAAAGTTAAAAAAAAACCACCCCAAGCTCGTGCCTTGGGTTTGGTGCTGCAGCAGAGCAGCTCCCGAGGGACATCCCCTGGGTGTGAGTGTTTATCCCGAGGTCTGTGACCCCGAGCTGCTCCTCTCCCGTTCCCAGTGCACCCGGCCGTGGTGATCCGGCAGCGGAAATCCTACCGGAGGAAAGACGGGGTGTTCCTCTACTTCGAGGACAACGCAGGGGTGATTGTAAATAACAAAGGAGAAATGAAAGGTGAGGGTTGGACCCTAACCCACTGGGAATGTGGGGAGGTGGGCACTGCCACAGGGCTGAGGGAAAGGACCCAGATTCCCTTCGAGACCCTGGACCATGTGTGCCCTCTAAGCGTGGAATTCCAGAATGGTTTGGCTTGGAAGGGACCTTAAAGCTCACCCAGTTCCACCCCCAGGGACACCTTCCACCAGCCCAGGTTGCTCCGAGCACCATCCAACCTCGAACACTTCAGGGCTGGGGCAGCCACAGCTTCTCTGGGAATTCCATCCCAGGGCCTCACCCCCCTCCTCACAGGACAGAACTGATGCTGCGTTATCCCTGTTTTCCAGGCTCAGCAATCACAGGCCCTGTGGCCAAGGAATGTGCGGATCTGTGGCCCAGGATCGCCTCCAACGCCGGGAGCATCGCCTGAGCCTCATCCTAAACCTCTGCAGAGCCAGCAAATAAAAGGCCTTGTACCCAACCCCCTGGTGTGTTTCTTGCCAAAGCGTCTCCTCTGTGGAGCAGGAAGGTGCTGGGAAGGATTTCTGTGGAGCTTCCTTGTGTGTTTCAGCAGGAAAATGGGATTTTGGGGCTTTAATATCCTGGTTTTTTAGGCAGGTTCTTGCTCTTAAATTTTAGCAGCAGTGAATTGATGCAGTGGCTGTGCACGGACAGGAACTGGGAGGGGTCTTGTGGAAGCTCTGCCTTAGTGCAGGAACTCCCCAAAAAGTGTAGAATTTCTGGAATTTTTTTCCAGAAAGGGCAATGTAACTGCTTAGGGATAATTTTACCTATTTAGAGGCACTGAGGGGGGAGAAATACTGGACTGGCTGCAGTTCCCACCTCCATCTGCCCTGGCACCAAGGGCATTTTCCCCCCAGCACAGGCACATTTATTCCCTCTGCTCGGAGGTTCCTGGTGCAATTCCTGGTGCTCCCACTGGATAATCCAGAGCTGTGTGCTGACAGCAAGAGGGAACTCGTGGGATGGGGGTCACTCTCTGTTCTCCAGGGTTTCAGAGCAGGACAGGGGTCGTGGCTTCCTCCCAGCAGCCCTGGAACACCCCAGGGGTGCTCTGAGTGTCCCCCCAGCCCTGCAGCTGAAGGGGGTCTGAGCAGAGCCCACCACTCCAGAGCCCTGGGGATGAAGGAGCTGTTCCTCAGAGCTGGGCAGAGATGCTGGGAGCTCCACAACAAACCTGTTTCCCCCTCTTATTTTTTAACAGCTGCACTTCTGATTTTTGAAGACTCTTCTCCTGTGGTCTGATACTTGGATGAAGCGTTTTGGGGTTTAATTTTTTGGTTTTTTTTTCTTGGTG